TGTTTTTTACTTTTTAACTTGACACTACTACATAGGTCATCCATGTGATGGTCTAAGTCTAACACACTAGAGTCACGTAAACGTAGCTCCTTTTGAATGAGGGTATATATATATATTTCTCCTTATTTGTGATATTTTCATAGTTTTAACAAAAAATAATAATTCAGTTGTGAAAGTTCAAATATGCATGTATGCATGCATATAGCTACAAATGGAGTGTCATATGCAAGGAAAAAATAAATAGGGAAAAATCAAAAAATAAAATAAATACTCAAACAAGAGGATATGCTCACAAAAAAAAAAAAAAAAAAAAAAAAAAAAACATAAGAATCGTGCAAACAGTTAAAAATATAGTTAATAGCAATGTATATGTGAGTGGGTGGGGGAATTGTCTACACAAAAACATTTCTGATAGTGGGTGGGAAGGAATGGTGTCTAATGACTTGGCAGTGGAATGAGCATGTCCATATAAAGTTTTTTGATTCTTTGTTTCTTTTCTTTTTTGCCTCTTTGCTTTTTTGCTTCTTTGCCTCTTTGCTTTTTTCCCACTTCGCTTCTTTGCCTCTTCGCTTCTTTGCTTCCTTTCCATTTCCCCACTATTTGTGTCTCCTTTTTTGTTCCATATAATGTTTTACCAAATTTTCTGTAGCAATTTTTGCAGACTTTTTTACTTTCTTCCTTTGACTTGAACTCTTCGCAGCCTCTAATTCTTTTAAAAATGAAACAGCTATTTGATACAGAATATCATTAAAATCATACAACTCCGTATCAAACTCTTTCATTTCTCCGAATTCCACTACGTGGTATTTCATTTTGTGTTCTATGGGTTCTACATCTTTCGGTACGGCGTCAAATTTGACTACGTCGATTGGTTCAAATTTCTTTTCTTCTTTAGATTTTACTTCTTCTACTGCTTCTTCTTCGGGTGCCTCTTCTTCCACTGCTTCTTCTTCTACTGCTTCTTCTTCAACTGTCTCTTCTTCAGATGGTGTTATTTCTTCCACTTCTTCTACTGCCTTTTCTTCAGATGGTGTTATTTCTTCCACTTCTTCTACTGCCTTTTCTTCAGATGGTGTTATTTCTTCCACTTCTTCTACTGCCTTTTCTTCAGATGGTGTTATTTCTTCCACTTCTTCTTCTGCCTTTTCTTCAGATGGTGTTATTTCTTCCACTTCTTCTTCTACTGCTTCTTCTTCAGATGGTATTATTTCTTCCACTTCTTCTTCTACTGCCTTTTCTTCAGATGGTGTTATTTCTTCCACTTCTTCTTCTACTGCCTTTTCTTCAGATGGTGTTATTTCTTCCACTTCTTCAACTGTCTCTTCTTCAGATGGTGTTATTTCTTCCACTTCTTCTGCTTCTACTTCTTCACCTTCCACTTCTTCTGCTTCCACATCTTCTGCTTCTACTTCTTCTGCTTCTACTTCTTCTGCTTCCACATCTTCACCTTCCACTTCTTCACCTTCCACTGCTTCACCTTCCACTTCTTCACCTTCTACTTCTGCAGGCTGCCCATCAGACACGAGTATATCTGTGTGTTCCTTCGTGTCATCTTCTTGATCACTTAAAAATATAATCTCTTCCTTGTCTTTGTCTACTGCAGTTATTTCTGGGCCATATAATTCATTTGCAGCTTCTATACCATAGATTGTAGATTCCTGTTGATTCTCCAATTTTTTAGTTTCCTTTGTGTGTTCCAATGTATTATCATCTTCTTTGGTTTTCTTTTTAGATTCCTTTGGTTTATTTCCTTTAATAGCACAGTTTTGGGAGTGTTTATGTTTTTTATTATCTTTGGTAATGTAATGATCTGGTTTTTCTGTTTCATAGGCACCTATGATAACACAAGGTTTGATTTGCTTACGTTTCAAAGGACGATCTTTTATTATTGCTTCAAAAATTGATTTTTTATTTATAGGAATTAATTGATCAGGTAAAGCTGTATATTCTGGATAATGAGAAATTGCTCGTTTTACTGTTGGATAACTGAACCCATCTTTTTCTATTAATGAACAATTTAATAATGGTTTTTCCCGAATACTTTTTGGTAATACATAATAATCATTTTGTTTTATTTTCTTATTCAATTTTTTAACAGTATAATCGGATAATGCTTCTTTTTTCTTTTCTCTATTTTTAAATAAAAACTTTATAAATTTATTTGGCTTTTTTTCACTTTTGAAATAAAAAATATCATGTGGTTGTAGATGTTCTACTTTTTTATACTGAACACCAAAATATTGTCCTTCTATTTCTTTATCTGTATAATGTATAGCATCATAATCTGAATCGTCTAATTTTTTAATATATTTTTCTAACCCATCTTTTATCTTTCCCATCTTATTACTAAATTTTATGACAACATCATTTTCTACACTATATAATTTACCATATTTGATTGCATCAAATTGAGTTTTCTTTTCTTTATCTTTATATTTTAATGCATTATTTAGAGATTTTAATTTCTTTTTATTATATTTTACTACCTGGCTAGAACTTGTCGTCATTTCATTTTCTTGTGAATCGCTGGCATCTAAAGATTCTTCTGAACCCACAAATGATGAAGGTTCTTTTTTTTCACTTTTCTCGTTTTTTTGAAACTTTTCATTCATTACAAGTTGTTGTTCGTGCATTTCAGATAGGAATCGGTGGGTTCTTTTTCCTTCTACTGCGCCTTTTCCAATTATGTACTTTTCGAAAAGTTCATTCTGAAATGAAAAAAAAAAAAAAAAAAAAAACAGGATATAATATGGTGCTGGGGTAACTAAAACGATAAAAAAAAAAAAAAAAACAGGATGTAATATCATGCATAATACTACAAAGAAAACATGCACATAAAATAAAAGTATTATTCTAATCGTTTGTAAAATATTTTATAATCTGAATATTTAGTTATTTCTTTGGTTCCTTAAAACACATCCTATCTTTTTCACACAGGGAGTCATTTTCATAATGATACGAAAAAAAAAAAAAAAGCAAAAACAAAAAAGACGAAATAAACAAGAAGGACTAGAATAATCACATGTAAAAAAAAAAAAAAAAAGAAAAAGAAGAAAAAAAAAAGTTTCATTAATTTATCTTAATATCATACATGTTCAAAAAGGATTAGTATCCATATGATATGAGAAAGAGAAACCATTTTTGTTAATTATGGTGGTTACTACAATGAAGATGAAAAAAAAAAAAAAAAAAAAAAGATCTGTATACAACATATGTTTTTTATTGTGTTCCTTTTCTATACAATTGTAACTTTTTTTTTTTTTTTTTTGAATTTTATTCCTCTTTTCTATTTAGTATGGTACAAATTAGGTAACAAGAAAAATACATTTTCTGATTTGTGAATCTTGTTTTTCTTATTGGTTACATCCGTTCTTTTTTTTTTTTATAGAAAGAAAAGATGGGGTGTACAGGGAGAAGTTTCAAATTGGAAATGCATTATTATAAATGTATATGTGATATGTAGATGTGATTATGTATTAACACAAATGTATTTATGCTAAGTTAAGAGCACATGAAAAAGGAAATACGCGAAAGAAATACAAATATGTATGCATTTGAGAAAAGAGTTCCAATTTTGTACATAATTTAAAAAATAACTAGAAAAGAAAAAAAGAAAAGAAAAGAAATATAGTAACGTTATTTCTAGTTTTTTTCCAATTTATTCCTTCTTCGTACATATAATAAACAAATATAGATTTACATTCATGAATGTCAGTGCGTATATGTATATATATATATATAAATATACAAAATATATACATATGAACGCTTCCTAAAATTCATTTTCTTCCAAAAATGAAGCAAAAAAAAAAAAAAAAAAGTGATGATTTTTAACTAGTCATACTTTGTAGATATATTTATAAATATTTATGACATATATGTATTTATAAAAATACATGCGTTTCGTACATATAAATTTAGGGAAGCAGAAAAAAAAAAAAAAAATAATAAGATAAAATCTAAGGTTATTAAAAAAAAAAAAAAAAAAAAATACCTTGTTTTGTTTACTTAGTATGCTTATAAAAATGTGAGACGTATTGGCAAAAACAAAGAAAAGAAAGCAATGTATTTTGATAAATTCGGGTACTCAAAGAACTAGCACGGGCTGCATTTGAAATATGCAATGTAGAGAATATCGTGTAACCTGAATGGTGGGAGATAAATTTTAAGAACAAATAAGCATACATAATAAAATACTCATTTTTTTAAGATCAATCTATTGGGGGAGAGGGAACATTTCATTTTTCTCGATTTTGTTTCATTTTGCTTGATTTTATTTCATTTTGCTTGATTTTATTTCATTTTGCTCTATTTTGTTTTATTTTCCTTCCTTTTGCTTGTTCTAGTGAGAAATCCAATTTGCATTTACAGCATTTTTTTTTTTTCCCTTCAAGAATAAAAATAGAAAATATTTGGTTGCTCCTTTTTCGCTGCACGAAGAATGATTTTGTTCTATAGATATGACCCTTGATCTATATTATTGAGTTTAAAGTTTTTTTTTTTTTTTTTTCTAAATACGAATAACTGCTGTTAATCAAAATTGGATTATCAGAGGGGGTAAAAGATGATAAAAAAAAAAAAGAAAAAAAAGAAAAAAAAGAAAAAAAAGAAAATGCATTAAAAAAGGAACGGGGTATTAATTAAAATGACTGAAAAATGAGCGAAAAATGAGCGAAAAATAAAAATTTTAAGAATAGGCAAAAGAAAGTATTGATTGTATATTAACTGTATGTACTTTTTATATTATTATTATTTTTTTTTTTTAAACTAGTTTAATAAAGTGAGAAAATTGCATAATGGAATAATAAAACAATGTAAGCCTGTGTAATGCCATTAAACACGAGGTGAGATAAAAATAATTATGCATGTCTTAGTATTTTTTTTTTTTTTTTTTTTTTTGCTATATATAAATATATATACACATGCTCATACCGTCAAATGTGTCGTCCACTTTAACGCATGAAAATATGTTTACTTAAGAAGGAGAGAAATTATTCTACCTTTTTTTTTTTTTCGCATTAATTTATAGAGGAATATCTTATCCTTTTTTATCTGTTGTGAATAAATTTTCTTTTATTCTTAAGGAAGAAATAGGGAAAAAAAAAAAAAAAAAAAAAAAGAGAAAAAACGTACGGGGGATACAGAAGGATGTTTTCCATGAAAATCGAACATGCTTTTTTTTACATTTTAAAAATTAGTTAAACTTTTTACTTCTCAGAGCAATTATGTTAAACGCGAATTATTTTAATAATTGCATTATTCTTTTATGTACTTTTTATGTGACATGTTTTAACAAAATTGTGTTGATTGATAGAGAATTACACTTTAATGGAAATGTGTAGGTGTGGTTAATGTTAGAACATACAACATGGATTGAGGAATTAAACATGCATGTATTTAAGACTCTCTCTTTATATTCCATCCCATTCTAACAAATGAAAAAAAAAAAAGAAAAAGTGTCCTTATAAAATGAACACTGCTAATAACACAATCATGTGATATTTATATACAGTATTTTATTATTAAAAGCGTATATTATAAAATAATTCTTTTTCTTTTTTTCATTTTTTATAATAAAATTTGCACCTTTTTTTGTGTGTTTTTAGTTACATACTTGACGAGTAAAAAAAAAAATAACAACTTGGAAAAAAAAAAAAAAAAATTATAAAATTCATACATAAACATTTGGATTGTAGGTATGCACGTACATATTATGTACACACAATATGCACATACATGTATATATTTAAAAAGATGAACACGTAATTTCCTGATTGAGGAACCTTGTGGAAAATCTAATTTACATGTGTGATCTTTATACATAAAATCAAAGACAAAAATGTTTCTACATTTATGGAACATTGAAAATAAATACTATATGTAAGAATATGCATATATTAAAAAAGCAGAGAAAAAAAAAAAAGAAAAAAGATGGATACGCATGAGGGGTAAATATACGGGTGATAATAGCGTCATGAGCAATGATGTCAAGGCATACAACACCTGTGGAACAAACACTATCTGAAATACAAACACATGTATAACGTATAAATATATATGTTTTGTTTAAAAAAAAATGTCATGAATTCCCTGTTTTTTTTTTGTGCACCTAGTCTTATTTTCTCCTAAGATTTGGTTTTGCACTACTGTAAGAGTGCTTATTATCTGTGTTTCTATCATTTGTAATTTATGTGTTCAGCGATACACACCATATATCTAGCCATTCAATTTTGTTAGCTCATCTGGGCCTTTGCTCATTTATGTCTTTCATTTTTTTTTATTATTTCATTTTATTATTTCGTTTCATTTTATTATTTCTTTTCATTTTATTATTTCGTTACATTTTATTATTATTTTTTTTTGATTGTCCATTTTGATGAGTGAGCGGTGATTTAGCTAGATGTGGAATTGGAAGAATCAAGACATTTAATGATGGAGCGTGATGGGCTAGCTAAATGGCGAAACTGAGAAGTTTTTTTCACGGCGAAATAGAAACTCTACTATATACAATTATATGGTGTATATATATATGTATATATATATATATATACATATGATATTTTCATTTTCTCGTGCGTCTATGCAGAGGAAGAATTTTCTAATACAGGTGCTGATATTGACATTGATGTTGATGGTAGTGCTTCTGGCACCACTACTTGGGTTGTAGAATCCTCTTCAGATTTTTTTGTTTGCGCCTCGGCATTTACTGATTCTGTATCTACTGACTCAGAGATGGATAATGGTGGTGAGGATGCTGAAGAAGATAATGTATAACCTGAGGTAACAGTTCTCTGTTGAATGTCAAAACCTTTTTTCTCTTCATTCCAGAGAAGCCATTGTTTTTGTCTAATCCATTTTTCAACAAAAAGTTCTATCCATTCATTAAATTCTAAACGTTTTTCATTTTTCCATTCGGACCAACTATTCCAGTTTGAATTGACATATCTACTTTCTTTAATAGCTATCCAATTTTTCCATTCAATACCTTCCTTATAAATTCTTTCTTTCCAAGTAAACCATTGACTCCTTTCCGCAGTTGATAAGGTCTGTGCTGTTGCATCATCATATTTTGACCAATATTGATCTTCATTAGCTTTCCATTCAGTAGTAACCCAATCTTTAATTTTTTCATTTTTCCATTCATTCCATTCATCCATAGTCCATTTACAATAAATAACTTCATTATTGGTAAACCATTTTTTTAAGTCTGCTTCTAAAAGTTCTTTTCCTTCTGTTGATATCCACATTTTCCATTGACGTTCATCCCATGATTCTGATTTGGATAACACATCTGTTTTATATTCTTCATCTAAATTAGGATTAAAATGCATCCATTTGTCCAATAAACTTTTCAAAAACATTACCCAATCTCCTTCTTTTTCTTCAACCCATGCTCTCTTTTCCTCATCAATTTGTGCGTTAAATTCTTTCCAATCATCATCCAATTGGTACACCCATTCAGTCCATTGGTTTCGCTTCCATTCTTCCACTTTGTCATTTGAAGGGCCATAGTTGTTATTATATTCGATTGCTCGATAGGGGTCAGATCTGGAGGATATGCGTCCGTGTTTCTGCCAGGGAGGGAGGAAAAAAAAAAAAAAATAAAATAAAATGAAATAGAGAAGAAAAAAATGGAAGCAAAAATGGGAAAAAAATAAAATGAAATAAAGAAGAAAAAAATGGAAGCAAAGATGGGAAAAAAAAAAAAAAAAATAAAGATGAAAAAAATGGACGCAAAGAGGGGAAAAAAAAAAAATGAAGTAAATAAGAAAACAAAAAATGCATTTTCTCCCTTCTTTGTATCCACGTTTTTCCATATAATCTCTCATATAAGCGTGCACTAAGGAACATGTCTAAATACAATCATTGCATGTAAAGGACAATGGAATAGAAAATTTCAGCACTATCATTTTATAATGCTGTATTTTATGATTCATATGTTATTTTTTCTCCTCTCTTTTTTATGTATAAAAAAGAAGTTTGTGTCTTACAGCTGCATTTCCCTTCACATATAAAGATCCAACATAAAAAAAGAGTATTCCAAAGCATAAAAGTTTAAACAAAGAGGTAAAGTTCATATTATCCATAATATGGCTATGTGCTCTTTCCCTCAGGTTGGTAAAAAGGTAAGGGTCCGTAATGTAATTGTGGAACGATCTGATTTGCTCCATTCTGTGGTCTTTTCTATTTTCTCAATATTTCAATTTTTTCGATGTTTTTTTCTATGAACACGTATTTTGTATATTTATTATGCATATATATAAAGTTGGCATGTACTATCATCCGCATAGAAACAATGATGGATTTAAAGAGTATTTCTAACGATCTCTGCTATTCCCAAGAGACACGATTATTTGACAAGTGAACGCAGATGGAGGTCAATATAAACCAACTTCTACCATACATGCGTAAAATTACATAAATGTATTAATAGATAAATACAAATCAATGAGTTCAATATATATATATATATAATACATATATATAAACTATGTATATCACGTAAAAAAAATAATAATAATAAAAAAAAAAAAAAATTAAAATGTATTCTAAAACTTTAATTTTATAGATATGACCATTATACAATGGCTTGGATATAGATAAAAACGTTAGTAACCCTTTTGTAAGTTCAAAATAATCCATTTAATATACATATCTATAAATTGAAGCCTTAAAAAATTCATAAATTTTATAGAAACTGAACTGAACTCTCTTTTAACATGCATAAAAATTAATCTAAAAAAAAAAAAAAAAAAAAAAAAAAATGCTACATATTTTATGTATGTTAAACGTTGGAACAAATTCGATTTTTTCATTAATTTTTTTTTTTTTTTTCCATAATAAATATAATTTTTAGGATTTACCTATTTTTTAGGTATGCGCATTTTCATATTTAACAATTTCGTATTTCCTCATTTTTGAATTCTTGTGCTAGCGTTATTTTATTTTATTTTTTTAATTTCAGAAAATTTTCATTCTAAAAGGGAAGAAAAATAAATAATTACAATTGGCGAGAAAATGAATTAAAAAAAAAAAAAAAAAAAAAAAAAAAGGGCAACGAAAAAATTAATAATTTTTTTTTTTTTTTTTTTTTTTTTTTTAAATTATAACATTTTAAGTAAAAGAAAGGCATTGGAAAATAGTCCCCTTATCATCCTCTTTATTATTTATTTTTTTATTCGTATTATTTTTCATTTTTGTTTTCTTTCTCCCATGGCAATACAACAATTTCCCTACAGCCCTTAAGAATTTATACTTGTATGTATGGCACCATACATATGCATGTTTTTTTTTTTTTTTTTTTTAATTAATTTTTATTATACGTTTGAAAAAAAAATACTTGAATTTAGAATGGCCTATTTGAAGGAAGTAAAAATGTTCAATAAAAGTGCTTAATTGAAAATGCCTAGTAAAAGTGCCTAGTAAAAATTCCTAATAAATACATAATAATGGTGCATGTAAATATACCTTTTTTTGAAGCATAATAAAATAATCCATTTTTTTTTTTTATTCATTTTTGTTTGGGGTTTTTCGGCAAAAGGGACAACAATATATTTTATTTGTGCATGTAAAATTTATGCGTAAAAATTTACCCCAAACTAAACGAACATAATTACCTCTCCTTATTTGGTATGCATATATTAATCATACATATGAATAATATATATATATAGGCAGACAAATAAATATATATATATATATATATATATATATATATATATATTTTCTTAGCTTCCCAACTCTATGCGTAATTAGAAAAAAAAAAAAAAAATGAAAGTTAGATGATGTCCTACTTCTAAGTATATTTTTTCTACTAAGAAAAAGCAAAAAAAAAAAAAAAAAAAACACCTGAAAATTGTATCATAAATGTTGTACTATATACATGTATACAAAATATGTTCCATTATATTATCTCTTTTTTGTATATTTTTTTTTAAAATTATAATTAATAGTATATCAAAAAAAAAGAAGGATAGAAAATGTTCATACATGACATTTACATAGTTGTTGCATGTGTCTTATTTACAACCATGTTTCAATTAAGGATTACCAAAAAAAAAAAAATAAAATAAAATGAAAATAAATAATAAAAAAAAAAAAGTGGGGAAATATATGGGAAATTTATTCTAAGTTGTTTCAAAATCAATGCATAATTTCCAAATAAAAATAATATCATGTTAAGTGCAAGTATATCCACCTTCCATCGATTTTTAATAGTCCAATTTTTAGTAGTCCAATTTTTAGTAGTCCAATTTTTAGTAGTTCAATTTTTAGTAATCCAATTTTTTGTAGTCCACTTTTTGGCATATAATATGATGACCGTTTATGACAGGGGTGGAGTTTTCTACTAGGATGATTTTTATTACATATTTACATTTTTATACAACCTTAGACATTTCTAAAATGCTAGAAAAATGAAACCGATCTTGTGGGGATGGAACAAGAACTCCCCATTTGATGTACACGCTACATGAACGTATCATGAATCATGAGTATACATATATATATAAATATATATATATACATTTCAAATGTATAAGTTTTGCAACCCTCAAAATGGCATTTGCTTAAGTCCCTGCTTTGTGGCAACCCAGTATTTGACGAATGTGTGGTAATCATATCATGGGTTCGAAAAGTGAGTTCTTTTTTCGCAGAAGCGGGGAGTGTTGTATTTTCATCACCCCATTCGTCACATCCGTTTTAAAGGAACAGATGCAGAATTAAGTTTTATTTTATTTTATTTTCACATGTCTAAAGAGACTTATACCATTTATTGCATGCGTGGGATACACATATATAAATTCAGAAAATTAACAAAGTGGATGAAATGAGTAATATAAATTTAGATCGTTACGTTTTTTTTTTTTTTATCCCTATATAAGATAATGAATGCCAGTTCTGGATAGATAAAGAGAATAAAAACTTTCGTGGCATATTTACTACCCCTATGGTTGTTCATCAGGAAAATGCATACCAGTTAGAGTTGTTTAAACTCTTTTAAGAATTTAGAAATGTAAAAAGTTTAATATATTTTTCTCAGTTACATAAGCTTAGTGTTATCAAAAATATTACTACATTGAGGAGTGGGGATAGGAAATGTTATGATAAGATAGAATTGTTGAGCTGGTGTTTATTTTTAACATTTATTTAAGTTCCATTATTTAACACTATTAAAGATTTTTCCAATTTTTATTTTTTACGCTGCCTCCCCCATGGCTAACACACACATATTACACTCTTCTTTGCATTTGGAAAAATGTAGTTAGAAGTTTCTAGGATTAATAAAAACATTATTCTTCTTTGCTGCGCGAAAATATACTCGTCTGATATGCACTCAGAAACGATTGTTATTATTACTGTCACTGCTGCCATTGCTTCTATTGCTGCTATTACTACTACTATCATTACTACTGTTATTTTATTTTATTTTTACGTCTCTCCTAATTTATGAATACATAAAGCTTAGCACAAAGTCATATTTCACCATAATCATAATAACAAGAATTTTCTATAACACTTTATGCATATTCTATGGGTGATTGTTCACGAGAGGGCCGAACATAGAAAAGGTATAAAATTTGCGAGAATATATAATGCTTCTATTTGAGCGAAAATGAGAGAAAAAAATGTACATACATGCATAAGTAGATATAGATATATATATATGTATATACAGATATACAAGTATGCGCCTATTTATTCATACTGTTCCCAGTGTTCCAAATTCTTTGGATTCCTTATTTATGTTATTATTCTGCTACCACTGCAACTCGTACTACTACTACTCTACTACTGTTACGATTTATTTTTTATTTTTATTTTTATTTTTATTTCATTTTATTTTTATTTTATTTTTATTTTTATTTTATTTTTATTTTATTTTTTCGAAATGGCAAACAGACTTAGGAAAAGTAACGCATTGGGACATATTGCATTCTAAATGAAGCATATTTTTATTTTACAAAAGTTAAAAAAAATATACGTTGCTTTTTACTTGCAATTAATTTGTACATTTATTTATGTGAACATTTTGTATTTTATGAACTATATCATTATTAGATATCTTACTAGGGAACTTTTATTTTTCTTTCTCTGAAATATGTTTGTCAATATTGAAAAAAACGTATTTTGCTGCGTAGATAAATTATCATATACATTATTATTATTTTGAAGCTTCAAATATCCAGGTGCTCATAGATATTATTCCAAAATATATTAGCCTTTATTTGTATTTAATAGTTTTTATTCTTTTTTTTTTTTTTTTTTTTTTTTTTTATATATAAAAAATTAAGAGGAAAAGAGTAGTTTAGATATATAATTTATACTTTTTTTAAAAAAAAAAAAAAAAAAAAAAAAAGGCTAGGTTCTACCACTAATTATTATATCATGTAAGATTGAACCGTAATATATAAAAAAAAAATAAGTATCAAACTTTGTCCTATAAATGTAAATATATTTATTTATAATGTATTTGTACATGCATATACATTAAAAAAAAAATTATATATATATATATATTACATATTATATACAATATTAGGAAATGACGAATTAGCTTTTTTTTATTTTTTTACAAGCCTTTTCATATTTTCAATGATCCCATTAGAAAGAAATAATAGAAAACAAGAAAAGGAAAGACTGATAAAGATAAACTAACCCCATTTGCTTTTTGAAATGATAAAAAACGTATAATAATATATGTACATATACATATATATGCATTTCCCAAGTTTGGAAGTTGAAAAATTGCTATGTAAGTAATTTTTGCCAGTTTTCTTTTTGCATCAAATAAATGTAAGCATTAAGAAAACCCCCAAAAAAAAAAAAAAAAAAAAAAAAAAAAAAAATATATATATATACATGTATAACATATTTTTTTAGGAGCCTTCAAATTTATACTATACTATACTGTCATGTATATGTATTTATGTATATTTCTTATATTTGTTTTACATGGTAGTGTAGTGCAAGTCATGTTTTACCATTAAGATATATTTACTACTTCTGATTATTTTCTAATGCTTGTTGCATGTAACCACCCGTGTTACGTTTCCTAACATTGGCTGTTTTCTTGTCGTCTTGGGGTCGTCTCATTTTGGAGCTTGTACATTGTATGTGCAGTTCATACACGACAAGACATGAACCATGCATGAACAGTGTATGCACAATGTATGCACAATGCATACACAATGTATGTGTTCATTTTTTGCGTTAAAAGAGTTCTAAGATGTGTTAAATCTATTGTCGAATAATATACATCGACCATTGTATGAATGGACGCTTCTTGATTATATGTTCATATGATTCGTTACCTAGTTCTATGAATGATCTGTTGATTAAATTACCAACTAATGTTGGAAATTATTAACCATTGTGAAAACTACTAGTTTTGATTTTTCCAATGTTTGCTTATGTCTCCCATCCCTTATCATCGCTATTTTTATTTAATTTTTTTGTTTCAGGCATCTTTATTTTGAAATTGCTTAAGTTATTTTAAAAAAAATAATAATAGTAATAGCAATAACAACAGTAATAGTAATAACAACAGTAATAGTATTAACAATAGTAATAACAACAGTAATAGAAATAATAAGATAAAAAGGAGAACGTGTTTTTTTTTTTTTTTTTTTTTTTAAAATGTCTAATTCGAGTAGCAGCAGTATTAGAGGCAGCACTTCGCATAAGTACAACAGAGGATGCAGAAAAATTAAGAACATAAATGATACATCTTGGGAAGGAAGAGATAGAAAAAAAGAGAAGGGAAACAAGAACAATAGAATGAAGTTATTTTTTAAGAGTAGTATCTTTTCTGTTTTAATATTGATCATACAGTTGTCTAGTTGGGATGTAATAATGCATACGACAGAGGCTCGTCCTGCCATGAGTGCTTTGATATATTAACATATTCATATGTTCACGTTTTTATATATTTTATGCATGCTCTCTCATGTATACATGCGTCTATATATTTTGTACATGTTAAAATTAAAAAAAAAATTCTGGGACTAAATGTACACACATGTCCAAGTTGGAGTTATGCTTTTCACTTTCATGTGCTAATAGCACAGTCCTCTAATTTGACTTTTTACTCAATTTTTTTTATGTTTTTATTTTTCCTCCTTTTAAGGGATACCATGATCAGTGGAAAGGAGATGCTGCAAATGGAGCCAAAAAATTTGGAAATAATCGATTATTATTTAACATTAGTGATGATTTTATGAACGGGGAACAGAATGCACCCTCACAAAGTACATCCAGTGTTATGGAAAATAATGAACAAAGAAATGTATCATCGGAGCAAGCACCACAGCGAGAAGCACCACAACGACAAGCACCACAACGACAAGCATCATTCACGTCTCCATTCACAACACCATTCACGTCTCCATTCACAGCTCCATTTTCATTTGATTCTCCATCAGAATCATCGACACCATCTGTATCAGGATCCATGTTCTCCTCACCAGGTACATCTTCAGGCCTATCTGCAGGCCCATCTGCAGGCTCATCTTCACGTGCATCTTCAGGTTCATATCCATTCGCTTCACCATTTACCTCTCCATCTGCAATGGCATTCACATCTTCTGGATCACCAGGATCTAGTAGCATGAACCCATCAAATGACACGTATTGGTCTTCATATCATGATGGATTGAGATATCTGAATAACAGAGCTTTTAGTGGCGTGGCCACGGATTTCCGTTATCCAAATTTTATGCCAAACTCATTAAATGGACAAAATTCGTTTGGAAATGGTACTTTATTTGATAAGATTAATGAAAACTTTTTGTTTTATTTGTTTTCTTTTATTACTGGATTATTTCTTCTAAGTCAATTGGGAGCCGAGAAACTGTTGATAATAGCTTCTGCTGTTGGGATAGCTGGCCATATGAGAGGTGCCATAACGTATAGATAATGTGTTCAGTTTGTCCAGGCCTATAATATATATGTATATGTATATATGTATATGTACTTATATGAATGTATGAACATATGAATATTTGAAGTGTATGCGAAGGTAATTAACTTTCAAGCCTGAGGAAAATCAAAGCAAAACATAATCTAAAATATTTCTTTTCCTGTAATGGCAATGTGGAATGTTGGATATTGGCCACATAATTACAAAATCACCACAAAGCTTCTTTTCCAACTGGAGAAAAAACTATGATTATTATTATTATTATGATAATGCGCAAGGGATATGTAATTCTTTTTAAGGAGATAAGTGATTATGATGTTTCATTACTTTCTTGATATGCAGAAAAAGACATATCGTACATGTGGAATGGCGCAAATGGAATATTGGATAAAAGGATCATTGCCAACTTGAGAAGAAGGTGTAATGAAAGTGGGAAGAAATTCGTTTTTATTTTATTTTATTTTTTTTTCAAGTTGTGAAAGACTACCGATGTGTTGTGCTGTTTTTAATACGACCGATTCATTTCATTTATGAAGACTGAACAGATTATTGCACTACTTTTTTCTTTTTATTTGTCCACAAGAATTTATTCTAACTAGCTGAAGTGATAATACATTACACATCATCCTTTGTCCTTCCTTTGGTTCTCCCTCCCCCACCACCACTATGCATCCTATTTAATGATGACATTACGTTGTATATAGATCAATTCAATTTATATTTGTAAAAAGGTGTCTAGTTTTAATTAATTTTTTTTTTTTTTTTTTTTTTTTTTTTGTATACTTAAAAAAGAAAAAGAAATATATTGTTATTATTTTACTCCTTTCACCAAAGATATTATTATTACTACCAGTAGTGTTAATGGGCCTCACACCATGGGAAGGCAAAGTAAATCTATGAATTCCTTTAAATTTGTGTGATTCCAGGAATTCTTTTATTTCCATTTTTTTTTATATAGAATATACCATATTTCACTCCGCATAGTTGAGTTGCATTTTTGGGAGTTTATTTATGTTTTTTTTTTTTTTTTTTTTTTTTTATGTCTATTTTAGAACTATACATAAGTAATACCGTATGTGTGTGTATATATATATATATATATATATACATGCGTGCATACCCATTACTAATTTTAAGAGAACTGGGGATACAGTGTGTCTTTATTAATATATATCCCTATATTTTATTTACCAAAACTTTTCATAGAACTCCTTATGAGAATTTTGTTGCTAAAAATGTTTCATAAAAAGAAATGTTCAAGTGCAGATTTTTTTTTTTTTTTTTTTTTTTTTGTATTTGCACCTTTAAGATTTACTACTAGTAAAAGTTAACCTTTTACACATTTCTGCATGTTATGTGGCAATGTGCGTAGCGTATCCATCGAATTGTTTATGAAGAGATGGGGATATCGCAAATGCATTACCAATGGAGTTCTTAAAAATAGGTTCTAAAAAATAGGTTCTAAAAAATGGGTTCTAAAAATGGGTTCTAAAAAATGGGTTCTAAAAAATAGGTTCTAAAAATGGGTTCTAAAAAATGGGTTCTAAAAAATTGTTCCCTATTTTTTATAAAGCAGAAATAGATTAATCGCTAAATTAACAATAGAACAGCGAAAACGAAAGGCGAATTTTTTATCTTATATTTTCTAAATTATCCTCCTATTTGCAAGAAACTAATTAGTTTGCCTTCCCATTTTGATTCTACACAATGGACAAGATGAAGATTTAAAAGAAGTGTCAAAGTAAACAAGTTATTAAAACAGTCGAAGTATGCAAACGGGAAGAAATAAAAAAAAAAAAAAAAAAAAAAAAAAAGTATAAACAACCGATTGTCCTTATTATGATGAGAAGTGGGTAATGAAAGGACTTATGAATCTATGCATGTTCTCAAACAGAATAAATAACTCCAGTATAATAGTACATTGCTAGGAAATTCCCGGATGAAGCTTACGCCCTTCTTTTCATACATGCAGAAGAGTAATATCTTTGTTATCATAAGTATATAACATAACATAATATTATATTTGTAGCTGTCATAGTTGCCTCGTTTTAGTGGCTTAATTTTTTTATATTTTAAAGCATTAAGAGTAATGGAAGGAAAAAGAGAAGCTGTAAAAGGAATTGTTCTGAGGTTTACATATATGAGAATTCGTTATGGTTAAAATAGTGAAAAAAAAAAAAAGAAATTATAATAAATAAAACAGTTGTAATGAATAAAATAATTATAATAAATAAAACAATTGTAATGAATAAAATAATTATAATAAATAAAACAATTGTAATGAATAAAATAATTATAATAAATAAAACAATTGTAATGAATTCAAAATAAAATTAAAAAAAATTTGTTTATTTAATTTATTTTTAAATATGATAAGTATGAGTAAAACAATTTATTTATTAAATTTTTTTTACAATTTTTAGCATGCGGAAGAAAAAAGACATGTTTTAATAAATATGAATAAATAATTAAATACATTCCTCCTATGATCAGACAAAAAGAGAGAGGCATGTTGTTTTGTTAAGAAACAAATCCGCTATTATAATTGCAGTTTTTATCGATTATATATTTATTTTCATTTTATGCCCAAAAAGTAGAAGAAAATCATCGATTTTAATTAGGACATATTTAGATGAATTCTTTTAATATAACATAATAAATATATTATATGACATACAAAAATAAAAAAAAAGAAAAAGAACTGGTTGTTTAGGAAGGAAAAAGTTAATAGTATAAATTTATGCAACACCATTAGATACATTCATTTTATACATATAAATATGTTCTATGAATAAGAATTCCCATTTTTTATTTGCTTTTTCGCTTAATATATTTATTATTTAAAAATGTTATTTCTTAAGACAGTTACATTATATGCTTTGAGTGTATTAAAAAGTCGTAGCATTCATTATATATATATATATATATATACATATCATAAAATTAAGAATTTTAAAAAGATATTTATTTTTTACATTTCTGAAATTAGTGAAGAGCGAAATATAAGTACTTAAACATTTTTGAACTGTCCAATTTGGTGTATTAATAATAGTAACATTTGTTGAATTCACTATTTCCATCAATTCTCACAGTGAAAAGCAAAATGGAACAAGATGAACCTATTGATACATTGAAGAAGAAGGTAACTTTTCATTCTTTTTTTTATAATTTTGGATATTTTACTCTTGAAGTGTTTAAATTGTTTCTCCTCGAGAGTAGTAGGATTTGAAAATACATACATACACAATACATGATATTTCTGTCCTCTTAAATGTAGTACAGTTTTTTGACAAGCTGGCCTGGTTACGTTGATCCGAGCGAAGATGGTAACTAAACAGTTTTAAAAAAAAATATTATAATTATGTAAGAATATAAATCAAAGTCGCAAGATATTCAAAAAAAAAAAAAAAAAAAAATTTTATAAATGCTATTATTATCCCGCTTGTAGACTATAATAAAATTAATGGAAATGGGACACCTTATGAGAAACATGAAGTTTGGACTAATTTTTTGAAATGGTTTTTTGATAAAAAAAAGTCTTACTATCCATATTTAAATAAATTTGATACAGAAACATTTAGTGAGTCTGCTAAAAAATTAATTTACCACAGTTCTATGAATAATCATAATATAGGTTATTTTTTGCGTGATAATGAGATATTAGAAAAATTATTGAAATTATATTATTTCGGACAAAATGTTGGAGAAATTAAAACCATACTACAAAATTCACACAATTCTAATTATAAAGATACTTGTAAATATGTCAATGAATGTCTTCATATATTTAGAGAACTTAAAAGAAGCTATTGTCCAAAGGGAATTCCCAGTGATTATAGCAGTAATACTGTGTGTAACCAATTAGGAGAGTTTGCAAATAGATATGAATATACCCTTTATGAACCTTTAAAAAGACATAATAAAATGTCATCCATAGATAAGCATCCAGATGCAGCACAAGTAAGATGTGAATTGACCGATTCATTGTTTTATACCCCATTTTGGAGTTTGTATAAAACCAATTCAGATGAGTTCACAGTATTCGGAAATTTTGTTGTTTCTGGTTTTGTCATGTTTGCCGTATACTTAATTCTGCTAATTTTGTACAAGGTAAGATGATGATGAGATAAGATGGATATTTTTACAAATCGGTTCTTTTTGCACTTTTTCACGAAAAGGAAGTTTCTCATTTTGCACACATAAGATATACAAATTTCTTTTTTTTTCATTTTTTTCTGTTCAGTTTACACCCATCGGAATGAGATTCAGACCTGGAGGACGTAGACAGGCAAGACGAATATGGAGAAAAATCGAAATGGAACAATTCAGAGATTCCGGAAGTAGCTTATATAGTGATGATGAGCAATCTGTGTACTCAGACAATTACGAGTCATCCAGCACGTTCGTGTATGGAAATAATAGATACGATTATTTTGGTTATTTGTAAAAATATAATTTTTACAATTATTACATGAAATGTATTATGCTGATTCATTGTCAGCTGGTTTTATAATTAAAGATACACTGACTTGGTTCATTAAAAATAAAAAGCAGAATGATTAAAAAAGAAGAGATACTAGTCAATAACATTTGTTCTTTTTCCTACCACGAAAAGAGTTTAAGCAGTTGAATGATTAAGAATTTAAAAATGTGACCAAAATTTCAGCTATTCCAAACTGAGCAAATTAGATAAATAGTAATGTACATTTTTAGTTCCTTATATGACAAGCTTGATGTGAAAACTTTTTATTTTATTTTATTTATCTGTCTACCTTTATTACTGTACTATTTCTTTTAAGCAAATTTAGAGAAGAAAAGTTGTTTGTTGTAGGATTGCACAGTTGGGAGATAGCTAGCCATTTGAGAAATATCTTAATGTGCAGGTAATTTGTTTTATATAGATGTCTTTAATCCATGTTGGATGTATGAAAAATGTACGAAAAAATAATAAAATTTCAAACGTGAATAAAAGAAGAAGCAAAAAAAAAAAATGTAAATATTTGTCGTACGTTCATTTGATTATTTTTTACATTTTTATAATAGCAAAATGTTTGCAAAACTTTTAATAAATATTTGTTGTTTTACCATATGTGTATTATTTTTTAAAATAATTTTTTCGCTGCCTACTTTTTTTATGGGCATTTCCACCGTTTCTTTAAATTTGTACCCGATGAAAAGAAGCAGATGAGCAAATCTTTTGTAGACTCGTTTATGTAGAATATTCATTTAGTACAATGTTATAATTTGATTTTTTGTTTTAAAACAACCATGTTATTTTTATTTTATTTTTAAAATTAAAAAATGTTGCAAAAATATGTAATGATATATCCCATCATATGCTGTTTAACGCATATTAATCTTTTTTTTTTTTTTTTTATGTATATTTTTACCTATATTAATAATAAGTATGAAGGAACGTTTGCTTTTTTTTTTTTTTTTTTAAGTAGCAACACTTATAATCTTTTTAAACGAATATTTTAAAAGATTAAAAATACATTATCTGATTCATCATTTAGTCTTTTGAGTGCCCACTTGAAATTATTCTTTGAGAATTCAGGTTGATACATGTATATGTTGCATGTGTTGTATACACCTGTACGTATACATTTTGACACATTTTAGCACATATATAATTCACAAGTTTCATCGTTAGTATGTACCACTCTGTGTAGTGTCAATTGTGATATATTTTAAATGGTTTATTAATTAGGTTAGCTATTGTTCATATCTTAGGTTCAGATATTTATGCTCACATAGATTTCACACAATCGTTGGCATTCCTCATATGTAGTATTCACATATTTGGTACGTGACTAGCGTACATACATGTGATTAGTGTGTATGCATATGGGTAGTGTATATATGCACACACACTGTCAACAACTGTGGATAAGAGAAATGACAATTTGTTTTCCTTACACAATAAATATAATAGTGATAAGTAAATGGACGTGGAAAAAAAAAAAAACATCTTAATTTTTGTGAAAAATAGCTAGATGAACGGAATCTATAAAAAAGAACCTCTTCTTTTTCTAAGTCGAAAAAGGAACATTCATACAGAAGAATCTTTTTTTTTTTTTTTTTTTCGAACCCTACTTAGATATTTATGTGCTTGCATAAATATGCACATGTAAGGGTAAAATAATAATTTTTTTGAAAAAAGCTATCTTATGAAATTTTATTTGTGCAACACTGCACATTGTTAATGCAGTTTTGCACATTTGTTTATTATTCGTTTGTTTATTGTTCACTAGTTTATTATTCGTTTGTTTATTATTCGTTTGTTTATTATTCGTTTGTTTATTGTTCATTTATTTATTTTATTTTTTGTGGGTGCGTGAGGTGCAGCAGGCTATTTTACTCAACCAGAATAATAATAATGGGAAACCAACTTTTTCTGCTTCATTTCCCCATTCTTGTTTCAATTTATTTTTATTTTACATTATTTGTTTTACAAATTTAGAATTGCTTTACAATTAGTATAAAGTTCTGATTTTATAATTTGTTCCTTCTTTATTAATTCATATATGGAACATTGAAAATGACATGAAATAATATTAGTGCATTTTTTATTAATAATATGTATTTTTACAGTTGTAAAAAAGAAAAGCAAAAAAAAAAAATAAAAAAAAAATTACCAACAATAAGAATGATAAATAAAATACAGGTGCACGGAATTCAAAAAATAGAATAAAAAATTTGTGAAAGCATTTAATTTATTTTTGTAAATTTATAAACATCATAATTAGAGTAAATCCCAATATATTTATTAAAAAAAATTTACAAGTTTTCCAACAATATGGAGAAAGACCGATTTTATATAATAATTTATTATTAAATTATTTTAAATATTTTCTATAATTAACCCAAGAGGGAGTGTATGTTGTTTTGTTAAGGAAAATAAATCCACTATTATAATTTCAATTTATATAATTATATCTCTCTAATTATATTTCATATACTGGAAAATAGCAAAATTTCATTGATTTATTATTTTCACTTAATAACCACATATATATATTAATGAGTTTTTTTTTTTTTTTTGTTTTCTATATTATAAATAATGTATATATAATTTTTATAAAGTAAAAAAAAAAAAAAAAAAAAAAAAAGCTTTTTTTAAGTAAGAATAAAAAAATTAATAATTTATCCTTTTATATACAGTATTATTATTAGATTATTATTATATATTTTATAACAAGGTTCTAACACTGATTTTCCATTTTTGCATAACATTTTATTATTTTAAAATGTTATTTCATAAAACAGTTTCATTATTTTTTTGAGTACATTAAAAAAGTCAGTTGCAATATATTATATATTACATTATAAAATTTAAGAAGTTTTTCTATTTAAAAAATTATTTTTATGATTTTTAAAATTTGGTTAAGAACGAAAAGGAATATTAGAATATTTCCCAACTGACCAATTTATTTTATTAATAATAATATTTGTTAAGTTTATTATTCCCTTGAAAAATTCTAACAGCAAAAAAACAAAATGGCAGAAAACAGCAGTCCCCTTGCTCTATTGAAGACGAAGGTAGCATTTTATTTATTTTACTATTTTGTTTTATTATTATTTTTTTTTATATTTTATTTTATCTATTATTTTATTTACTATTTTGAATGCTTTGTTGTTTCTAAAGTATGCAAAAAATTTAGTTTTCAAAATAGGCATATATGAATATACACACATTATATACATATTATTTCTTTTTACTTTATAGTATGACTTTTTGAAGAACTGGCCCAAATATGATGAAAATATTGGCAGTAGTAAGCGTTCTTAAAAATATTCTAATTATGAAAAAATGTAAAACACTTTTCACAATGTTAGAAAAATAAAAAAAAAAATTTAAATGTTATTTTTATTACCCCTTTAGGTGTTGTACCACGTCAGACAAGTGAGCCGCATAAGACACAGGAAATTTGGGTTAATTTTTTGAAATGGTTTTACGACAAAAAAGAGTCATATAACTCATTTTTCGGCATTAATTGGGATTCAAAGGAGTTTCTTGGTAATTTTAAAACTGCACTAGAAAGTAGTTATGATAGTAACAAGAATATAGAATCCTTTTTGAGTGATAAGAGAGAATTAGAAAAATTATTGAAATTACATTATTTTGGAGAAAATGTTGGAGATATTAAAACCATACTGGATAACCAAAACCATGGTAGTTACAGAAATGCGTGTGAATTTGTCAATGAATGTCTTCATTTATTTAGGGAGTTAAAACAAAATTATTGTAAGAGTGAAATTGTTCATTATAAAAGTAATAATGCTGTTTGTAGCATATTAGGTGGATTTGAGGATACTTATGAATATAAACTTTACACACCTTTAAAAAGCCATAATAAAATGTCGTCCTTATTGCAATATCCAGAATCAGCACAAGTAAGATGTGATATAAGTGATTCATTGTATTATACTCCATTTTGGAGTTTGTATAAAACCAATTCGGAGGAATTTTCAGTATTAGGAAATTTTGTTGTTTCTGGTTTTGTCATGTTTGCTGTGTATTTAATTCTGCTAATTTTGTACAAGGTAAGATAATGATGAGATAAAATGGATATTTTTACGAAGCAGTTCTTTTTGCACTTTTTTACGAAAAGGAAGTTTCTCATTCTGCACACAAGATACATGAGTTTTTTTCTCATTTTTTCGCATATTTTTTCATTTTTTTCTGTTCAGTTTACACCCATCGGATTGCACTTCAGCCCTGGAGGGCAAAGAAAAGCAAGACGAATATGGAGAAAAGTGGAAATGGATCAGTTCAGAGATTCTGGAAGTAGCTTATATAGTGATGATAGCGAGAGCGTATATTCAGACAATTACGATGAATCATCTAGCACGTTCGTGTATGGAAATAATAGATATTATTAAATCCATTATTTTGTAAAACACAGTTATATATTTACTACATGCAATGCATTATGCATGTTTACTGTCAACTGGTTTTATAATTAAAGATACTGATTTGGCTCATTAAAAATAAACGCTGGATGGTTAAAAAAGAAGAGATTTTAGTCAATAACGTTTGTTCATTTTCCTACCACGAAGAGTTTAAGCAGTTGAATGATTCAGATTTTAAAAATGTGACAAAAATTTTTGTTATTCTAAACTGATAGCAAATTCGATAAATAGTAATGTACATTTATAGTTCCTTATATGACAAGCTTAATGTGAAAACTTTTTATTTTATTTATTTATTTTTAAGTTTGGAATATTTCTTTTAAGCAAATTTAGAGAAGAAAAGTTGTTTGTTGTAGATTCCACAGTTGGGAGACAGCTAGCCATTTGAGAAATATCTTAATGTGCAGGTAATTTGTTTTGTATAGGTGTCTTTAATCCATGTGGATGTATGAAAAGTGTACGAAAAAATAATAAAATTTTAAACGTGAATAAAAAAAGAAGCAAAAAAAAAAAAATGTAAAAATTTGTCGTACGTTCATTTGATTATTTTTTACATTTTTATAAAAACAAAATATGTACAATGAGGTTTAATAAATGATTGTTATTTTACCACTTGTGCATCATTTTTTAAAATGATTTTCATATCATTATTTAAAATTGTTACTATTTATGCTTCACTGTGAGTACGTATTGCTTCGTCAAATTGGAATGCCATAAGAAGAAATAAGTTGAAAAATCCTGTGGACATGAGATGATAATTATCAACAGGTTCTAGCTTATAATTTGAATTTTGCTTTTTTATTCAATCCTTTTATTATTTTATTTTTTAAAATTAAAAAGTTTTGTTAAATTTGCAATATCTGCATTTCATGTTTTATGTGTATGAATTTGTTTATTCATACCTGTCTATACCAATAAACTAAGAAGCATTGTTACTTTTTTTTTTTTTTTTTTTATTTCTAAGTAGCAAAAAATTTATTATAACTAAGCTAATATTTTTAAAGATTTTAAAACGCATTTTTTTTCCCATTCTACATTAGGTCTTTTTCATCACTCATTTAGAATTATTCTTTGTGAAGTAACACCGAGAGTGCATGCATTCATACATATGTACATACGTACATATATATGTATACATGTATATTCATTTATTTAATTCATCTCACATTTATGTGTAGGTATATAATACCACACAGTACAGTGTTAAATGCTCGTACTGAGAATGGTTTACTGATTAGTACAGTTATGGAAAGTGGGTTAAGTTCATACATTTGTTTTTTGCTGACTTTGGTAGAAATATCAGCATAGACATATATGTTGCATTTATTTTTTTGAGACGTATGACAAATATATGTACATATGTATGCTCGACAGCAATGAGGGGAAAAATAACAGTTCATTTTTTTTATACAATAAATTTACTACAGATAGAAAAAAATGGATAGGAGAAAAAAAAAAAAAATGCTAACTTTTGTGAAAAATAGCTAGATAACAGAATTGCTACAAGATTACCACCTCTCTTTTTTTTCTAAATCTAAAAAATGTTTACAGTAGAACAAAAAGAACACTTAAATAGAATAACCTTTCTTTTCCAAGCCTATTGATATGCTGATATGTAGATATGTTGATAAGTTCATATGTTGATATATTTGCATAAATTTATGAGCAAACATTCATTTTTTTTTGGAAGAAATTACTTTATAAAATTATATTTCTAAAACAGTGTATATATTATCTGTCAAATTTCTGCTCATTTATTTTTTCTTTTTTTTTGGAGGTATACTTTTTTATTTAGTGAGAGTTAATAATAGTGGAAAATTATTTTTTTTTTTTATTTCATTTTATATCTATGTTGACAGTCTATTTTTATTTTATTTTATCTTGTCTCATTTGTTTTGCTGATTGCAATTATTTTATAATTAACGTAAAGAATGATTTTTTAGTTTCTTCTAGATTAGAATCGAAACATTGAAAAAGACTTGACATAGAAATGTATTTTTTATTATAATTATGCTGTGAAAAAAAAAAAAATAAATAAATAAATAAAATAATTTGGTTGCAAAATATACATGCAGAAAATATAATAAAAAAATTTCGCTTATTTAATTTATTTTTATAAATTATATAAATATCATAGTAATAGCAAAATAATTTACTTATTTACTGAAAATTTTTTACAAATTTTGCAATGTGGAAAGACATGTTTTTATGTAGTGTTAATAATTAAATATATTTTCTACAATCATCCAAAAAGAGAGGAGATGTTTGTCTCTATATGAATGAAAAAATGCCCACTAGAAGAACCATACTGTAAATTTTAGAATTATATATATATATATAATATTTGCATTTTACGAGCAAAACAAATAATAGGGGAAATCATGGATTCTATTTAAATCATATTTAAAATTTTTTTTTTATATATTATATGAAATATGTTATACAAATAAAAGAGAAAATAAAAGTAGTGATATATATATATATATATGCTTAAGGATGGGAAAAAAAGAATAATTCATTTTCATGCAGTGCTTTATTAGATATAGTATTAGTACAAGTTCTAATACTTCATAACCATTTATTATTTCCATATTCCCTTAAGTAACATTATTTTTAAATAAAAAAATATTATTTAATAATACAATTTCATTATTTAATTGTATTATAAAGTCACAATTTTACATTACAAAAAAAAAAAAAAAAAAAAAAAAAAAAAAAACATTAATTTTTTAAAATATCAATTTTTATGATTTAAAATTATTGAAGAACAAGACGGGAATACTTCATCTATACTTAATCATCGTGGTCTTTCATATCAATAATAGAATTTGAAAAGTTCATTACTTGGTTCTGTTATTATATTGGAAAGCAAAATGGCAGCAACTGGTGGTGGTGGTTACCTTGATAAATTGAAGGAACAAGTAACTTTTTCATTTTTTTTATATTTTATTTTATCCTTTATTTTGAATGCTTTGTTGTTCCTAAAGTATGCAAAAAATTTAGCCTTCAAACTAGGCATATATGAATATACACACGTTATATACATATTATTTCTTTTTACTTTATAGTATAACTTTTTGACGAACTGGCCTAAATATGATGAAAGTACTTACAGTAAGCAATTTTAAAAATATACTAATTATGAAAAAATGTAAAACATTTTTCACAATGTCACAAAAATAAAAAAAAAAGTAAAAAAATTTAAATGTTATTTTTATTACCCCTTTTGATGTTGTATAAGGTAAGACAAGTGATCAACGTAAGACACAGGAAGCTTGGGTTAATTTTTTGAAATGGTTTTACGACAACGAAAAATCATACTACCCATCTTTCAGCTTTAATTCGGATTCAAAGGAGTTTCTTGGTAATTTTAAAACAGCATTAGAAAGTAGTTATGATAATAACAATAATATAAAATCCTTCTTAAGTGATAAGAGCGAATTAGAAAAGTTATTGAAATTACATTATTTTGGAGAAAATGTTGGAGATATTATGATGATACTAGATAATCAAAACCATGGTAATTATAAGGACGCTTGCAGTTTTGTCAATGAATGTCTTCATTTATTTAGAGAGTTAAAAAAAAATTATTGCCAAGAAGAAAAAGCTGTTGATTATAAAAGTAATAATGCTGTTTGTAGCATATTAGGTGGATTTGAGAATACTTATGAATATAAACTTTATAGTCCTTTAAAAAGCCATAATAAAATGTCATCCTTATTGCAATATCCAGAATCAGCACAAGTAAGATGTGATATAAGTGATTCATTGTATTATACTCCATTTTGGAGTTTGTATAAAACCAATTCGGAAGAATTTTCAGTATTAGGAAATTTTGTTGTTTCTGGTTTTGTCATGTTTGCCGTATACTTAATTCTGCTAATTTTGTACAAGGTAAGATGATGATGAGATAGGATGGATATGTGGCAAAGCGGTTCTTTTTGCACTTTTTCATGAAAAGGAAGTTTCTCATTCTGCACACAATATATATGAGTTATTATCTCATTTTTTCCATTTTTTCTGATCAGTTTACACCCATCGGGATGAGATTCAAACCTGGAGGACGTAGACAGGCAAGACGAATATGGAGAAAAATCGAAATGGATCAATTCAGAGATTCTGCAAGTAGCTTATATAGTGATGATAGCGAGAGCATATATTCAGACAATCACGATGGATCATCCAGCACATTTGTATATGGAAATAACAGATATTATTAAATCTATTATTTTGTAAAAAAAACAGTTATATTTTTATTACATGCAATGTATTATGCTGATTCATTGCCAGCTGGTTTTACAATTAAAGATATTTAATTAGTGCAAAAACAAGAAATATAGGTAGGTAGAAATAATAAACAATTAACAGGTTGGAAGTGTAGAACTGCGAAGTATAAATTGTTTTCATTGCAAAACATTTACTATGTTATGATGAGGAATTCGTTATTTTGATCTATCGGTATAGTATACCTTACACTGATACAGTTGTAGATTATCGATTGTGAAGAAAAGGAAAAAATACATATATACATATGCATATGTATATATATATATATATATGTTGTGTGTCCATTAGGTGACATCATATAATTTGATTTTTCCTTATAAAGCAAATCCTTTTAAAATTTTATTCTTAAAATTAAAAAAGCTTGCATATTTTGCATGATAGCATTTCAAGTTCTACTTGTTTTATTATTTTATTTTATTTTTTATGTATATTTATTCCTGCACAAACCACACTTATTGGGCAAGTTTTTTTTTTTTTTTTTTTAATTAACACAACTTATTATCTTTAAACTATTTTTTTAAATGATTAAAAATTCATTTTCTCATTCTGCATTTAGCCTTTTCACTACTCATTTTAAAGCTTTCCTTTCCCTTGCGAAATAAAACGGGTTCATATGCATACACCACATATATATATATATATATATATATGTAGTGTAAGTATGTATATGCTTCTTCACTCCTATGTCTCATGCATGGTGTAGTATCAAATGCACATACTGCTTGAAAGGTTTCCCAATTAACATAGTTATTTTTCATATATGCTATGTTCAAACATTTATATATGTGTACCTTGATAGAAGTATTACTTACTATACAAATATTGCAGCATTCGTGTGTGTGATATATATGGGTAGTGTATATATGCACGCACACCTTCAACAACTGTGGAGAAACGAAATAATAATTTGTTTTACTTACACAATAAATATAATAGTGATAAAATAAATGGATGTGGAAAAACAAAATCTTAACTTTTGTGAAAAATAACTAGATATGCAAATTTCTTAAACGCAACCATTTTCTTTTTCTAAACTGAAAAAAGGAATATTCAAGTAGAACAATCTTTTTTTTTTTTTTTTTTTTTTTTCGAACCCTACTTAGATATTTATGTGATTGTATAAATATGCACATATGTAAACATATCAATCATACTTTTTTTTTTTTTTTTAAAAGGTTACCTTTTTTTTTATGCAGTTTATATAATGCCTTAAATATCGTGAAATCATTTTTTTTTTTTTTTTTGCACACTTATTTTTTTCATTTTTTTGCGGAGGGGGCATGTTTTTTTATTTGTTTAGAATGATAATTGGAATTTATTTTTTTATTTTATTCTATTTCTGCTTCATTCTATTTCTGCTTCATTCTATTTTTATTTTGTATTGTATTTATTTATTTTAATGATTACAATTGTTTTATAATAAAGATGAACAACGGTTCCTTAATTTCTTCCAAATTTGCATACAACATTGAAAATGATATAAAATAGAAAACAATGTTGTTATCATTGCCGTGGTGAAAAAAAAAAAAAAAAAATAATAATAACAATAGCAATAATAGTAATAATAACAATAATAATAATAATAGTAATAATAGTAATAATAATAATAGTAATAATAATAGTAATAATAAAATAGTTGCAGCGCATTCAAAAAATAGAATAAAAATTTTGTTTATTTAATTTACGTTTACATGTAATAAATAAGGGTGAAATAACTTATTTATTAAAAAAGTTATACAATTTTTACAACATGGAGAAAAGAATATTTTATATAATATAAATAATTATGTATTCTACAATGCGCCAAGAGGATGTTATGTATGTTGTTATATTTATATATGATATGTTAATGAAAAAAAAAGAATTCATAAGAACTGCAGATTTTGTAACAATATATTTTTACGCATAGAAAAATAATAGGAAAATTATAGAGATTCTGATTTTAACACATATTTTTATAAATTTTTTTACATACATGTAATATTACATACATAATATATATATTTTTTGAATAAAATAGAAAATAAAGGAGCTTCTTTTCTATGCTTAGGAAGAAAAAATTTAACAAATTTTCTTTATACAGTATTGTTAGATATTCTATTTATACAGGGTAAACAGTTCTAACACTGATTTTTCACTTTCTACTTCGATTTTTTATTGCGATTTTCACCGAACATTTTATTATTTAACAATTTTATTTCATGAAAAACAGTTTCAGAATTTGCTTCAGTGTATTAAAAAGTCGCAATATATATATTATTACATTATAAAATTAAGAATTTTAAAATATTTATTTCTACGATTTAAAATAAGTGAAAAACGAAATTCATGAATATTTTTGAACTTCCCAATTTCTCGTATTATTTTAAGAATAATATTTTTTGAGATAATTACTTAGTTCAGTTTTTATATTGGAAAGCAAAATGTCAACAACTGGTGGTGGTTACCTTGATCAATTGAAGGAACAAGTAACTTTTTCATTTTTATTTGCTTTTTTTATTTACTACTTTGAATGCTTTCTCTTGTTCTGAAAGTGAACAATAAAATTAATCTTCAAAATAAGCATATATGAATATACACACATTTTATACATATTATATCTTTTTACTTTATAGTATAACTTTTTGACGAACTGGCCCAAATATGATAAAAATACTGACAGTAATAAGTGTTTTTAAAAATATTCTAATTATGAAAAAATGTAAAACATTTTTCACAATGTTAGAAAAATAAAAAAAAAATTTTAAATGTTATTTTTATTACCCCTTTAGGTTATAAAAAGATTGATGCAAATGCTAGTACATCTAATGTTGATCATGAAACTTGGGTTAATTTTTTGAAATGGTTTTACGACAATAATAGTAACTACTTCTACTATGCAAATGGAATGGATTCAAGTGAACTTGCGGAACCAATCAAAAAGATAACGGAAAGTAATTATACTAACAATCCTAATATAAATCAAATTTTGAGTAGTAAAGAAAAATTGGAAAAATTATTGAAATTGCATTATTTTGGACAAAATGTTGGAGATATTCAAACCATACTGGATAACCAAAACCATAGTAGTTACAAAAATGCTTGTGAATTTGTCAATGAATGTCTTCATATATTTAGAGAGTTTAAAAAAGATTATTGTGAAGTTGGCACAACAAGTAATTATAAAGGTAGCACTGTTTGTAAGCAGTTAGACGAATTTCTCGATAGGTATGAATATAGTCTTTACAAACCTTTAAAAAGCCATAATAAAATGTCGTCCTTAGTGGATTATCCAGAATCAGCTCAAGTAAGATGTGATATAAGTGATTCATTGTATTATACTCCATTTTGGAGTTTGTATAAAACCAATTCGGAAGAATTTTCAGTATTAGGAAATTTTGTTGTTTCTGGTTTTGTCATGTTTGCCGTATACTTAATTCTGCTAATTTTGTACAAGGTAAGATGATGATGAGATAAAATGGATATTTCTACAAAGCAGTTCTTGTTACACATTTTCATGAAAAGGAAGTTTGTCATTCTGGACACAAGATATATGAACTTTTTCGTATTTTTTTCCATTTTTTTCTGTTCAGTTTACACCCATCGGATTGCACTTTAGCCCAGGAGGCCAAAGAAAAGCAAGACGAATATGGAGAAAAGTGGAAATGGATCAGTTCAGAGATTCTGGAAGTAGCTTATACAGTGATGATAACGAGAGTGAATATGCAGACAATTACGAGTCATCTAGCACGTTCGTGTATGGAAATAATAGATATTATTAATTCCATTAATTGTAAAAAACAGTTATATATTTACTACATGCAATGTATTATGCTGATTCATTGCCATCCGATTTTACAATTAAAGATACTGATTTGGCTCATTAAAAATAAACGCTGTATAGTTAAAAAAGAATCGATTCTAGTCAATAACATTTGTTCATTTTCCTGCCACGAAAAATTTAAGCAGTTGAATGATTCAGAATTTAAAAATGTGACAAAAATTTTTGTTATTCTAAACTGATAGCAAATTAGATAAGTAGTAATGTACATTTGTAGTTCGTTATATGACCAGCTTAATGTGAAAATTTTTTATTTTATTTATTTATCTTTAAGATTGGATTGTTTATTTTAAGAAGAAAAGTTGCTTCTTATAGATTCCGCTGTTGGAATTGGCCATTTGAGAAATATCTTAATGTGCAGGTAATTTGTTGTGTTTATTCAGGTGTATATTACCCACCTGCACACATGAAGTGTATGAAAAAATAATAATTTTTCAAACATGAGAAAAAAATGGGGAAAAAAATATATATATATATTTATATGTATATAAATTTTTGTCACGTTCATTTTATGACTTCCAATTTTTTATAAAGAAAAATTGTCTACAGATGGCATAATGAATGATTGTTATTTTACCACTTGTGCATCATTTTTTAAAATGATTTTTATATCATTATTTATAATTGTTACTATTTGTGCTTCACTATGAGTACGTACTGCTTCGTCAAATTGGAATGCCATAAGAAGAAATAAGTTGAAAAATCCTGTGGACATGAGATGATAATTGTCAACAGACTTACAAGCTCAATAATTTGATTTTTGCCCTTTATATTAACTATTTAGCATTTTATTCTTAAAATTAAAAAAGTCTGAAAATTTGAGAAATTATATATCATTTGATGTGCTTATATTGATTAGTTTATAATATGTATATTTATCAACGTATCCTAATAATTATGAAATATGTTTTTTTTTTTTTTTTTCTTTTTTTTTTTTTTTTTTTTTTTTTTTTTTAAATGATAAAATTTACTATTTTAAATTAATACCGAATGGAGTTAGAAAACTTTTTATTATTCTGTATATTTAGCCTTTACACTATCCATTTAAAATTATTCCCATGCGAAACAAAAAGGGAGTGTGTATAATGTGTATTTATAATATTTACATATATTTATGTATGTATATTTTTTTTTTAATTCATCTCATTATTCTTTTCTTGTATGTGCTACATAAGTGGCTTATCAAATATACTTACGACGAGCTGGATAGTTAATATAGTATAATACTTATTGTTCATACGTAAGGTTTATACATTTATATTTGTATAACTTTGGTAGAACTGTTATCATACACATATATGTAGCATTCATATATGTGATTAATATATGTATATATACATTCACATGTCTAAATAATTATGGGAAATGATATACTTGTTCATTTTATCTATACAATTAAATTTTGAGGAAAAAAAATGAACTAGGCTCCAACCTCTTATATTTTGTGAAAAATAGCAGAATAGAACGAATTTCTAAAAAGCTTCTTTATCTTCTAAATCGAAGAAGCATTTACATTAGCAAAAAAAAAAAAAAAAAAAATGTTAAACAGAAAAAGGCATATTTAAATGAAATACTTTTCCCTTTCTTAACCTATTGATATATTTACATATTAGGGATAAATAAATATATATATACATATATGTTAATATAAAACATACGCGCACATTTCATTGTTTATTTTACTTTTTTCATGGCACATGTTTTTTCTATAGCAGGGATAGATAGGAAGGGTTATTCGTTTTTTTTTTTTTTTTTTTTTTTTTTTTTTTTTTATTTATTTCCTTTACATTTTGTTTATTTCACAAATTACAATTTTATGTTATAATTAACAGTGTGCAACGAATTTTTAATTTTTCCTGAATACATCCTATTAACGATTAACATACAATCTGACAATGTTATGAAAAAAACATTGCATTATTACTATTGCGACTTTGAAATTTTTCAATTTTGAAAAAAAAAAAAAAAAAAAAGGAATATTACCTAATCCTATTTTTAAATATCATAGTGTGAATATAACAATTTATTCGTTAAATTTTTTTTCCGAATCTTTAGAATTAAAAAAGACATTTATATAATATAATAATATAATAATATAATGATAAAATGGATTTTATAAATATGTTAAAAAGGTAGATATATATTTTATTAATGAAAATTTCACAACTGCAGTTTTAAATTATATATTTTTATATTTTATATTATCTAGCATTTTTAGTTAGCATATATGCATGTATACATATTTCAATGCATTTTTTTAATATTACACATATTTATGCGCATAAAATATGGAAATATTTAGAAAAGAAAAAATTATGTAATTTTTATTCTTTCCTTATTTATTTGATATATTATATTTACACATAAAGTTTTAATGTCAAATTCTTATTTTTTTTATTTTATTTTTCATACACGCTACAGTTTTTTTTTTTTTTTTAAAAATGTTATTTAATAGAATAACTTTATGATTTGCTTAGGTGTGTGTATATAAAGTTACAATACTACATTATGAAACATTGAATTTTAAAAATATTTATTTTTATGACTTAAAAATTAGTGAAAAACGAAACTTAATAGTTAAACATTTCTGAGCTTTCCAATTTCACATACTAATAGCAATCTCATTTGTTGAGTTCATTACTTGGTTTATTTCTTACATCGGGAGGAAATATGACAGGAACTAATCTTATTAAACAATTGAGAGAAAAAGTAGGCGCCTCCCTTTTTTTTTTTCTTTTTTTTATCATTAACAAGTTTGAATACTTTGCTGCTTGTAAAATAAACAAAAAAGTTTCACCTTGAAAATAGAAATACATGAAAATACACACACAATGTATAACATTTCTTTTAATTCTATATAGTATGAATTTTTGAAAAGTTGGCCCGAATATAGTAATCCGACAGATGCAGGTAAGAATTTATAAAAATATTATAATTATGTAAATCTATAAATCAAGTTTCATGACATGCAAAAATATATATATATATTTTAAATGCTGTTTTTATTATCCTCTTAGGTTATAATCAAATTTTAAAAACTACAGGGGAATATGATAAGAATAAGCATGATGCTTGGATTAATTTTTTGAAATGGTTTTACGATAAAAATGACAAGTACTACCAGGATTCGTTTGGTTTGAAATCAAGTGAAAATGGTGATTCTTTTAAAAAGGCAATTTTAGATAGTTATACTACTAATAAGAATATAGAATCCTTTTTAAGTGATAAGAGCAAATTAGAAAAATTATTAAAATTATACTATTTTGGAGAAAATGTTGGGGATATTAAAAATATATTGGATAATCAAAATCATGATAGTTACAAAAATGCGTGTGAATTTGTCAATGAATGTCTTCATATATTTAGAGAGCTTAAAAAAGATTATTGTGAAGGTGACATAACAAGTAATTATAAAGGTGGTACTGTTTGTAGCCAATTAGGGGAATTTCTCAGTAGATATGAATATAGTCTTTACACACCTTTAAAAAGGCATAATAAAATGTCATCCCTAGTGAATTATCCAGAATCAGCACAAGTAAGGTGTGATTTAAGTTATTCGTTGTTTTTTACCCCATTTTTGAGTTTATATAAGGCAAATTCAGATGAATTTACAGTATTCGGAAATTTTGTTGTTTCTGGTTTTGTCATGTTTGCCGTATACTTAATTCTGCTAATTTTGTACAAGGTAAGATGATGATGAGATAAGATGGATATTTGGAAAAGCGGCTCTTTTTGCACTTTTTCACGAAAAGGAAGTTTCTCATTTTGCACACATAAGATATACAAATTTCTTTTTTTTTCATTTTTTTCTGTTCAGTTTACACCCATCGGACTGAGATTCAGCCCTGAAGGACAAAGAAAAGCAAGAAGAATATGGAGAAAAGTAGAAATGGAACATTACAGAAATCCTGGAAATAGCTTATACAGTGATGATGAACAATCTATGTACTCAGACAATTACGGGTCAGCGAACACATTTGTGTATGGAAATAATAGATATTATTAAATCCATTATTTTGTAAAACACAGTTATATATTTACTACATGCAATGCATTATGCATGTTTACTGTCAACTGGTTTTATAATTAAAGATACTGATTCGGTTCATTAAAAATAAACGTCTGGATGGTTAAAAAAGAAGCTATTCTAGTCAATAGTATTTGTTCATTTTCCTACCACGAAGAGTTTAAGCAGTTGAATGATTCAAAATTTAAAAATGTGACAAAAATTTTTGTTATTCCAAACTGAGAAAATTAGATAAATAGTAAAATACATTTGTGGTTCGTTATGTGACCAGCTTAATGTGAAAATTTTTTATTTTATTTATTTATCTTTAAGATTGGATTATTTATTTTAAGCATATTTTAAGAAAAAAAGTTGCTTCTTATAGATTCCGCTGTTGGAATTGCCCATTTGAGAAATGTCATAACGTGAAGGTAATTTGTTGTGTTTATTCAGATGTATATTACCCGCTTGCACACATGAAGTGTATGAAAAAATAATAATTTTTCAAACATGAAAAAAAAAGGGGAAAAAATATATATATATATATATATGTATATAAATTTTTGTTACGCTCATTTTATGACGTCCAAATTTTTATAAAGAAAAATTGTCTACAGAAGGCATAATGAATGATTATTGTTTTTCCATTTGTGTCTTATTTTTTTAAACATTTATATATCATTATTTAAAATTGTACTATTATGTTAGATTGTGTGCAAGCACCGTTCCGATAAGTTAAAATTCTATGAATTAGAATAAATGGTTAAAATCTGTGAAGATGATATAACAATGACCTATAGGTGTCAGCTTATAATTTGATTTTAACTTTTTAAGGAACCCTTTTAAATATTTCATTCTTAAAATTTAAAAGGATTGCAAATTTTGCAATAAGAGCACTTCATGCTCGATGTGTATTAATTTGTTTATGTGTATTTATGTACCCTATATACTAACAACTATGAAAGTACACGTTTGTTTTTTTCCTTTTTTTTTTTTTTTTTTTAACAAAATTTATTATTTAAATTGATACTTAAACGGATTAAAAGAGCTTTTTCTTATTATTCCATAAACCATTGTGGGTTTTTTTTATAATTACTCAATAGCAAAAAAAATAGAAAAAGGCGAATATATGCATGTATATATATATAATATGTATACGATACATATGTGTATATTTTATTTTTTTTTTTTAATTCCTCTGACGATTTTCCTCTAGTACGTACCAAATAGAGCTGTATCAAATATACTTACTCTGAATGGTTCTGTGAGCATCTCAGTATGAAACGTGGGCTAGGTTTACACATTTGTGTTTACCTAACTTTAATAGAATTATTACCATGAACAAGCAGCATTCGCATGTCCTATATGTAACTGCTACATGTGTAACCACTATATATATGTAACTACTATGTATGTGCTTAATATATACATGTACACTTACACATGATGGTCAACAAATAGGAGAGATAAATAGGAAGCTCATTTTGATTATACAATAAATTTGTGGGGAAGAAAATGAACTTGGCTAACCTGTTAACTTCTGTGAAAAATAGCTGGATGAACGAATTTCTAAATCGGAGGCTATTTTTCTAAATTGATAAAACATTGACATAAAAAAAATTTTTGAACGAAAAAAGATTGTTTAATTAGAGTGCCTTTTTTTTTTTTTTTTTCTAAACCTATGGATATGTTTATGGTATTTTGGCTAAATATACACATATTCAGAAACGCTAACATTGAAATACATACATAAAATACATTCTTTTTTTTTTCTTTTGAAAGTGTCACCTTTTTTTAAGCTATTTGAATGTGCACTAAATATCGACAATGCACTTTTGCACAGTTACGTTTTATTTATTTTTTTTTTCTTATGAAAGAAAGGAGGTATAGGTATTTTTTCTATAGTGGGAATAACAAAAGGTAATATATATTCTTTATTTTTTTTTGTTTTTTTTATTTTATTTTGCTTTCATTGTTTCATAAATTACAATTGTATTATAATTAACATAAGCGCAACGATATTTTTAATTTTTTTTTCCTCGAATTATTAAGAAAATTATAACACATGCATTGACAATGGTATATAAATAAACTTTGCACTGTTACTATTGCAATTTTGCAAAAAAAAAAAAAAAAAAAAAAAGAAGGAATAAAAAAAAAAAAGAATATAACAAAAAGGCTTATTTTTAAATGTCATAATTAGAGGTGTAACACTTTTTTTTTTTTTAGAAACTATAATTTTTTTTACAATTGAAAACAAGACATTTATGTAGCATTGTAAGGAAGAAATACACTATATGGTATATATAAATGGCCCAAAGAAAGACATATTACTTAGTAAAATTTCACAACAATTATAGCTTCCAATTATATTTTTATATTTTAGGGATAGAAAAATAGCAAAGGGCCCCAAATCTACCAACATATCATTTTATACCTATCTCTTTTATTTACCATATACTTTTTGGTGAACATTTTTTATTATTACACATATTTATGTGCATAAAATAAATTAAATTAAGAAAGGACTTGTTTACTTAGAATAGCAAAAATTATATAGCTTCTACTGCTTACACAATATTTATTTGACGCATACTATTTTTGCATGTAAAAATTCTAAAAATTACTTTCCTTTTTTTTATTTTATTTTTTATTCACATAACAGTTTTTTTTTTAAAAATCTTAAATAGTATAATAGCTTTACTATTTACTTGGGTGTATTTATTAAGTCACAATATTACTTTATGAACCATTGAAATTAAATAATATTTATTTTTACCATTTTTAATTTGTGAAAAACAAAGCACAATACTTCCTGTATATTTGATCTTCTTAATATTGTGCATTAACAATATTTATTCAGTTCATTATTTGGTTCACGTTTTACATTTGAAGAAAATATGACAGAAACAAAGCGCATTGGTCAATTGAAGAATCAAGTAACTTTTCATTATTTTAGAATTCTGCATATTTTGTTGTTCCAAAAGTACACAAAAAATTTTGGCTTCAAAATAAGAATACATGAATATACACACAGTATATGCATATTACTTGTTTTTATTCTATAGTATAATTTTTTGACGAACTGGCCCCAATATAGTGATCCGCAAAAAGATGGTAAGTGTTTATAAAAATGTTATAATTATACAGCTACATAAGTCAAATTTCATTATATTTCTAGAAAAAAAAATGTTTATATGCTAATTTTACCGCCTTTTTAGACTATTATGGAACTACTCAAATGTCTGATCCATCCAATAGCAAAAAACACGAAGTTTGGCTTAATTTTTTGAAATGGTTTTACGACAGTAATGATTTGTATTACCAGAATTTATATGGTTTGAAATCAACTGAATTTAAGGAGCCGTTTAAAAGTGTACTTGAAGGTAACTATTATAACAATCAGAACTTAGATTATTTTTTGAGTAACAAGAATGAACTAGAAAAATTATTGAAATTATATTATTTTGGACAAAATGTTGGAGATATTAAATCCATACTACAAAATCTACACGATCCAAATTATAAAGTTACTTGCCAATATGTCAATGAATGTCTTCATTTATTTAGAGAACTTAAAAGAAATTATTGCCCAAAGGGAGTACCCAGTGATTACAGCAGTAATACTGTGTGTAACCAATTAGGAGAGTTTGCAAATAGGTATGAATATACCCTTTATGAACCTTTAAAAAGACATAATAAAATGTCATCCGTAGATAAGTATCCAGATGCAGCACAAGTAAGATGTGAATTGACCGATTCATTGTTTTATACTCCATTTTGGAGTTTGTATAAAGCCAATGTAGATGAGTTTACAGTATTTGGAAATTTTGTTGTCGCTGGTTTTGTCATGTTTGCCGTATACTTAATTCTGCTAATTTTGTACAAGGTAAGATGATGATGAGATAAGATGGATATTTGGCAAAGCGGTTCTTTTTGCATTTTTTCACGAAAAGGAAGTTTCTTATTTTGCACACATAAGATATACAAATTTCTTTTTTTTTCATTTTTTTCTGTTCAGTTTACACCCATCGGACTGAGATTTAACCCAGAAGGACAAAGAAAAGCAAGACGAATATGGAGAAAAGTTGAAATGGAACAAGCCCGAAATAATCGAGGCGAATATAGTGATGATGACGAGAGCTTATATTCAGATAATGAAGGGTCATCGAACACGTTTGTATATGGAAATAATAGATATTATTAATTTGATTATTTTGTAAAACACAGTTATATATTTATTACATGCAATGTATTATGCTGATTTACTATAAATTGGTTTTCCAGTTAAAGCCATTTAAGTAGTGCATTAAAAATAAATATCGGTAGACAAAAAAAAATAAACAATTAACAGATTGGAAGTGCAAAATTCTGAAGTATAAATTGTTTTTATTGCAAAGCATTTACTGTGTTATGATGAGCAATTCGTTATTTTGATCTATAGGTATACTTTTACACTGATACAGTTATACATTATCGATTGTGAAGAAAAAGAAAAAAAAAAAATAAAATAAAATAAAATAAAACAAATAAATAATAAATAAAAGATGCAGAAAGAATTCATAAAGAAATAGTGAAATTTACATATATGCAGAACCCTTTGAAAAATGTGCACATCGAGACGAGGCAAGACAAATATGATAACAGCACTGTACATATACATATATACCCATTTTTTCTTCTTCTTTTTAATTTCTTTTGGTTAATTTTTTTTATACTATTTTTTATTTGCATCAAGTGGGGCATATATATATATATATATATATATATATATATATATATATATATATATATATGCAAACTGTGAAAATTGTCAAAATTATCAGTTTGGAGTGCAACAATTGCCTTTTAACGTGATTTCTCTGATACATTTTGATAACTGTATATTTTTACTCATACAAGCTTTACCCATTCGAGAAATTATCTATTTATGTCAGCATGTAACTGCTATATGCAAATTTTTGATTTATGTTTTTAATCTCTATCTTCACGAACGTTACAACATCATGTTCCAAGGAAGTGTTTTCTATGTAGATATGCACGCTTAAAGGAGATATTATTACGCACTTGGAAAAATTAGTTATACCTTACAAAGTATCCACTTTACAGAAGAACAATGTAAAGTACAAATTGTTGATTTTGCATGATTAAATGGTAGATCTCTGTGTGTTTGTGTGTGCATATGTACATAGACTACACTGTTCCCACATAGAAATACATTTATTCCTAATTTGAATGGCCAGTGTTATCCAATTTGTGAAGAAGAATAAAATGCGTTAAATTGAGCTTAGTGTTAGTGATATGTTAGCATGCTGAGAAATGATTATTGATGTGGCTTCATCACATTATTATATACATTTTTACGTGTTGTAATATGGTACTCTTCACTACAGTTGACTATTTTACCTTAATGCAACAATGTACATTTTAAATGTTTTTAAGTATTTATGTTGTTCATACGAATGTATTTTATATATATATATATATACATGTATATGTGTGTATGTATGTATATGTGTGTGTCCTGATTAGACATCAGAATTATCAACATCACTGATGACGTATACACTACATGAGCACCTTTTTGGTACACACTAAATTTTATATATGCATGTAAATTTTGAGAAATATATAAATATGTATTGAAAAAGGAATTTTTTTTCTCCCCTTCACATTTATACATTTACTAATCTTTTGCATACCTCGGATATTTCTGCTGATTCGTTTTTAGTCTTTTTTTTATGCTATTTAGCTTGCTACTTTTATTACTGTGTATTATACCACACATTTTGGTACATATTTTATCAATTCATTGGTTATTTATTTTTATATTCAACTTTATTCACATTTTTTCCAGGAATTAATGGAGTACCGCATTTTACAGGTGTGATGATGCAAGGTACTTTTTCACGTTTAGCAATTTCTTTCAATTATAATTTTCGTCCAACATCCCCAACATGTACATATATATATATATATATATATATATATATATATATATATATATATATATATATATATATATATATATATATATATATATATATATGTAGTAGCACTGATTAAACATTTTTCTTATTCACATAGGGTTTTGTGTGGATCGGGACATGGATATTATTTTATTTTTCCAAAATGTTCTGTCTATGGTAATATTGTACCCCTTGGTGCAGTGTAAGAATTATAAAATAAGCCATCGAAATGGAAATGTACGAATTTTCAACTTTTCTTATCATATTATGTAAGCAAACCAATGAGAATATCGTTTTGCGAATATATGAATTAGTGCAAAAAAAGTGAAACTCCAAGTGTACATGTTCCTAAGTAATCACATGAAAATGGGGAGAATATTGTTGTACAATTTTTTCCCGTTTTTTCCATTTAATCACCATTTACTGGAATGGTAAAAATACGATTCTTCAGCGGAGTAACAGTTGCCATTTTCAAACGAATTGTAAATAAGAAAAAAGGACGGGGATTAAAAAAAAAAAAAAAAAAAAAATGTGCAAATATAACAATGTGAAGAAAAATTAAAAAATTTTTCCAAAAATGCAATTAATTTTACTGCAAGGAGTTAAAGGAAAGGGTTAAAATTATTTTCATACGCTTTTTCCAAGTAGAAAGTTTTAAAAGTTTTATCACGTCGTATTAAGAATGTTTTTTTGTGAAAAATGGAGAAATGGAAAAATGTAGAAATGGAAAAATGTAGAAATGGAAAAATGTAGAAATGGAAAAATGTAGAAATGGAAAAATGTAGAAATGGAAAAATGTAGAAATGGAAAAATGTAGAAATGGAAAAATGTAGAAATGGAAAAATGTAGAAATGGAAAAATGTAGAAATGGAAAAATGTAGAAATGGAAAAATGTAGAAATGGAAAAATGTAGAAATGGAAAAATCCATTTTACGAGCTAAATGTGCAAACTTGTCCAAACGTACTTCTACTGATTATTCTAAGCTATTTTTTTTTTTTTTTTGAAAAATTATAACCGTTAATGTATGCTCATATTTCATCTGTACATTTATAAGGTACAGAAAAATTCATGGTTCACTAATATTGCTACTACGGTTTGGTTAAGTGAAGCAACAAGGTATAAATATATATATATATATATATATATGTATATAATATATATATATATATTATGTATATATTACATAATTACACACTTGTGCGTAATTGGGAAAAAAGGGAATAATATTTTTCCACATATTTTAGGAGGAATATTTTTTCATACCATAGGAGGTACTGTTTTGAAATAGTGATAATACGCATAATATATAATACATATAAAATATAGACTTTACTAATCAGATAAGAAGGTAAATTATACATTAAAATACTATAAAGGGAAGATAATACGTTAATCTATAAATGTACACAAATATTAAATACTAAAAATACATGATAATGGGAATAATTCACATATCGCCAAGTGATCCAATTTAGTTCTATATATATATATATATATATCATAATATTTTTTAGTTTTATTTATTTTTTTTTTTTTTTGAAATATCGTCGTCCTTTCTGCCTTTAATATAAATATATTAAAAATTATTCACCTTTTAAATTCCCATTTGTAAAAAATAATTTGGAAGAATTTTATCATTAGCAACAATTCTAATGAATATCTTCTTAAAATCTCATAGCTGAATAATAAAAAAAATAAAATACTACTACTACTACTATTACTACTACTACTACTAATAATAATTCTTATGAGACATTGTATAATTTAAATGTTAAAAAGTGATATAGGAAATCTTTAAAAAATTGAAAAAAAAATAAATCCGTATATAAATAACACTTTTACGAATTTAATTTTGCAAGGATTTAACCCTCATAATTCTTCTTAACTCAGCAATGGAGGAATATAGTAATTATTTTAAGGGGTTAAAAATAGCGCTTCTGTGAATACACTTACATTGAAAGAAAATAATTTGTGCTATACGTTTTTGGATGTATAATGTAGAGAAGTATAAGTTAATATATGTATATATTTATTTTCTTATTTGTCTATGCATTATTCACCTGCTGTATATATTACGCTAAACAGGAATGGCATTATATATGTATATATATATATATATATATATATATATATATATATGATATGCACGTTTAACACAACTTATGAGTGCTGGAATTGTTAGTGCAAAATTTTCATTTTCAAATTATTATATATGCATTTTATTCTCCTTTTGCACAGCTTTTTTTTTTTTTTTTTTTTTTTTTTTTTTTTTTGTGTATAATTATGTACAGTACTTTTATGCAGTGCATACCACAATTCTATTAACTTTTCATAGTCCTAAATTTATTTAGAATTTTATTTTTTCAAAAATATTATATGTTCATTTTTGTATTTCTAATAACAAATGAGTATTAGAATTTAACATTTGTAATAGGATATAATAATTAAGGAAATAATCCTGGCTGTAAAAATATATATATATATATATGTACATATATACATACATAATAACATTAACTTGTTATTATTTTTCTGATTTTGAATTAATTAAAAATTTAGAATATTATTAAATAAATTATGCTCCATTATAACATTGTTAGAAAATACAAAATTATCCCTTAATTAATTTATTGTATCACACATTTTGTAAGCAATGGGTACTGCAAGCAAAATACAAGAAGTTCGCGAGAAGTTAAAAGAAGAGGTATACCTATTTTTGTTTTTTTATTAAAGACATTTATGTGCTACATTACATTTAGAATATTCTATTATATAGAAGAGAATCGAAGAATAATTTCTTTCTTTTTTTTTTTTTTTTTTTTTTTTTGCTGTTTTTTTGATCTATAGAATTAAATCATTTTCTTTTATTTTATTTTAATTGCTTTTTTTTTTTTTTTTTTTTTTTTTTCTAAGTATGGGAGTATTCTGAAAAGTTGGCCAGATTATAATAAAAGCTTTGACTTAGATCAATTATATAAGCATAATTACGAAATAATATGTAATCAAATTGAGAGTGAAAATGGGAATAGAAATGATGATGATAAAAAACTGTGTCAAAGCTTTTTTGGTTTTTTGGAACATATTAATTATGGAGGTGGAAATAACATGTACAAGGGACATTCGGTGTGGTCTGATTTTATAGAATGGGCTTATAAAAAACAAGAAAAGCCGAATACATTTACATATGACAATTTGGAAAATTTCGTTAATAAGGTTGAAGGATTTTTTAAAAAAAGAATGGAACCAGCGCTTGACAACACTATTGAAATTTTAAATAAGGACAATGTAAGATTAAGAAATTTAATGAAATTACACTATTATTTAGAAAGTGCTGGAGACATTAAAGTTCTAATAGATGGTAATCATGGTGAAAATTATCCAGATTATTGCAAGTTCATCAATGATTGTCTTGATATATTTAATGCCTATTATCCTGAAGTGTGTACTAATACTCCTGATGATACGAAGCCTAAAAACATATGTAAACTTTTGGAAAGATTTAAGGATCATTATGAGAATATAATGTATAAAGCGTTACGATATAGACAAGCCCTTATTAAAGACGACCATACTGACATATTTTCAAATAGGGTTCTTTGTAGGGTGAATAAAAAGGAGTATAGTGCACATCCTATTGCAAGTTTTATTAATGCAGCCAAAAGTGCAAATTCTCCATTATTTAACAAAATTATGATAAGTTCCTTTTCTGTATTGGGATTCCTTTTGATTTTCTTCGTTTTGATAAAGGTTCGTTTGAGAGATAATTTTTAAATTTGTCAATTGTGTTTTTTTGTGCATGCATTTATTTTGCATACATCTTTACGTTAACTTTATTTGTAAATATGTGTCACTTTTCATGAATTGTTTTACAAACCACGGAGGAAGTGAATTGAACTCTCTATGTTGTCAACTGTGCGAATTATGAACACATCCGTGTATGGGTCCATTGCAGAGTTAATTATAAAAAACGGGCATCATCATTATCATCATCCCATCATTATCATCTCATCATTACTATCATCTCATCTTTACTATCATCTCTGTATAAATTTTCTCGCCGCGCAGGTTACACCCCTAGAATCCCTGATTTTTGGTAAAGAACGAAGCAGTAGAAGAAGATGGAGAAAGGGTCCAGCAGAAGAATACGAGGACGAATTCGAGTCTTCAGATCAGTATTCATACGGATCCTCAGATAAACACTCATACGAATCATCAGATCAGTATTCATACGAATCATCAGACCAGTATTCATATGAATCATCAGACCAGTATTTATATGAATCATCAGACCAGTATCCTTACAAATCATCAGACCAGTATTCGTACCAATCCTCAAATCAGTATAATTCACGTGGCCAAGATTTCGATGATTATTTTTCCAATGCATCTTAGATGATATGTATAACGATTAAGTTGAAGAGGAGCACAGGGATCTGTGTACATGTTTATGTATTCCTATGTAGATATGCATAGGTGGTGTTAAATACTTTAAGTTTACTATGATTCGTTTGAAAAAAAGGGTGCCTGCACAGAGTAGTGCAGCATATGAGCCCAGGTTATTTTTTTGGGATGCAGTTATATAGAATTTTCCTCTTTTTTTGTAGAAAATATTAATAAAGTCTTAATTCATATGAAATATAAATTGTTTTACAAAATTAAGCAAATGTGAAGTTATCCTGAGTGCTGTGGGGATTCCATTTAATTAATGATAAATATTTAAGAACCTCCTACACCCCCGTCCAAAAAAAAAAAAAAAAAAAAAAAAAAACACCATTGCAAGATATAAGCAGTGTTACTACACGAGGAGAAGTAAATATTTAATTTTAATCCTCAATGGGTGTATATACATATGTGTACATCTATATATATGTGCCTGTACACGAATGTGCAAGACAGTTGGTATGGTGCGCGCAACAAGGCAGGAGTGGAATGCAACAAAAAGGTTTAGTGGTGTGAGAAGCGAACTGCTTAGGGACAACATATTTTGCCATTTTAAAAAATAGTTATATTTGAAGATCATGTTTTTTTTAAAGTAAATAAAGTTATATTAACTTTCTAGGAAGTGATAAGAGGGAAAACGTTTCAAGGGAAGAAAAGTGTTGAAAAATTACACGACAATTTTGTTATACTATTTCGCTATTTTGTTATACTATTTCGCTATTTTGTTATACTACTTCGCTATTTTGTTATACTACTTCGCTATTTTGTTATACTACTTCGCTATTTTGTTATACTATTTCGCTATTTTGTTATACTATTTCACCATTTCACTATTTTATTTTTTTGCACACATTGCATGAGAATTGTGCCCAATTAGACAATATTTGGTGGAAGAGAAAACCAGGGCAGAAACAACCAAATGGTAGTGATGATTCGTTGTCAAGCATGCGTGTGAGTGTCGAAGATGCAAAATAGATAAGAGGGGTGTGAGGTATAGTTTTTTTTTTTTTTTATCAAAATGTGATAATATTTTGAAGGAATAATGGAACTGGAAAAGTTGTGTATTAAAAAATAATGGATTATTGGAGCACGTTAATTTTGGATAAGCAAATTTTTTTGATGTAGTAAGAAAATTTGCACGTGGCTCAAAATAATCCCTAAGGTTTCCAGAGAAAGGAAACCCATGAATCTAGCACTACAGATACGGAGAATTTTTTTGTGTATTCATGGGATGTGAATAAAGAAATGAGGTGACAAATATTGCAGGAAAATTTTATTTATTATAGACAAATAGAATGTGAAAAGCTAGTTGTAGACCAGAATTTGCATATAAATTTATAGTAAAAATTTTAATTCATTCAAGATCGATCCCCTCGACTTGTACAGAATTTGCAAAAACAGGGTAATTGTATTGGAAATAATAATTGTATCAATATTTTTACTGCCACGTATGCATTTATGCATATGTGTGTATACGTATGTATATGTATGTACACTTTTCATAACAGGATGTCATAACGTGTTTTTTTTTTTTTTTTTTTTTTTGGTACATTTCTTATTTTTTATATTCGTTATCATGACTAATTTCAATTTCATAACTTTTTTTTTTTTTTCACAATAGTAAATTTAATTTTCAATACCTTAATATTTTTGCCATAGTTTCTTTAATTAATATAATTTGCAAAGAGAAAAATACGTTTCATATTGTGACAAAAAAGTAGGAATTACCTAATCCAGGTACTGTGCAAGTATTTATTAATAATTGCATGTTTTCACATTAATATATACATGTGCTATATGTTATGCATTGAACTGCGTAAAAAAAAAAAAAAAAAGGGCTTATAATCATGTGTTTTGCTACACCACACCCACCACCCTCTTTCATGTTTTGTGCATATATACATTTTGTTTCCACATTATAAAACAATTATAATTAAGCAAAAATGTTTCTATTGCATGCATATTTTTTTGTTATTTTTTTTTCTTAATTTTGGACATTTTTTTAATATATAAATTAGGAGATGTGTGTATTACTTTATTTATGAAAGAACGTATGCACATTTTGTATAATATATATGTATATTTTTCCTTTGGGGTAATTTGTAACAATTAATCGATAATTCTACAATTAATTGCAAACAAGCAAATAAACATGGAGAAAATAGTCTAACAAAGGAACTGCCAAGCGTTCATAATTTCCCAATTTTATTATTCGTTTTTCTTTTTATTTTATTTTATGAAATAATTTTTACGTAGAAAAAAAAAAAGAATGTTAAATGAGAACTACACCTTTACAGCTAATATATGCAGAAAATATACGTAGTTTATTGGATAGTTGTAAAAATCTGGTATGTCTTTTCACCCATGCCTATATATGTCAGTCTCCCTGTGCAAATGTGTATTTTTAATTAATTATCAGAATTGAAGGTAAATAAAACTAATGTGAACAAAAAAAATGCACATTTTGTTTACTATAATTACAGTGTCGGTGTTATATATGTGTCTTTCTTCATATGCCATACACAATTTCTTACAGAAAAAAAAAAAAAAAAATGCTATATTTTTTATAATACTAGTTCACATTACACATGCACTGAATTGGTTAAATTAGTAGAGTTCGTTGAATTCATTTTTTTAGACAGTTTGATTAGTGGAAATATAAATAAGCACCCATTGAAACGCTGGGGATATTTCTCCTCTTTACATGTTTTCTAGGAATGAAGGATTTGTGCAGGCAATCAATCAGACATTTAAAAATGGAAAGAGTGGAAAAATGTGCTCAAAAGGGGAAAAAAAATAGAATAAAATAGAATAGTAAAACAAATAAAAGTTATTTCACATATGCATTTCAAATGAACATATTTTTTATTTCGAAATTACACAATTAATTTGGTAAAGATGGCTAATCAACAAAATATATCAGAACAAGTTTTATGAGCTATAAAGAATGGATTTGGTATGGGGATAGGTTAGTTATGAATGTAAATGGAGTCAACAAAAATAGGAAACATGTATTCATTATACTTCTTTTAACTGTTATATTAAAACTGGGAAAATGAAAAAATATTTAATATTCTATTTTTGAATTTTACATGTATATATACACTTTTGTTTTTCCGCAATTTACATTTCATCTTTTTTTTTTTTTTTTTTTTTTTAACTTCGCTTAGAATTTTTCCCAATTTCCAACGTTTTAATTTGTCGATTGTTTATTTTTTATATGTAACGGGGTGTGTGCAAGAATCATTGAAAGGTTCAATGAATGCATAGGTGTATAAATAAATAATTAATTAATGACTAATTAAACGATAGACTAATTAACTATTTAATAGAAATGTTATTATTTCACAGGATTGAATAAATTTCACTTAAATGCTAATTTAACCTGGCTCCACTACTCCATTTTCACACAACCCTTTCTAACTCATGGCCCCGAGGTTCATTATTTATATGCATCGCATAAATATTTTAGGATGTTTTATAATCTTTTATATTTTTTTTTTTGCATTCTTTATTTTAAAAAATTTTAAGAAATGGAAGGAAAAATGTGTAATGTTATTATGAATATATTGCATACGTGTTATACATATACATGTATGTGCGCATACATATACGTATATATAAATGTAGATTTTATTTTTTAAAGCCCATGAATATGATTTCCAATTCCAGTTCTCATTCAAATGATTTCCATAAAAGAATATAATAAACTTGTTTAAAAAAAAAAAAAAAAAAAGAAGAAAGTTTTTAAAATGTATGTTTAAGTAGGGGTATAATATTTTATTAGCTCATGTATATACACAAATGAAATGGTTATAAAATTACATTTTTATGGACGAGAAAAAATACTGCCAAGAAGCACCCAAATAATACCCAATACTCCTGGGCGTAGCCAATAAAAAAAAAAAAAAAAAAAAAATTAAAAAAATATAATAATATTATATTATATAAAATTATATATAAGTTATTAACATATAATAATACACAATAATACGTGATAAATATAATAATTAATGTATAATAAATATAATAATATATTATACATATATATAATAATTATATAACAATTATGCATTGATAACTATGTAACAATTACCTAATAATTCATTTTTTCCGTGCGCATTTTGTAGAAACAGTGTATGTATGCATAATAAGAAGAAAAAAGTGCTTTTTTTTTTTTTTTTTCTTTTTTTTTACGTAATTAGTATTATTATATGTACTTATTTAGGCACGTATTTTAAATTTCTGTATATGTATTAATGACAAAACATTGATTAAAAAAAAAACAAGTTTCTGATTAATTAGAATGAAGGAAAATTTTTATAAAAAAAAAAAAAATGTATATAAATGCAAGGCAAACATTAAAAGGCTCTATTTCACATAAAAATATATATATATATATACTTATGTATATGACATATTTATACTTATTTACATAATATGCAATTTAGAAAACAGCTTTACATGTAAAAATTAGTCCGTTGAGCCTTATTTTGCTTTTTAATTTTTCTTTTTTTTTTTTATAAGATTAGAAAAGTATCCATTTTATTTAGGGTGATACTATATTCAAATGTCACATAGTTGAATCTGAAGCATAACAAAATTTATATATCTGAAATGCATCAAATGTGTATGCGAATATGTATATAACACGCATATGACACGCATATAACATGTATGTAATACCGAATTAGGAATAATTCTTAGGTCAATGCTGGCTTGATAACTTATATATTTTTCTGTTTTCTCTATTTCGTTTGCAAAATTATGGATGTGAAGAGAATGCATAGCATTCATTTTTCATTAAAGGAATATTTGTACTGTTATGCATTGGTTTTACGTCTTCAATAAGCAAAACCAAAAAAATTAAAAAAAAAAAAAAAAATTTTAATATTTTTCCCCAATGTATTTTAAATATGTCTGAAAAAAGATTAGTTGATACAGTTCTTATTAAGTCTATTCAAGATGAGGTTTGTTTTTATTCCTTTTTTTTTTTTTTTTTTCTTTATTATTTTTTGCAGCTCTTTTAACATATATTCTGTATATATGCATGCAAATGTGTTAAATTCTTCTCATTGTCTGCTCATGAAGTGCAGTTCTTGCGTTCACATTCGTTGGGATTGCCCGTGAGCTGTACCACATTTGGGCATTTCCACATTTGGACATTTCCACATTTGGACATTTCCACATTTGGACATTTCCAGATTTGGACATTTCCACATTTGGACATTTCCAGATTTGGACATTTCCACATTTGGGCATTTCCACATTTGGACATTTCCACGTTTGGACATTTCCACGTTTGCGTATTTATTTTTTCACATTTATGCATCCCCTGTGTCTTCTCCCGCACTCCCAACTTTTGTAGTACCCTCTTTTGAACATTTGGCCAAAAGTAAACGCAGATAAATTATTTAGAGTTAATTCGAGCTATGAATCAATATGTAAAGAAATTAATGAACAATCAAATGGAGATGTTGGGAGTGATACTTGCCAAACATTTTTTGCATATTTAGAAGATATTGTTAGGGATGAATACAATGAAACTGTTCGTGGTATTTATGATGATCTTATAAATCTAAATTATGAAGATGAAGTATCATATAATGTTTATTCGTATCAATTTTGGAATTTTTTACATTATTTTAAAAAGATAGCAAAAAATAAAATGTACAAAAATATTTATATGATCAAAAATTTGTATGAAGATAATGATAAATTGAAAGGAATAATGAAGTTATTTTATTTTGATGAAAATGTAGGTGATATTAAAAATGTATTAGAAAATTATCATAATAAGGACTATAAGAAGACATGTGAATTTGTAAATGAATGTATAGATGTGTACAGAGATTTTTTAAATTATACATGTCCTACGGAATATTATGATAAATTTTCGGACAGTACTGTATGTAATGAGTTGTATGTATTTTTTGATAATTACGATAAAATTCTTTATCACCCATTGAAGAAGTATGATAGGATTACATCTTTAAGAGAATACCCGGACACTGCTAGAGTCAGATGTGATTATGATGAACCTATGTATAGTTACTATCCAATATTCGCATTCTTTAAACATATATCACGGGGTGTAACTCCATTCGGGTTTTCTTCAATTACTTTTTTCTCCTTGTTGGCTATCTTCTTGTGTCTCTTCATTTTGTATAAGGTGAGGATGCTGGTTCAAAGAAGGAATTTTCTCTCATTGTGAATTGTCAAGTGTGAATGGGCCACTTTAAACTTGTTGTGAAGTTTCTCTTTTTTGATGTTTCTCATTTTGTCCTTGTGCGTTTACTCTTTGTCATTTAGAACAAAGAAGGCCCTTGAGGCACAGCTTTTTTCACGCCATTTTTTCACGTCATTTTTCACGTCATTTTTATGCGCCATTTTTTCACGTCATTTTTTATGCCATTTTTTTACGCCATTTTTTCACGCCATTTTTTCATGTCATATTTTGCATTCCATTACATTTCATTTCCTCCTTTTCTGCACAGTTTACTCCTGTGGGATTGCACTTCAGCCCTCAGAAGAAAAAAATCAAAAATGCTTGGAAAAATATACAGCGGGAGCATGAAAGAGCAACTCGTTCGAATAATGATCAAGAAAGTGATAAAAGTGAAGTGACCGATGATGATTCAACAGTTACAGATGATTCATTTAATATACGTTATCAGTCAACGAGATCTTAGGTATACATATATATATACGTACATATATATATACTTACATATATATATATATTTTTGTGGATAAATGGAGAAAATATATGTGAAGGAAGAGACCAGAGGAATTTTTATGTATGTGTTGCAAAAGGGTGAAAGGATTGCCAAAAGAATGCTTCATTTTCCTCATCCATGTAATCTTTTTAAGTTGTTTTTTTTTTTTTTTACAATATATGCTTGCATACATATTATAATATATATGCATAATAACTACTGTTAATATGAAGATCATTTTTGTGTCTATATATATATATATATGTCGCTAAACTACGGGGTTGGGGGAAAAAAAGCTAATCAGTCCATAAATAGAGGAAAATCTCCCACTCCTTTTTTGTCACCATCAATCGAAACGATTATCTTGAATGATTGTGATAATTACTCCTATGTGTTTTACAATTGTAGATATTTCAAATTGATGAATAAATTAGCTGATTTTTGGACACATTGGATTCATGTCAATTAAATGAATTTTTTAACTTTACAATTTGTGGGAAAAAGGAGTAGTATATCTAAACATTGTGATATTATACCATGTTTCAAGTTCAGAATATCTATTAAACTGTAATTCAATGGTGGAAGCACAACAGCACACTGAAAATTCCCCCTTCCTGGCTTTGCATTCATACTGTACGTACATTCAGAACCGATTTTTTAAAAGAACCAATAATATATATTTTTTTTTTTAAATACGTGAAATGTTAGTGTAAATCATTTTTTTGAAGTAAAAAGTAGGCATGAGAGGAATTTTAATTTTGCACAGATGGATGAGACCATGGATGTAGCGAGAAAATGTGTGTCTAATTAACATTGTGCGGGATTACAGAAGAGGCCAGAATTATATATGTATACATGTTTGTGTATATGTGTGTATGTGTGTTTATACGTGTTTATACGTGTTTATACGTGTTTATACGTGTTTATACGTGTTTATACGTGTTTATACGTGTTTATACGTGTTTATACGTGTTTATACGTGTTTATACGTGTTTATATGTATTTATATGTAAAATACCGTTAAGCTCTTTCTGCTGGCACTTATAAGCACATGCTTGTATATATTCACACGAACCAGTAGATCGAATAGTAGAAGAAAAACTTGTGGATTGTGAATATTTTATTATTTACCTTTTCAGTATATGCTTTGGTGTAGAAGTTAAAAAACAGGGCAAGGTTTGAAGAGACCCCTATATCCCAACATTTTAAAATAAAATAATATTAACACTTGGATGAGTGAAGGGAAAAGAGCATTTACACTGACAGCGTTTTAATAATAACACTGTTGTTTCCCCATTTTTGTTGTTAGAATTAAATTAAAGGAGGAAAAAAAAAAAAAAAAAGAAAAAAAGAAGTAGCTTTATTCCAATTTTTGATGCAAAGGGTGATGTTCACAAAAAAAAAAAAGGAAGCAATGGGAAAGGAGGTAAGAGACACGTAGCTGATTTGAACCAAACTCCATAATCTTTATGGATAGAAGTTTTATAAAATAGTGTTAATGATTATTTTATTTTATTTTTTTAAACTTGCTTAGCAGGAAAAGTAATGAAGAACATGGAGAACGATCTTCTCCCCTTTTCTTACTTATCTCGATCATTGCTACGTTGTGTTATGCTTACACTATATCACTGTTTCTTCTAAGATTACTTCTCATACCCTATTATATTTATTCACCATTTTTCATGTACTCTTTTTCCAGTTTTCATCTAGCCCATTAATAATTATTATTAATTTTTTTTTTTTTTTTTTGCTGTATCGTTATATCTATTCATCATTTATTATTTACACCTTTTTTTTTTTTTTCTTATCCCCTTTTTTACTTAAAATTAAACATTCATATAAAATTTTTTTTATAAAAATTAACAAAAGTATGTTGGTAATATATATTTAACTAAACACTTAAATTAGTTAATCTTCTTAATGACAAGGGAAAAAATAAGAATTAAAAAAAAAAAGTTCTATGTCGAAAAACACAAAAAAAGGGAACTCTCATTTATGTCCGTTTTGGCTTGCAGTGGCACATGTGTGTTATATCTTTCTAAAAAGATTTTTTTTTCAAAATATTAGAGAGCCGTAATTGTAATTCTACAAAAATTTCATCCTTAATGGTTAATGGGGGAAAAAAAAAAAAAAGAAAAAAACTCCATATCTTAACTTCTTCCAGGATGTGCATAAAATTGAAGGAGAATAAAGAACAAATTCCACAAGTGGTGATTTTTTTTTTTTTTTTTTTTTGCTTACATATATTAGTACAAATTGGGGATGATACAACATATGTATACACAAACGGATATGCATGTATATACCTCAAAAAGGAAGAAATTTTCAAACGAATATTTTAAGAATTGCTACATTTTTTTTTATATTTACTACTAAATGGAGGGTCTATATATTTCGAAACACACACATGCATAGGTACAGTATCTGAACATGTAGCTACGTTTTTAATAAAATTTTAAATTTCTTTTTTTTATGTAGTATTAATATGTTGTTATACCGTGATGAAAAAAGATACAAAATGCAACTACTATTAAAAAGAAAAGAAAAAAATTTAAAACTAGCATGAAATGAAGGAGTTAGAAATTTATGGATAAATATAGAATGATGTTCTTTCCACATTTATATGGCACCTCTAACTAATGTCCCTTTATGTGTGGGGAAAAAAAAAAAAAAATGCCTAAAATAAAAATATCCTGAATTGAAGGTAATGTTTGTAAAACAAATGAAGACTCAATAATCCAAAGTAAACAGAAACATTTTGGCAAGACGAAAATATTTTGGGTATTACAATTTTTAGGGAAAATAACATCCCTTGGAATGTCCCCTTTACAGTTTTAGTGCACCTTGATGGGTGGGTGCAAAGTGGAAAAAAAAAAAAAAAAAAATGCATACAGACATGTACATATATGTACTTATGTATATATGGGAATAAAAACAGAACCTGTATGCAGTGCCAAAATTAAGCAAAATGCTCTCTCTCTCCCCTCCTCTCTTCTTCCCATGGAACGATTTTTATGAATTATTTCTTGAATATAATTTGAAATAAAATACACCTAAAATGATGTAAAGTAAAAAACCTTTTCCTACAATCTACTAGCGGCTAATATTATTCTACATAATCTTTTGAAAATGTAGTTTACGAAAGATTTGTTCAGTTTTTTTTTTTTTTTTTGGGGCGGGGACAATTGTTTGTAGTATAGAATAAGTATTGGTACATGTGCATAAATGAGTATTTGAATATGAACTTTGCTCAGAGCCACAGTTCTTGTAGTGTGGTATAAAACTAGAAGAGATCTACACGAAGAATTCCAAATTGTAACAAAGGGAAAATCACTAAGCATTTTATTTAAGCTGAATAATGATAAGTCCTCCAAGGGTAATTACTCTCTTGGGCTTTATTTGGCCCCCATATGAACAACTTCCAAAAAATTAAATGCTCTTTAAATTATAAAACATAAGTAAAAAAAGGGAAATTTTATTTTACTATTTTGTTTCACTACTTTATTATATTATTATTATTTAATATTTTTTACTTTCCAATTTTGTTATATCAATATTTTATTATTTTTTTTTTTTTTTTTTTTTTTACGTTTGAAAAAGACATGTATGGGGTATTGGATTTTCTAAACCAGCTCACTTTTGTAAAGAAACTAATTTATTCCCCACCACACCTCCAAAAAAAACAAATATATATATATGTACATATGAATGTACATATTTTTGTGAATAAACGGGATATTAATTTTCCACAAAGGCCTTATTTTGTTACTTTAATTTTTAAAGAAAATGGATATGTATGCAAGGTAAGAATATATAATACCACTTTGGAGGGTTATATATTTCACAAAGTAAAAAAAATACAACGGGAAATGTAGGTGCATGCAAAAAATATTCTATGTATACACTTATGGGTAATACGTTACTTTCTTAAATGGCAGATTATTTTTGTTTTTTTTATTTTATTTTTTTTTTTTCAATTTGTCATCTTAGTACAATAATTATATTTATAACTTTTGAGAGAAAAAAAGCAATTACTACGAGTACAAAAATTATCCTTTTGAATACAGCCCATAACTCGTATAAAAATTTAGGTATTATTTTTCATATATTATGTACATATATATATATGTATTTGTAATATATATGTGTGCATCTAAAATAAATGCAAAAGTGGATAAATAAGATAATTAAAATATTATTAATAAAAAAACTCCGACGAGCTTTTAATTAATATGTATATTAATAATATAAAGAATTTATCTCATAATAACAACAACATCAGCAGATATTGAGAAACAGGTGTATATTAGTACGCATTTTGTCGATTTTTTCATAGATTAATATTTTACTTCTGTAGTATATAGTTATAGTACATTATATGTTTTAAGTGACACATATACATTATTCCCATTTATTTTGTTCGTATTAAATAATAATATAATAATTATTTTACCTTAATTTTTTTTTTTTTTTTTCTATTTTTTTCCTAATTTAAATTAAAAATATTTATAATTAAATCGTAGATGCATAATTAAGCATTAGCTCTGATCTCCTATTGTTAAAATATTTTTTTACATATTGTTGCATAGTAAAATAATAATAAATAAGGAAAAATAATCTGCATGTCATAAAATACATATCAACAATAAAAAATACATGGAAAAGGAATTTCCAAAAAAAAGAAACCTTCTTCCTAAGGCCAAAAATTGTTAACAACATTTTCCTGCCTTCCCATATATATATATTTATATGTACTTTATAAAACGCCTTTTTTGTTTTTATTTACTTTGATTTAACCAAAATGAATGTAGAAAGGCTGAATACCATTAGGGACCTTGTGAAGAAGCAGGTAAGTGCTGTTTCTACATGTTCTAGGAAATTTTTTTATTTCCAGATTACTTGATCAGCACGACATGGATATATTTTATTTCTGTATCAATGGTAGAAAATGAGAGAAAAAAAAAAAGTCGTGCTTTTGCATGTTTGCATTTATGTATATATGTCACCCCTTTTATGAGCATACACGTTTTGTAAAATTTTATTATTTTTTATTATTTTTTGTTTTTTTTTTACAATTTTTTCCTATTTTTTCCTATTTTTTCCTATTTTTTCCCATTTTTTCTCTTTTTTTCCTATTTTTTCCCATTTTTTCCTATTTTTTCCCATTTTTTCTCATTTTTTCTTATTCACCTTGGTTCACCCTTTCAGTACCCAATTTTGGCAAATACACCCGTGTACGAATTTGAAGAAGCACGTGGTTTCTACAACAGTGCATATGAAGATATGTGTAGTGATCTTACAGGAGGTTATGCATCATTCAAAAGTAAACACATATGTATCCGTTTTTTTACCTACTTGGAGAGTATATTAGTAAAGGGTGCCCTTGGTAATAACAAAGAAATGTGGGATAAGTTAACACAATGGTTTAAAGAAAATAAAACTAAGCATACCTACGTGTCAGAATTTATGGAAGCAATTACTAAAAATTTTAAGGAGACAATTATAAATAATGTAAATGATAACTTTAACAAATTTACACATTTAACATGGAATGAAAGGGAATTAGAAAATATATTGAAATTATATTATTTTTCAAAAAACATTGCTGATATTCGAACCAATTTAAATGATTCTATTCATTCGGATAAGTATAAAATGACTTGTGAATATGTAAATGAATGTCTTGACATATACAGGAAATATAAGTACACCAAATGCAATGGTTCCCACGTGAATTTGTTAGGAGGTAGTTCCATATGTTATGAATTAGAACCCTTTGCTAGGAATTACAATGAAAATCTTGTTAGGAAATTAACTTATAATAAGGGGATTGCCATACCTATAGACGATGATATTAGTAAAGCTAGATTTCATTGTTCATTATATGAGAAGCAATATGGATATAATCCAAGGGGTCTTTTTTTCAAAAATATAAAATCCACATTGACACCAACGGGTATGTTGGCCGTGGGAGGTCTTAGTATCGTGGCTCTTTGTATGGTTATTTACATTCTCCATAAGGTAAGCATAATTTATATCATGTTTTTCGAAATTATCAGGTGCTCATCCGGTTTACACGATTGTTTTTTTTTTTTTTTGAGATGACCATCTTTGTGATGACCCACTGTGTAACTGTTGAGCTGCATATACGATTATTTGTGTTATACCTTTTTTTATTTTTTTTTTTTTTTTACAAATACTGGAATTTTTTTTTTTTTTTTTTCCCTCCACCTTACTTCCCATCAATTTAGTACACACCAATGGGAGACTTTTTCGCCCCAGAATCCAGATCATCAAGAAGAAGATGGAGAAATAGAGAGATTTATGATGAATACATGAGAGAAGTATATCAACATGATGATGAAGATGTAGATTCATCCTACATGACAAGCAGAACATCTGCTTCTAATCAGAGTGCTCAATCAGGGTCTAGTAGACGTGGAAAATCAGTGTATGAAAGAAGTGATGAATCTGTGTATGAAAGAAGCAATGAATCGTCACCTAATGTTAGTACCAATTTTGATTACAAGCAAAGTTCAGAAACCATACCAAGCCGAAGTGCTGAATCTACGTCTAATAGCAGCTCAAAATCTTTACATAGTATAGTTGGGAGAAGAGGTGGTTCTAAGAGAAAATCAGATGCTGCATCTTATCGAAGTTCAAGATCTTTGCCCGATCAAAGTTCTGAATCTTTGCTGAATCAAAGTTCTGAATCTTTGCTGAATCAGAGTTCTGAATCTTTGCTGGATCAAAGTTCTGAATCTTTGCTGGATCAAAGTTCTGAATCTTTGCTGGATCAAAGTTCAGGATTGTTAACAAGTAGAAGTGGAAAATCTGTGTACAGCAAAGGTGTAGGATCTGCCACCACGGAAAGTGAAATGAATCTTAGTCAGTCAATGGATTCTATTTTTACCACTAGTGGAAGTGACAATTAATAGAAAAAGGGGATGATTTTTCCTTATTTTATTTCATTTTATTCTATTCTATCTTAATTCTTTTCGAGAATAATACAGAAAAAGTGCATATCTTTCGAATTTGTTAATATATGCATATGTATATATATATATATATATATATATAAAGGCCCTTGTGTACCTGCCTTCATTCAAATATGTAGATATATGAAAATGTGTAGGTACATATATACACAAGATTCTTACTCCGTTTCATAACCTTACATTAGAATCAAACTTTTGCATTAGTTTCATATGAACATTTTTGCGCCTCATGTGTTTTTTTTATTTGATGTTATATGGATTAATACAATATTATATTCACATTCTTAAAATTAAGATTTTTCTCTTTTACTCTATACAAGATATGTGTGCATTAATAATATGTTTGTTATTCTTACAGGCTCATTTGGTGCATACCAGTGTTCATATGAATATACATAGATATCACAAGTTTATATTACTACCTTATTTAATTAGCAAAAAAACCGTGTTGTGACAAATTTTCTTAAATTATTAATTCTTTTATTAGTTACTTTATTAATTTCTTTGTTAGTTACTTTATTAACCATTGTGCTAATCATTTTTACCAACTATCTCGTGAACTATTTTATGAATTATTTTTATTACATTCAAGGGAAACGCAAGAATTACCATCACATGCAGAAAAATAATGAACCAAAATGTGATGGATGTATACACCATCCACTGTACAATATATACATGTATCTGTTGTAAATACATTTTGTTGTTTTATAATTTATCATGCTATCATCTTAATAATTCCATAAGAAAGATAATCCAAGTATTAGCTTATTTGTGTATTAAATAATTTTACCTATTTTAATCACAAAGCAAATAGCATAGCAAAAGAAAAAAAAAAAAAAAAAAAAAAGCGGGCAACTTGCCACCAACATTTGCAATTCCCAAGTTTGCTGTCATTCCCTTTTCTCATTAATCCTTATGCTGGATATTTAAAAAGTATATCACACGGGTGGCAGAAGTAGAGAAGTAGAAAAGTGGCAAATGCACTGAGAATGGTAGTGAGAGCAGACGTGACAGCGGTTGCCCATTCGTATAAATTTAGGAACGAGTCATCCATCTTCCACCGCCCTTTTCCTAGAGTAATAAAAAAGAAAAAAAAAATTTTTAAATAATTGAAATAATTTTGGTCACAATTTGGAACATAGAATTTTAGAAGTTTTAAAATTAATCAAACTGGTGCGTGGTGATGATTACGATTGTGATAGCGGTGGGGTGGAGAATTACATTTTGGAGTGATACAAAATATGCAAATTCGGAGAAATAAAAATCATGTCACGGTTTGTGCTATGAACTTTCTTGAAGGTACATGGGAAAAAAAAGTATATAATAATAATAACTAAAAAAAAATATAATAATAATAATAACTAAAAAAAACATAATAATAAAAATAAACTAAAAAAAAAAAAAAATAAATAAAAAAAAAAAAAAAAAATAATAATAAAATAAAAATAAAATGAATAAAGGAAACTACAAGAGGTATTAACACGTTCTCATTGAAAATTATTTACAAAGTGGGACATTTATTTATGTTGCAAAATAGGAAAAATATATATATATATATACTACAAACGTGCGATAAGCGCAGTTGTATCAATTATGTGCATGTAAAATGTACATATTACATTATTACTACATAGTACCACTTTATTTCATATATACTACAGTTATACATTGTATGATGTAATTGTTTTTCGAGAAAAGAGGATATATTAGATTTCATCTTTCCTAAAATAAAAGAATTTGACACAAATTTAATAATAATATAATATAGTGTCGAAAAAACGGGACATTATGCCCGACTCTCTCATATGTACCCTTGAATCTTTTCTCCTTCAGCAAATAACAGTAAAAAAAAAAAAAAAAAAATACCTATTATAATATCTCATTAGGACGTAACAAATGTATCTTTTTTTTATTTCTTTTTTGTCATAAGGGAAAAAAAAAAAAAATAAAAATAAAGTTTTGGTACAAAATCGCTTCTTATAATTCTACTATGCACTTTTCCATCGTGTGAAAAAAAAATAATTTGTGGTAACATTGGGAAAAAGAAAATTTTTTTAAAATACATTGCTGCACTATAATTATATACGTGTAACATATATACATATTATATATTTATAGCATTATTACGGGATAATATTTGTATATACATTTTCCAAATTGCAATTTTTTTGCGGATTCCTATGTCTCATCTTATGTATGCATATATGAAGTATTAAATGCATTAACGTATTTTGCATATTTAGGATTTTAGCGTATTTAGAATATTTAGAATATTTAGAATATTTAGCCTATTTTAGCTAATTTTGAGCATTTAATGTATGGATTGGAATATTTATCATTGTATTTAGTATTTTTTTTATGTATTAAGAACATTTACCTATGTAAGCTTTTTTTCCGTATTAACAATATTTATCATATTCAGAAAATTTATCCTATTCAGTATATTTACCGTATTAAGCATTTTTTGCTTATTAAGAAAATTTACATTATTAAGCAGTTTTTGCTTATTAAACATACTTAATGCATAATTAATTAATCACATTTAATGCTACCGTTTTTTGTTCAATCCCGATTTTGTTATTTTCCTTTGCATCGAATTTTCCCGTAATTGAGGAACTGAGCTGAACGAGTAGAATACAACAGTTGCCAAATGGCAAAATATGGAATTCTAAAATAATTCAGTATTCCTTTACAGGATAGGGAAAAAAAAAATATATATATATTTATACATCTGTATATACATTTACGCACCAGCAACGGTAGAGAAAACTGGATGAAGGTCCCGAAGAAGTGTTCTTATTTCGGTGCACAAAAATAGATATCTAATAATTTATGAACCTAATCTGTTCTATTGTTAATCTAATTTTTTCTACTCCATTCTAAGAAAGCGGTTCGAAGTTAGTACAATGTCCAAGGAACAGTTGAAGAATGAGGTACGTTTTTTTATATTAAATTTATTTTATTTTTTTTTGAAAATAACTATTTGTTTGAATGTGTTTTAGTTGAATGTATGATGCGTTAAATTGTTCTTAAAGTAGACGAATAAAATTCATGGGCCTTACACATTTATGTACTTTGAAATATCTCCTTTTTATTTGATCCCTTTCAGTATGGTTTTTTGACATCTTGGCCGGATTACCACTTTGAAGAATTGCGAGGAATTATCACAAGAGACTATGAAAATACTGTATGCAATGAATTTAAAGATAATTCCGATTACACAAAAAAATGGAACTGTATAAAATTTTATAGCATTTTAGAAAAATTAGTTCACAATGTAGGATTAACAAATAACAATGAAAACATGTGGAATGACTTTATAAGTAAAATAACAAAACCTAGCGAGAATGTTGATTATACTTCTTCAATGATTACTTCTTTTATTGGTGCTTTTACACCTTTCGTTCAAGATAACGCATTAAAAAATTTTAATAAGTATAAAAATTCATGGTTTAAAGGTTATGAAATTGAAGATATTTTGAAATTATTCTATTTTTCTATTAATATTGGAGACATTCAAAATTTGATGAAAAGTCCTGATAATAAGTATTATGGGGATACGTGTAATTTCATCAATGAATGTCTTGATCTTTTCAAATATTACAAAGAAACCACATGTCCATCCGATTCAACTAATAAATACAATGAAAGTACAATATGTATGGAAGTAAACAGTTTTTATGATAGGTATAAAAATGAGTTGCACCCTCACTTGAAAGGATTCAAGCATTTAGGGTTGACGAATCCTGAAGACCCTAAAGCTTTGCTAGTCTGCCCATGGAGTAGTGGTTCTTCAAGATTCCTTCGACGGTTATTTCATGGAAGAAATTTAATGAAACCTAGTTCATTAGCTTTTGTAGCTCTTATTGTTTTACTGATAGCTGGTTGTTCTTTATCATTATACAAAGTTAGTGAGAATTTCGAATTTTTTTTTTTTAAGAATTCCCTTTTTGCATCTGATTTTGTGAAAATTGGGAGCACTTTTGAGGAGAGGCCAATTTGCTTGGCTTTTCCAATAGATGATATATACATGACAAGAGCTTATTGCATGTGTTAACTCAGGGGAGTTGTTATTTGCTCCTCTCCCCTCCCATCCCATACATATATATATATATATATATATATATATATATAAGCAAATGAACATAATTACAAAATTGTTTTCTAAAACTTTGCAGTCCCCCCGCATGAGATCAATGTTAAGGTTGAAACTAGGAGACACAAAAAATATATGGAGAGTCGTAGGAGGAAGAAGAAGAAAATACACTGGATTGGATGGATATAGAGGATCATCAAGATTTGGAGAATCATCAAGATTTGGAGAATCATCAGGATTTGGTGAATCATCAGGATTTGGTGAATCAACAGAATTTGGTGAATCATCAAGATTTGGTGAATCAACAGGATTTGGTGAATCAACTGGATATGGAGAATCATCAGGATTTGGTGAATCAACAGGATATGGAAGATCAGGAAGATATGGAGAATCAACAAGATATGGAAGATCAGGAAGATATGGATCATCCTCATATGATGATGAAATGCCAAGTAGTAGTTACGTACCAAGAGTAAATCATATGGAGTATTTTGGGCCACATGAAAACATGAATTTTCCACGTTATCGAGGGTATTGAAAAAACTGGGTTTATTCCAAAAGTAAGTGAATAAAAATGGGAAAAAAAAAAATTAGAACATTTTGGACAATTTGGAAAACTTTGACAATTTTGACAGTTTGAACAGTTTACGAAGTTACTGCTAAAACCATTTCGAATAATGGAAAAAATTTCTGCTATATGTGTTGATTATTCTTTTCTTTTTTATAAAAATTGTAAAAAAGGAAGAAAAAAATTGTTCTTAGGTGGTAGAGGAGGAAGAATATGTATGTGCATAAACGGTTCTATGGATAATGCACCCGTAAACATTTTAAATTAAGTAAAGAACGAAATTGTTGAAATAGTAACTTCCCCATTTTTCACGTGTATGAATATATATTGAAGTGAATCGAAAATATGTGCAAAACAGATGGTTTTTTTGTGGGGAAAGAGTGAAGTTTGAAGTTACATAGACACAGTAAAAACTAGGGATGTTTTAAAACGATAAAAATAGCAACATTGCAAGGAAAATAAATTAAATTTCTAATAAACAATTTACTTTTCTCATAACAGGAATGAAATAATTTATATTCAAAATAAATTATGCATTATTAAGTACTTGGAGAAGCAGATTCAAGTTTGATTGATTAGTTGGCACTAGGGAAAATCCTAAGCTCCCATGGGATATTACCCACCCGAGAATATGCATATATTTTGCATATACACATATATGTACATATGTGCATACAGTGGATCCATATTCATATATGTATTAATACATGCATTTATGCATGTATCAGTGTCACTTTCATTACTTCCACTTTTGACTCTCATTCAAGGAAGCATATTTGGAAAACAGGTATATGAAAAGAATCAAAACAAAGCTCATTCTACGTTTCTGCATTAACCAATAAGGAGTAGCTTAATGGCCGGATATCATGAATTCCCCAAAAGACAACTTCAGAAATAAAATAATAGATGGATATACAAAACTTTTAAAAATTTGTATAATTAAATGTTAATTAAAGGTTTCTCCTACCATTTTGTAGTTGAGTGATAACATGAGAAATATAAAATAAAAAGAATATTAGACATATATGCTGCTATATTTTTAATCATTTTCAAGAGGTTTGAACTTTTTTTAAAAAGAGTTTTAAGTCGTGAGGAATTTTGTGCACTCTTTTGGGAGAAGTAAATACGAGAATTTTTTGGCGAATGTTTTAAAAAAAGGAAAAAAAAAAAAAAAGTGGAAGAGGAGGAAACAATTTAATTATCACAAAATAGAAAAAAAACAAAAAACAAAAATTACACAGCAAAATTTTCAATGGCCATGATTTTACAATAAATTGTTATACCCCGTTGACTTTGAATAAAATTGTTCTTCACGCCTAATTCTGTCAGTTCAGGGGCCAATTGCTGAAATCATGCATAGTTTTTGCAGTGTATAATTTATTTGATTTAACTTCATTTTGTTTTGCTTCATTTTGTTCTGCTTGACTCTGTTCTGCTTGACTCTGTTCTGCTTCATTTTGTTTTACGTCATTCCGCTTGATTCCGTTTTATTTATTATTTTTTCTTTTTTCCTTTCATATTCGTGATAATTTACGTTTGAGAAATGCAAATGATTTGTTCATTCATTATAGTTAAAAAAAAAAATATATACACTGATTCTTTTTTTTTTTTTTTTATCGCATATCTCATTTTTTTACATAGATTTATTTTTATTTTTTTTTTTTTTTTTTGACACCATTTGTTATGATTTATTGAAATGATGTCACACTTGAACCGTAAACCAATTTTGAATTGCAGTCTTATTATTAAAACAATAAAATTTTTTTTTTTTTTTTTTTTTTTTTTGAACTCTTTAGCGGTAGAATTATTCATCAGGGGAAGGTGGGGGAGATTAAATAAGTTCAATTTTGCATTAGTTCCCTATTTTTTGTTAATTCTTTTTTTTTGTTTGATCTAGTTTTACTGTAATTATAATGGAGAAAAAATAGGGTCATTGATAAAATAAGAGAAATTGTTTATTAAAGTTTCATGATTTGAACTATTATTCATTTTTATTTAAATAAATGGACGTAAAAATGATATAATGCTTGAAATTGTTCTTCTCTCCCTCGCGTTGTTGTGTAGTGATTATGAGATCAGTACGTGTAGATAAACAACGGGTTAAAGTATTTAAGCAAACTTAATTTTTTATTTGTTCATTTGTTTGTTCGTTTATTTGTTCGTTTATTTGTTGATTTGCTTTTTCATTTATTTTTTCATTTATTTTTTTTATAATTTGCTATTACAGCTTTAGTTAGAATCTGGATAATTTCTTCTTCTCTAAGTGTTTAAACAAAGGTAAGAGTTGATGAATTTTTATTTAAAAACATTTTCCCATACGGTACGTTTGTGAAAAAAACGGGAAATTTTCTTTTTTGCGTAGCTCTATACATATATATTCCTGTATATACCTATATATACATGTATTACCCGGACTTTTAGAAAAAGTAAGGGCTGCGCATTGCATTGTAAGACAAATACATACTAATTTGTTCGGTTCATGAGTCTTTGTAGTGGTTAGAAATGGGTGCTTCCTAAAGTATGATAAAAACACAAGATGAGCTAAAATGGGTATATTCACCACTAATGAGAAAGTAAAGAGAAAGAAAAAAACACACATATATATGCACATAAACAGATACACACACGTACATACACAAGCACCATAAAGCAAAGCTTAAGAGATAATGAAAAGGTTTTCAGAAAAGCTTAAGAAATCGAAACGGAAAAAGAAAATTAGTGGGTTGCTATTTTATGCTAAAAAGTGTAGAACGATCTTTATTGTTGTAACCTTGCACATTGTAAGATGAGATATAATAAAAAAAATATGTTAAAGGGAACAGAAATAATTTTTTTTTTTTTTTTTTTTTTTTTACATTTTTTAAATATATACTTTCCTCCCCTCTTTGCATTAAAATGATAACTAAGATATAATGTTAATAAATCATTTTATCGATTAGCATCCTGATTAAATAACTCATTTTCATTTTCTCCCTTTTTCTATTTTTTTTTTAGCTCACTCATAGTGGAAAATTGTGTAATATTTCCAATAATTCAACCGTTTTCAGTGTTATAAATCAAAGGCTATTATCAGGACCAGGAAAAAAAAACTATGCAAAAAATTATTATGGCAGACATGTGATTATTACTATTGATATAAGTGAAGCGTTAAAGAACCGGAAAATTGAGAAGAATGGAAAATATCCTACTCATTTGAAGAATTATATGCAAATGAAAAAAAATAAAGAACAAAAGTGTGCACCGAAAAATGATAAACTGTTATTAAAACGAAGGGATGAAATTATTCTAAATAAAATATCAATGAGAAATAGCTCCATGTGTGAAAGAGCGAGCGAAAACAGCCAAGCAAAAAATGGTGGTGGTGGCGTGAACATAGGTCCAAGTACGACAGGGGAAAACACTACAACTGCAAATGTAACTACAAATGCAATTACAAGCACAACTACTAGCACAAATACAAATGCAAGCACCCCAATATTAGATCTCAGTAAATGCCTCCACAAAAGGTGTTGTAATAATTGTAAGCACAAAACTTTTAAGCAAAAATGTAGTAAGACATTTGTTAAAGTGTTAATTTGCTTGCAAAATGTTTTTATTTTATGTACAATTCTTCCATTTGTCTTCATGATACTTGGTTCTATGCTAATGAAGAACATTCTTTGGGAAATTCGATGTCTATGCAACGGGTGTCGCTGACTCTTCATCTCACGAGAGCCTCAGCACAGCAGCACCACCACACATCCAAATGCTAGTGTAAATTCTAGTGCAAATATATGTGTACATATACGTATTATTATATGGACAGGTTCCTCCAGTTTAACCAGTTTCACACACCAATTGAACTTTTCAGCAAAGTCAAACCTTTTAAGCGTACACCCAAAGTTAAAGCAGATTCAGAAGTGACAATTCGCGTTGCTCCAGCCCCTTCAATATGAATATAGGTTTAAATAACGAAAAAAAGAAAAAATGATTCAATCGAAATGTGTGGATATTAATGTTTTATGTTCGCTTTACACACACTTTTTACTCATATGTAGTTAGATAACAATGCATGGTAAAAAAAAAAAAAAAAAAAACAGTTTTCAGCTAATCAAAAAAATATCGCGAAAGAAATAGTTTACCCAATTTGCATGTGTTTTTTTTTTTTTTTTTTTTGCACAAGGGGTAAAAACAAAAGTGAGTTTATCTGATAATGAAGTCTACCAGATGAAGAGAAATTAAGATCTTCATTAAACAAATCTAAAGTGATAATAAGTATGCATACCGAGAGTATGGTTCATTTTTTGGATGCTTATATAATGTGTTATTATATGTTTCTGCGAAAAGTTTTAATAATATGTCTGAAAGTTGGAAAAACGTGCTTACAATTTTTATCTTAAAAATTTCTGTACAAATTTTTTGTGCTTTTTCTGTGCTTGAGAGATATACATTGTTTTACCCTACCCTCATCACAGCCCACTTTTATTTTTTATTTACTGTGTACATGTGATTATTCGTTAAATTGCTTATCCATTTATTCATTCGTGCATTCATTTTTGCGTTAAGACTAAATATGTTAATTCGTTTGTTTGCGTATTTATATGAGCAAGTTTTTAACTTTTCCACACATACATACATATATAAATACATTATACAAGCACATATATGTATGTATATATATAAGTGTATAACCGTTTTAATCGTACACACTACAGCATTAAGAGGAGTGGTGTTTTGTGTTCAGTAAAAATGTTATTATCAATATTATTATTAAAAATATACAAATATGATTAAATACAAAAAAAAAAAAAATACAGTATAGTATATAGTATAGAATATAATGCATTATAAAATAAAACTGAGCAATACACATTAATTATGAAGAAATTCAGATAGGAACCCACAATTTGTAAAGAAAAATTAAAATATAACTTTATTAGTTTATATATAACGCATCGCGGGAAAGTTCGAGATATACACATGTAGATATATTTATACATATATGCATTACATGTAAATAAAACAAATATGAATAAATTTGGACATGTGAAAAATTTTATATTCTCCGAAAAGAGTGGGGATAATAAAAGACACATTTTTCTATTAAAGTAAAATATCATATGTAATTAATAATTTTTGGTATATAATTAAATTACGAGTGAGTGTAAATGTTTGTGTATTCATCATGCATTTGTGCGTTGATGTTTCTCTCATATAAAGCATAAATAAAATAATATAAAATAGAACACAATACGGAAATCATTTAAAGTTGAAAGCAAAAATAAATCTACATATTTTGTACGTGTAGTAAAAAAATTAGCTTTGTTCACACTTTTTTGCTATTAAATATGCTGCGGTGTAAAAGTAATTTTTTCAATTTTCAAAACATGACACATGTATTATATACACTTCGTGCAAGTTATATAAAGATTAGCAAGTTATATACACATTATGCATGTTATATACGCTATATACATTATGTACACACTACTATAATATTATTAAATTTTAAAAGGTAAAAAAAAAAAAAAAAAAAAAAAAAAAACTACTTTTTCAAAACTTCAACCACTTCCTTATATTTTTGGCGAACCTTAAATTTCCCTGGTCCTTTGCATATACGCTTGCAATTCCACATTTTGAAAAGAAAATAAAGAAATGAAAAAGAAGCTAGTGCTAAGGTTGTAAGGAAATATCCTAAATTAAAATTGTTTATGAAAACTAACAGAATTAGACCACTTACAATAACAGGAGAAACAGCAATCAATATATCAAGGTAGTATCTGAATTTGGTAATTTTCCCATGCTTAATAAGAAAACTATAATTCGTTGTAAAGAGATTAATTAAATGATCTTCATATTTTTTATCTAATTTTATTATTTTTTTGCATAAAGTTAAAATTATCGATTTTCCTTTTGATTTCTTTTTCCTACTAGATCCTTGTTCTTTTATTTGTGCTTGTAATTGTGCTTTTATTTGTGCCTCTAATTCGGATTGTAATTGTTCTTTAATTTCTGGTTGCACAGGAATTGGTTGTTGTTGTTGTTGTTGTTGTTGTTGTTGTTGTTTGAGTAATTGTGAATTGTCGAATTCTTTCAAACTTCCATAAAATTTTAATATATCAAGCATTCTATCAAGGTTATCTGCCTTTTTTATTTCATCAAGTAGTTGTTCAACTATATTAGAAGGAGACGTTTCTCCACTTGGCTTTTGTGCATTTTCTGGAGGTATGGTTGGGTGATATTTTTTCTCCAAATTTTCATCAAAATTTTGTGGGTTGATATTTGTATCTAGGTCATTGTTATCATTTGTGTTTGAATTGAGTTGTTCAGGATTGGCAGTTACATTTTTATTTTTTAAATCCGATTCATCATTTACTTCCAATGAGTTTAGCGAATTATATGAATTTAATGAATTTAAAGAGTTCATAGAATTTAATGATTTTTCCTCTAAATGTGAATCACTAACTAGTTCATTAAACTGTCTTTCGAAACTTTTATCAAGTAATAATGCATTAAATTGTTTCTGAAAATTGACATCATGTACTAGATTATTTAACATTCTACCAAGATTACTATCATCTTCTTTTAATATTTTTAAAACTCTTTCTCTTAATCTGTTTTTTTTTGGCTCTTCTTTAGCCGTTATAACAGGTTCTTTGCTCAACAATCTGTTGAATCTACAACTTAGTGCATTTCCATTTTGTAACTGTTTCTTGGTAAAAGATGTGCTGTTAAAAGACTGAAATGTGGAGAAGTTATGATATATATGAGGTGGGATAAAAGAAAAAAAAAAACTAGATGGTATGAAAAAAGGGAAAGATTTCCTTTTTTCTCTCCCATGTTAACAGATTTACAAATTATCCCTTTTTTTTTTTTTTTTTTTTTTTTTTCAAAAAGGCGATATAAAATGTATATTTATATAAAATAAAACTTTCTAAAATAAAATAACAGCTGTGTAAATTTTATTTTTCCTATGCTTTTCTCTACTTACTTTATTAGAATATTGCAATGTCCATATAAGCAAAGCAAAAGCAAAAAGCTTAAAAAATAAGTATATGGGCCTATTTAATGTTTTTCCCATGAGGTGTTTACACTAATATTTTTAAGGACCATTTGAAATAAAAAAATAAATTTAACTTAAATAAAATTTTTATCCATAAAATTTTCTCTCTAACGTTTTCTAATAATTGTATATGATAACGAAGAGATTTACGTTCCCCTTATCACATGTAAATGCATGTATGTTTTTCCTATTATGCAATTGTTGCTGTTATTATAATATTGTTACTATTATTTCTGCTATATAACTATTGTAATTTTTTTTGGCTATTATTGTTGCTATTATTAGTTATTATTATTTTTTTTAATATTATTTTTATTACTCTTCTTATTACTATTTTTGTTACAATTTCTTTTGTTACTATTTTATTATTTTTTTTTTTTTTTTTTGCTCTTTCTTAGGCTTTTGAATAAACTAAAACATATTTTCGCATTAATTAAAAATATGTTATAAATACAAATTATGGAACATAGCTCCTGTTATATATTAAAGTAAAATAAAACTAGTGTTATAAAATAAATCATGCACGGTAAACTAAAAGAGAATAAATATAATATATATATATATATATATATATATATATTGTGCAACATAAATAAAAAATAAATCACTCGGGAATTTTCTGTTTACAAATAAAGCATTTTGGAAAATGCATTTCTCATTTATATAATATAAGTGATGAAAAAAAAAGTTAATTAAAGTTGTTAGAATTTGTAAAGATGTAAAAAAATAAATGCATTATTATTATAAAATAAAAAAATGTGGATAAAAAAAATTGTGTTCATAGTTAATTAAAAAAACTTGTAAAATAATTCTACAGATAATTATACGCAAATCATTGATGCGTAATAATCGGAGTAATAAAACAATATACCGGTATTTTTTGTTATTAACCATATATGTTATTTTTTTCCTTCTATTTATTTTATATGTATTTCCAGAAAAAAAAAAAAAAAATTATACAAAGTAATAATGTTTATTTAACTACTATATATTTCTCGCATCACACTTTGATGCATTTTTTTTTTTTTTTTTTTCTTTTCAATGAATAAGAAAATGCGAATAAAATAATATTAACTGAAATACACGCAAAACGCACACATGCACATGAATAATGTATATATTATATATATATATATCATATACCTAAAATATATAAATAATTGTGACAACTTGGTGGAGAAAAAAGTGTTATTGCAAATTAATTAAATAAACTTTTGTTACACCGCTTGGCTTTAAAATAATGTGAAAATGGAACATAAGAAAAGATGAAAACATTTTGAAATGCTATACATAAGCTGCAGTGATTTTATATATACATATGCTCATTTGTTATTCTCATCTTACCCCTCTAAATATATAGTAAAAGTTTTAAATACTTCATCATAAAGTGTTACAATTAGGGAAAAAAAAGAAAAACAATATCTTTTTTTTGAACGTTTGAGGGAGGCAATAAATCATTTCTAAAATATTGGTATAGAAAAATGAAAATAAATAATTAAATAAGTAATCAAATAAATAAGTAAATAAATAGGTAATCGAATAAATAGGTAATCAAATAAATAGGTAATCACATAAATAAGTAAATAAATAAATATGGGTTTGCAGTTTTTGTTACATTAGAATTTACACAGTGGAAAAATAGGTGGTAAAATGTATACATCCATGGAAAAATAATAAAGTAACATAAAAAAAAAAAAAAAAAAAAAAAAGTTTAAACAGGAAAAAAGAGATATGTAATTTATTTTTATACATAAATAAATGTATTCAATTAATGAAAATATAAAATAAAACAAAATAGTAAAATAAAATAATAGTCTTTTCCCGCTTGATAAGAAGTTTTGTTCACCAAATATTATATAAAACTATAACACATGGGTAAATTTAACTTACATTGTGCTAAAGTAATATTTACTGTTTTCACTGCAAAATTAAAAATAAAAAAACGTGTTAACAATAAAGCACTGACTCTCTAGGCGAGTAATGCGGTGTTTTGTAAACCTTATATTTATAATGGAAAATTTCTCAAATGTGCATATCTATAATGTATATACATACAATAATGTGTAGGGAAAAAAAAAAAAAATAAAATAATAAAGACAGAATATAGGCTAGTTAAATGTGAATTCTTAACAACCAAAAAGATGAATAAAAATAATGATCTATACAAATTTTGTATAGTTTTAAAGCGAGAAATGTCAAAAAAAAAATGTGTCAATTTAGAAAAATATTTCGTCCTGTTATATGATAAAAATGTAGAAATGAAAATATTGGACAAAATATAAAGACCATATTTTTCTGCACAAGGGGAGGTGGGGGGATTATTTTTTTAACATTTTTGCAATCTACATGAATTTGGTATAAATTGTCAGTGAAGAAAATTAGGTGTCCGTTTTTTGTAAAGCCTGAAAAAATATTTGAATATGCTTTCACTGAACAATGTCACAGAATGAAAATATAAGGATTCAAAAAAAAACCCTTTTTTTTTATCTTTATACTTTTGTGGTTTATATAGGTATATACGTTGTATACGTGGTTTTTCTCATATGACTATATAAAATGAGCAGAGATAAAAAAAAAAAAAAAATATAAATAAATGTCCATATTTCTTAATAAGGAAATATATATGTATTAAAAAAATAATACATTAAATATTTGAAAATATTGAGTAACATTTTTTTGCAATGTATTTTTTTTTTATTTATCACCTATGAGTTAGGTCTGGAATTATAAAAATAGGTTAAATGCTGCTCATTCATCAAATTGATTTATTTTATGTATCTCATCTCTAACCCCTCGACTAATGGGTCAAACAAACGCTGAATTGTTTTCATAATCGTATAAGAAACATACACAAGATAAGTGCAAAGCCTGCGATATTTTTATCTTTAACATTGTATTAGGTGAATTTCCAAAGAAAATGTTTACATTCCTTCTAATGACCCATGGAAATACTTGAATTTCCATGGTTGATTATAACCATAATAATGAAAACTTTTCATCTGTAAAATGGAAGAATAGGTTCTTTTCTCAATAATTTTACTTACTGGAAAATTCCATGATAAAAAATTATTACCCTAGTGAGGTCTAATTCCATTGTTCTATTTTTTGTCTCAAAAGAAACTGCACTGTGAATTGACCTCGGTGAGTCTCTCTGCCAAAAGTGTGTAACACGAATAGGGGTGAATATACACACACATGCAAGTATATATAGAGATATACATCCACATGTACATGCACATAAACTTCCATAAATACATCGATGCTGAATTATTATTTTTCACTGCAGGAGGGCAACTCTTCCTCTACCGCACGAGTGCAGTAAAGGGCCAAAAAAAAAAAAAAAAAAAACTAATTAATTTCGAACTTTGCATTTTAGCCCTTGATATAAATCCAAAATTATGTAGTACATATATATGTATACATATATATCGGTATTACAATACCAACATATGGCAAATGATTCATAGGAGAATTACTGTGATGAATAATTTTTCAAGATTTGAACCAACATGACTAAGAGAAAAATTAAGGGGATAATGTAAATGCATTATTTTTTGTTAGTTTCTCAAATGAAATCGCTTCCATTCCATGGAAAAATGAAGATCTAGCCACTTTACAAATCTGGATTGTAGTTTAACCATTTAATGCTACTTATATGTATGGTAAATCGTAACAATTAGATCAAATTTGTATATTGCAAAAGCGTTTTTTTTTTAACCCATAAATTTATATGACCGCACTCGTTTTTGAAATGAGACACGAGATAATAATACACTTAGAAACGATACAAAAAATTGTTCATTAAGCATAAATAATTATGATTTCAAAAAGTTGTAAAACAAAAAAGAAAAGAAAAGAAATGGTATTAAATATACTCTTGTCAAAATGGTTAAAAAACTGTTCTTGTTAACATCAGAGCATATTCCTTAAGTACTATTATATTTGTGTGTCGTAAAGACAATGGGGTATAATATTTATATGCTGGGGAAATTTCCACCCGTCTCTACTAATAATAAGTGATAACGATAGAGAGACGTTATATGAATGTTTTTGTATGTTCTGGTTTATCACATAAATTTTACTGATAAAAGGAAGAATGCTGAGCGTTCATAAAGCTTATTAAAAAAGAAATAAGGATAAACATGTAAAGGCTACTACCACTAATGATAGGTTGAAGAAATATGTGTTCTTCTTCCATTTTATTTTGTTATGAATGTTTAATAACAATCGTCTGAATATTACATATATATATATATATATAATGAATTATATGTATCTCTTTATGTTTTCATAGTTTACGAAAAAATATAGTATAAGACATTTCAGACAATAAATTTAAAATAGCAAATAAGGAATTAATAACATATATGTAAATTTCCCATGAAATATTTTTAAAGCAATATATTATTATGCACATGAATAAGAAAATATATATATATATATAAAAATAAACATCATTATAGAGAAAAAATTCTAAACAGGCAACATAATTTTATAAAAAGTTTTTATTATACGTTAATTTATTTATATCCCCTCATTTAATGGTTCATAAATATATGTGGTGTGGGATGGATATGCATAATTAATACAAATTGTCATATAGAAAAATGACAAGGGGTATTTTATTATATAATAAAACAAAAAGTTACATGGATAAGGAAAATTTATATAAAAAAAAAAAAAAGGAAAAAAAAAAATAATATACACATTTATATAAAACATAGGGAAATGAAAAGGAGGCGCAAAACAAATATACCGTCTTAAAGATATTTTGTATATTTTCATTTGGGAATTTACATGTTACAAAGTTATATATAATCAATTTAAATCATTTGCATTTTTTACTCTCGTTTCTATGAAAAAGATACACCCGTTTTTTTATAGATGAAAAAGACTACATTTTTTTTAAAAAAAAATTCCCTATTTCGTGAGAATGGCTCTGGGGAGCGGGGGTGGGTAAAACGTTGTTCCGAAATAGTGATTATATTTTATAAAAATTGTTAACAGATTTGGTCATTTTTATCTTCACAAATTTTTTAATGTATTAATTTTTTTCATATACATAATATATGCTCTTTTTTTTTTTTTTTTTTTTTTTTTTTTTTTTTCTTGTACATGTCATCTTCTCCATTAATGGGTAAAAATATAGAATGCAAATTTTTATCTCTAAGCTGAATATGCGCCTACATATTATGCACAAATTGTATATAAGCAACCATATGTATATTTATATATATATTATATACCTGAGAAATGAGAAAGACTTTCTCGTCTTAACCAAGTTAATGCCCAAATAAAAAGACTTATAAAATTTTGAAAGCTATATTTTATTTAAAAAAAAAAAACAAATATTCGTTTAGAATCCAAGTGATCTATGTTTTACTCCTACGCTACTTAAAAGTTCATGAAGGAAGAAGTGTACCCATTCATTATACCAAGAACTTTTAGTTTTTTTCATTTGTTCCCATTCAACATATTTTTTACTTGTAAGTGTTTTTCCTACACTAGATGCTAGCTTATTCCAGTGTGCACTTTCTCTAGATTTTCTAGCTTGGTACATATCCCATGATTTTTTTATTATTGGGAATAATGGATCCCAGGCATTCATGAATGGTGAATTCGAATCCTTACACCAATATGCATCTTCTTCACATTTCCATTCTACCTTAAGCCATTCATCAAATCTTTTTTTTTTCCATAACTCAAAATCTCTACTAATCCATTTACGTAAATTATCATCGTTATTTTTAATCCATGTTCTATAATCAATAATCATAACTTCTTCTGCTTTTCTTTTAACAAGATTACACCATTCTCGTTCACTGTATTTTAATGTTCCTTCTCTACGTTGAACTTTATATTTTCTGTCCATTTTTTTTTTAAAAGCAACCCATTTGTGTTCCATTTCCTTTATCCAAATATCCCATTCTTCTTCTTTTTTTTGAATCCATTTTTTTTTTTTTTCTTCAATAAAATTGCTGAAACTTACCCATTCTGGTTCTAATTTTGTCAACCAATCATCCCATGCTTCTTCTTTTTGTTTTTCTGTTTTCTCGATTTCTTTAAGTTTAGAATTTTTAAAAGTTTTGAATTCATGGTTTAATTCTCCAACCCACTTAGACATATGTCCCCCACTTCTATCACTAGATGATTTCCTTGTTGATATGGTAGTACCTGGAATGTCCAGATGTAGACCGTGTCGTTCTCTTGAGCTCTAGGGGAAATTTGGGGATAAAAAAAAAAAAAAAAAAAAAAAAAAAATCATATTTTAATTTTAATGCCCTTAAAAAATATGTATACTTCCCGCATTCATATATGTACCAACCCATGGGCATACATTTATATACATACATTTACTACCCATGTATATATGCATATACATATATATTTACATACATATACTTATATACATATATTTACGTATATTTAATGGCATGGAGCCACAGTTTATAACTTACCGCATAAGCTTGATTGTAAAGGCAAGAGGAAGATAAAATAAAAAGGATGGTAGACACGTAAGAAAATGCAGAAGTACGCTTCATCTTATGTAATAAATTCTATATCTATGATTAATTGTTATTTATGTCTTGTTGTTTTTGTTGAAACGGAAGTAATCTAAGCTATATATGTATTAATATAAAATATATTTTCTATTTTATTATTTTTTTTTTTTACTATTATTTTATTTTTTTATTAAAAAAATATAAAAAATCTGCATTGAAAAAACAATTTTTTTTTTTTTTTTCTGTCAATTTTGAATTAATTTATTTTTGTTATCATTATAATTATAATATTCTACGGAAGCTCGCTTTATTTTATCATTAATTTATTCTTATTACTTTTTTTCTTTTTTTTTTTTTTTTTACTGGCAATCATTCCATGATTATTTAAAAAATATTTTTTCTGCAGAAAAGGGTAAGGTAATGTGGTGGTTGCGCACATGTACGTAGATATTTATAAAAAAATATATAACTAATATAGTAGATGGGTACTACAACAAAACAAATAAAAATAAAAAAAAAATTTCAATAAATATCATAGGTATAGTATGGAGAATAAAAATTTTTAAGTATATTCAATAATTGGCTTTTTACCTGTTTTGGTCGTTACAAAAAAAACAAAAAAAGGTTAAACTGGCAAAAATAATTTTATTAACTAAATTTAGATGTAAAATCACAATGCTAAAAAATAAAAATGGGACGGGGCATTTTTTTTATTTTATTTTATGTTTTTTTATAAGTAATTTTTTTTTTTTTTTTTTCCGTGCTAAGTTATATTTTGCATTTTTCATGTAAAATAATAAAAACATAGAATGTGGTGCATATTTTTTAAGGCATTTTTTATAGAATTAATTAAATGCACTTAGGTGAATTATTTATACATGTTATTTAAATATATACATGTATTATATACATATATTTTATGCAGAACAATTTATGCATACATTTCTATATTTATATAAATAACTAAAATATTTTTCCTCTCTACTTTTGTAGAAAGACAAATATATATATATATGTATAATAAGCATACTTTTTTATTTATGTATCTGAAAAAAAAACTAAGGCTTGTTGTTGGGTAAACATCATTTTCAAAATTAGGGAATTCTTGAATCTATAGGAAGTAGCTCCTTTAGTCTATTTCCATACAGGCAAAACTACTTGATCATTCTTCCCCAGGATTTTTTTACAAAAATATTTATAAATAGCGCTTAGAAGATGTATGCAAATTTCTCGAAGTGTCATGATTTTTGCTTTTCTTTTTTTTTCTTTTTTTTTTTTTTTTAAACCTCAATTTTTTAACGTAAAACTAGTATTAATTTTTAAAGTAAACAATTTTTCTATATTTGCTATAAGAATAAAGATGTTGTTTTTCCTTAAGTAAAAAAGGTTTAAAATTTATTTTATTTTTGTAAATAAATTAAAAAATATATATTGATGTAAGAACAACGTTGTTTCTTTTAAAAAAAACATTTGGTAAAATCGAGAATTAAAATAAAAATAGAAAAATATATATTTATGTTTGCATAAATTACATGCAAAGGAGAAAAATAAAACTTTTTTTTATTATTTATTTTTTTTTTTTTATCCTTTTCTACTCCCCCTTTGGCTATATTTGTCATTTATTTATATTATTTTTTTTTTTTTTAAGGTAAATTTATGCGTCAAATAAGTTTCTTCCTCTTCTTCTTATTATTATTTTACTGATACGACTTTCCAACTGTTTAACATTTATTAATTTAACTCGTTTTTATCATAGTTGTATCGTTAATTTTTTTTTTTTTTTTTTTCATACAATTTTTTATGTTAGTATTTTTTTGTGTCCATTAATATATCTGGCGGAACATGAAAAGAAAAAAAAAATTTAGAAAAAATAATACAGTGCATTTTTTCTGAGATAAATTTGTAGCTTACTTATCAAGTAGTTAAAATGTTTGATCACGATTTTTTTAATTTTCTTTTTTTTTCCTTTTCAGTTTGTTTCATTGTAATTATTTTTTTTATGTAAAGTGGTAGTACTATATATAGTAGTTAGTAGTAGTCCCTTTGAGGGAAAGAAAAGAAAAAAAGCGTGGGGGCCGAGGGGGATTTTATATTTATTATCTAAATTTTTTTAAAAACTTTTATTAAATAAAAAAATATCTATATTGCATGTTTTAGGGGACTCAAAAATTTATGATTTTTTTTTTTTTTTTTTTTTACTACCAATCTTTCTTTTTTTTTTATTATTTATTTTTTGATTAAAATGTTAGCGTATAGGAGTCTATATATATAATATCTCCAAGCTATATAATAAAAAAAAAAAAAAAAAAAAAAAAAAAAAAAAGTAGATAATGTACGAATGTTATCACTTTATTAAGATTATTCTTTGGACAATTTGCATGAAAAAAGGAGGCATAAAATTATATGTACTTAAAATGAGAATGAGTGATCTGTAGAAAAACAACTCTTACGAAATAGGAATAGAGGGAAGTGATACGTCCCCTTCCCAATCGTTTGCTCTCATTACATGAATGTTCATGCATCTTCACACAACATATATGTCTATATGTATAAATAACCATATATGTATACATGCCTTTTTACATACTGTATGCATATGATATTTCTGGCCCCAAACTGAGTAAAGACCTACGAACCTGAGGTATTGAATAATTTAAAAAACTTATCCTTAAAGAATTTACTCTTGAGCGTTTTTTTTGAAGGGGGAATGATTATGACAGTATAAAATATATTTGTCTGTTTTCGGCAATTATAGCACATTTAAAATATTATAAAAAATATAAGTTGGATTATTTTTTTTCTAGCATATTATTTTGAAAAGCAAATTCGTAAAAATATTGTACTCTACAATTCGGGTCCTTATAAATGTAAAAAAAAATAAAATTAAAATATAAAAAATATATTAAAATGGATAAAGGTTACAAAGGGTGTCATCTCGGTTACATTGATTTTCTATTTAATGCTTTTCAAAAGGTTTGTTCTATATGTAATAAAACGGGACTTATATTTTGTTCAGCAAGGATATACTTTTTCATTAGAAAAGGGAGAACCATATACTTCTCAAATAAAAATAAGTGTATACAATATATTTACTATACATATGTATATGAATAAGGCCAGTGTGTGTATATAGCTTTATGATAAAATAGAACTATTCGGCTTTGATAAAAAAGGGCATTGTCAGGTATAATGCATGAACTGAGATAAAAAAAGGAAAATTTTAAAATAAAATAAAATAAAGTATGGGTGTAACCAAAGTTAAGCAGAAACATAACAACTTCACGCTTTCGTACCCTGAAGAAAAAAGTTCGACAAAAAAAGGTTAAATGTTGAAAAGTTTTCACCATTTTTTGGGTACATTTTCTTAATGAATTATGGTGCAGTTGAATGTAGACCAATGAAACATTTTTTTCTCTTTCTATTTACATATTTACGCGTTGAAATTTTTGTCTGGGGATTTTTTCTCCCTTTTTTTGAGCCTGTCTTGTTTGAAGATATGTGAGCCAGGGTTCACAAAAAAGGAATGAAGCAAAAGAATAAAAAGAAATACTTGCCTTTCGAATGAATTGTGTTGATACCTATTTGTAGTAACAGGATCAATAGTTGTTAATTTTTTTATTTCTGTCCTTGTGAATTATTGTCATATAATTTTTTTTTTTTTTCTAATTTTTCTTTTTTCGATTAATAGGTTATTCAGGTTTATTTAAATGATATAATATCGCCTAGAAGAGTGTTACTGATTGATTTAAATCAGGAAAAAGTGTATTTGTTTACTCAATGCATGTGAGGAATTACACAATTATTAGCATTAAGTGCAATGCTATAATTTTATCTCTCACTTTTCATTTTTTAGGGTTCAAACATTAATTTTACTTTTAATTTTTATTGAAATGCAGTCATTTATAACTGCAGTTTCGGCAAATTTATATCTGTATTTTTATCGCTACAATTTTGATTATAAGCGCATTGTCTCTTCTTATAGTTGAAAGATACTTGCTCACAAAAAAAAAGTAGCCCACTCTGTTATTTATTTTTTTTTTACAGTATCATTTATAATTTGCATGTATTTATATTTTTTTTTTTTTTTTTTTTTCTTATTTTTTTCCTAACAATTTCTTTGTTTTTCTGTTTCCATTTGCTCTTTTCATTCTACCAATTTGGAAGAAATGAGGAAGCTAATAAAATAAAGACAGAAATTTACGCTCCATTATGTCATTAAAACATAATTGGCACGTTTTGGAAATGTACTTGGTAAACAATTTCTAAAGCGTTGTTTCTAATATATAATAAAAATTAATGATGTATAAATATATTGGGTGTTCTTATGAGACTTGTAATATCTTAAAAGAATCTACCATCAATGCATGGGGCATATTCTAAAAAATTGGTGAAGATTAAAATTATTTGGCTTCTTTTCTTGCTTTTACTCAATACGTTTGAAATTCTGGAAATCCAATCTTCTTATATTGTCTTACTCAATCTCGTGATTTTGTTAGTAGAAATGTGCATGTGAGAACGAGTACGTATCGATTTTACTCATCACACTTAACACCTAATGTAGCATAAGAAAGATTAAATTTATGGGTAAACGGAATGCTGGACGTAATTTCTCACACTTTTTTTTCTTTTTTCTTTAGTAATTTTTCTACTCTTAGCATAGCAATTTATGAAAGTTATATTTTTAAAAGAGAAATTGGGATATTTTTTATTAGTGACACGGAAAGGTTATGTGAATGCATCAGCAATTTAATTCACTACTTTGAGAAGGTACCCTTTTTTTTTCACTGATTTGAGAAATTATCCTTTTTCTTTTACTACTTCGAGAAATTAGCCTATTTCTATATGTGTAACCTTACATAAAGGATGTAACGAATATGAGAATACATTTTTTTGCTATTTTTTTTTTTTTTTCATGTGGCATATTTTTGAACACTTTTTATGTAATTTTATTTTTTTACACTAAGTTATAGTTCATTTGTGGCACTTCAGCATGTGAATTTTCAATTTCTAGGTCATATTTTTTGTTTTAGTTTTGAAGATTTGTACCTAGATTATGACTAAAAGAATCTGCATTACATTTGATGATTTGTACCTAGAGTGTGCCTACGAGAATATGCTATAGTTTGTCCGTTTTACATTTTTTTCAATATATTCTTATCGAATTTTTTATGATTTTAAAAAACTGTAATGGAAATTTAAAAATTTGAATTTCATTTAAGTGTAATGAATAAAACGAAGTATATTTTAGAAAAATGCACCAAAGTAGGTTTTCTGGTATTATGAATAGCGTGTACCTAAATATTACAACTAATATAAATCATTTATTCAGATTAATATAAGAATAGTTATTTATTTTTTTTGAATTTTATATAATCGTGTAAGGCTATGATAAAATATTTTTTGTGAAAGGAGAGTTAATATTAAATATAGGTATATCATCATAATGTAAACTCTGTGAATGTTTATTTTGTGAGTAATTGCCATTATTTATATATATGGATTATAAAATTACTTTATCAAGTATTTGCATAAGATTCACATCTTAACAAATGGAGATAAGTTTAATTATCTGTATGAATAGGAGTACCTATTTCTGTATTTTTTGAAAATGTATACATATATACTATGTATATATATATTACAAAAACTAAAAACAGTAGATAAGAACAAGGCAAATGAATTGGAACTCTTATATTTGGAGAAACACATGTATTTTGGAAAAGAAGTGTTGTATAATAAGGTCATTTTCTCTATAAATGTTAAGATAAAAGGAAATAACATGATATATCGGTTTATTTAAATGGTACTTTTGAAAACATTTTTAATTAGATATCATCTCTGGACAAAAATGGGTATTTCTAACGCACACACCGTTCTTAATGTAAATGTATTTCAACTTTTTGTTAAGTTCTGCGTTTGTGCTTTTCTCCAGTTTTAAGGTTTTTAAAATTGATATTAACATAATAAGGGTGAAAGGGAAAATGGATAAAATATAATAAAAGATATGCATAAATAAAATTATTTTTTTCTTAAAAAAAATGTTAAGTGCGTTAAATATGAACATAACCTTTGCCAAATGATGGCAAGTGTGTTATACCTTGGTAGGTATTATATATATATATATATATATATATATATATATGTATATTATCCTTTTCTGCACTTATAATTAAAAATTAGTAAAAGGATATATTTATCACTTGTATTTTACACTTATATAGGATATAGCAAAAATTCATTACAATTTTGAGAAATATTGTTAATGGTGTTATTTAGTAAATCTTTCCATTTCATTAAAGCATTTTTTTTTTTCTTTTTTTTACATAGGGAGCTTGAAATTGGAAAACAAGAGCAAAAATTAGTAATATTCAATTTTAATATAAAGTATTATTTTCAAATGTGGATATAGAGAATTTAAATTTAATATTTTTCTAGAATGTTCTGGAATATTTCAGAATAGTGTTATTTTTGAAGATGTGTTAAATAATAACTCTTTTCTGCCTAAAACATTGATAATAATATATCAAAACGAATAATGTTAAAATTGTACATATTATATTAATAAGAATGATATTCTTAAACAAAAAAAATAGATAGGATTTTTCTTTTTAAGACATATTAACAATAAGCACTAAGACAAATGCTTCAATTTTAATATATATAAATAAATGATTTAATAACACTTTAGGTTTGGAGATCCTGAAAATGTAAATTATGTTCATCTATATATATATGTGTATGTCTAACTGAATTTCATATACATGAACATATTTTTGAATGAAAAAATGCTTTAAGTATAAATCCTTATAGGAATATCACATTTTCCTCCGAACAATATGCATAACTATAGAATTTTTTTTCATTTTTTTGTAAATATATTTATTATGTGTATCATTAGCATTACTATATTTATTTATTACTAAAATGTAAAAAATAACTCATTCCCATTACATTTATTTGTATATATATATAAAATTAATGTGAAAAAATACCCATCGCTGGAACACAATTTATCAACTTCTTAAACATTAATATGCAAAACTCGATCCTTTTTATTATTTAATTTACACTTACAGCATTATAATGGCAGCTGAAAATCCAAAAAAATGGGTAAACATTCTCTATAAAATAAAAGAATTACTAAAAATTCAGTAGTATAGATTATACATACTTAGCGTAAACAGAAAGAAAGAAAAACATCATTTAATGTTAAAAATGAATTATCAATTTAATCAATTTTTGACGCTTTATTTTTAGGGGGACATTTTGAAAGGTACGAAATCACATGAGATGTATAGTAAGTTTGATAAAGGGGTCATTGGGAATGACATGGATACATATTGTAATAAATTGAAGGAATCAGATAACGCATGCAATAATGATAAATGTAAATTATGCAAAAAAATTGGAAATAGTTTAAAAATATTATCCCAAATACAAGATGGTAAAACACGTAGATACGGTTGTCTAAAATATAAATATTGGGTAAATTCTCAAATTTTAAGTTTGTTAGGAGATGATCCCAAAAAAGAGTACGACAAAACCGTACTGAATAATTTTTCTGATGCGCAGAAAATTATCCTTGAAAAAAAAATATATGATTATGTTTGCTGGTATGATTTTAAAGGTGCAAATTTAAAAAACGTTAAGGAAATGAATGAGAAGAAAGATTTGCATGATTATTTTAGTAATTATAGCACTGTTAAAAAATATATATTATCTGATAGTGCTAATGAGGATGAATGTAAGAACTACCTAAAGCACATTAAAGAACTATATGACAGGCATAAAAATGAGTGCTTTGATTTTTTTAATTATTGGACATCCGATTGCCCAGACTATTATAAACGTGAAAAGAAGTATGACCCAAACAAACTACTTTTAAAATTACAAGGTAAAGGTTCAGAGAGTATAGAGGTGCCTCCTAAGAAATCTTCAGAAAAAGAAAAAATAACATTTTTTCGTCTTACATGTGGTAATGAAATATGGGACGAAAAATTTCGACATTGTGCCTTAAAGCCATTAACTATTGAGTATACTGATGATGAAGATGAAGATGAAGATGAGGATGTGGCACAGCAAAATAATTTGATGCCAGGAGGTATCGAACCACAAAGTGAGAATGAAAGCACAGTTAAGAGGCAAGAAGGTGATAACTCTCAAAGTGACGAAGATGTGGGAACTATCGATGAAGATATACCTAAAACCTCAACAGAAGAGGATGGTATAACACCTTACTTGGAACTAAGGGATGATGTAATTAAATGGAACATAGAAGATAAAAGAGTATTAGACTGTAGGTTTAATCAACATGATGCTAATACTAAATTATGTGAATACTTAAGAAAAATATATAAAGGAGATTTTGTGCTAAAACAAAAACCTAAATTTGAAATTAAAATATATACCAAAGAATCATACGACGGAAAATCAGTTAAAGGAAGAGATAGTAATTTGACAAACACTGGTTTATCAAGTCCTGATTTATCAAGGTCTCATTCAAGTGCGTCCCATACAGGAATGTCTGATTCATCAAACTCTGTTTCCTCAGTCCCTGATTTGGAAACCAATGAAGAACATAGCAGTGGAGAAAGCGACGCAGAATCATCTATCACAAAATCACTTATTATAAAACCAGTCATCGTAGTAGCTCATGACACAGGATCAGATATTGAAGATGGAATTAGCGAAGAATCAACTAATACCCAGAATGAAATTTTTAATTTATCAAAAACTACTCCATTCCGCGCAATGGTATTAACCATTATAATGTTAGGAATTTTTTTTCTTGGTTTTCTTTATTTTAAAGTAGAGTTCTAATTTTGAGTATAAATAAAATAATTTTTATTTACGCTAATTTTTGTTTTGTAAAAACTTGTATTTATAAAAAAATTATTTACAATGCAGATATTTTACTTTTCTCCTTTACCTTTTAGTTTACACCTTTTGGTACTTGGGTAAGAAGGAAATTAGGAATGCAGAAAAAAATTAACACTCGTCAGAGAAAACAATTACAGAGACCACAATCCCGTGGACGAAAAGTAGCTAATACAAACATGAATAGAAAGCGAGTACAAATTGCTTATCAGAATAGGTGAAGAGTATAGATATGAAATGATGCAGCATTGAATGTGCATTAGATCCATATAAGGAGAGTTAAGAATTATTAGTAGTACATAAGTTATGTCCACCTTTTAAAAAATAAATTAAAAAATATCTAAAAATATGCAATATATATATTATATGTAGAATGAAGAGCATTTTGTGTGATAATTCATATTTAGCAAAGAAAAAATTACCCTAATACTTAACCTAAGAAAGTAGCAAAATAGAAACACCTCACAGAAGAAACAATGAACACAAAATTGAACAATTGTAATAATAAATTTTGTTAGACTATATATAGGAATAAAAAATATCCTCTATTTGGATATTTTCTGAAAAAATGGAAAAGGTATTTTGTACATAGTGTATCTAAATATCTTACTCATTAAAAAATGAATCTGACATGCGTACAAATGAGTGATTTTTTATAAGATGTGTCGATGAATAAAAAATATTGTTTTAAATTTGTTAGCTTATTATTTAGTTTTACTACTCTAAATTGAATGGAGTATTTATATATTTGTGCACGGTATCATCCAAATTCGATTTTTTTTTATTTTATTATTTTTTTTTTTTTTTTTGTGATTTTTATTTATTAATTTATAAAATTTCATATATTTCATTTCCTATATAATCATAGTATTAATATATGTGAATAATAATAACTGGAAATTTTTTATAATTATATTTGTTCAAACTATTTTTAACTCTATTAATACTATTATGCGTTAGTAAGAACCTAAGCAATGTTTCTTTTTAGGTTTATAACAAATTAAAATCAATACCATTTATTTGGTTGAGAATTATAGAAGTTACTAGGTCTTAATTATGAAAAAAAAAATTAAATTAATAATGTTTTTCTAAATCGTGTATATTTTTGTTGCACCGATGTGAAGCAATGTATATTAGAACTATTTACTAATCACGCGATTATAATATAGTAGCAAAATTTTAGCACATATTTATGAGACTACATTACTATAATATGTGTGAATATTTATTCTGTATATATTTTTATATATTTAAGTAGTTTACGCTATTTATATATAAATAACAAAAATAATAGTATTCCTATCTCCTCCATAAGGTTATATGATACATGTCGAGGAGTAATTTTTGCACATTGTGCAGAATTCGATAAGGCACAAACATTGATCACATACAAATAACGCTGTGAGAAAATTTTTTTGTAAAAATAAAATTATATTTTATAATAGATATAATTAACATATGAAGAACTATGCATTGTATACCTTCTCTACTTTTTATACTTTGAGTTGAAATGAAAAACTTTTATTTAGTCAGCGATGTGTAATATATAAGAGGGAGAAAAAATATTAAAAATGTAAATAAATTTGTAATTATTGATAATATTAACTTTTTTTCTTATTGCATTTAAAATTACAAAAGAAATTGCACAAAAAAATAATTTAGGAAATTTTCAAGCGCTATACTTCATGAAGTTAACACGGAATTCATTTATTCTTTGTTAAAAATGACAAAATGTATTTATATTCATATATGAACTTTCAAGAAAACGTTATATGTAATATATGCTTCTATTAAAAGAATTTATTACATTATAACTTTCGTAAGTAAACATTTTAAAATGAATAAGAAAAAAATTATAGTTCGCCTTAATTAAAAGAGCTACATATGTGTAAGGTTCTTATTTCAAAACACCTAAAATGGAGAAAAGGAAAATGTAGATAAATGGAACACTATAATTTTCATATTATTAATTATTGTGAATGGATAACATTTTTACAAAATTTAACCTTTATTATTTTTGTTATAAGTAGTGTAAGAATGTGTTAATGTTTTTTAACCAGTAAGAGCATAAGTAAATAAACATTTATGTGAAAAATAGAAATTAAATTCTTATATATATTGAAACTTTTTTCAATATGTGATATGCATATACAATGTCTTATAGGAATATATATTTATCAAAATGTTTGTTCCTAAAGAAGGCTTAAATCTCGTGTTACGTACTACAGTCCCCAATTCGTTTTTTTATATTTTACATCACAAAATTTCATGACATAAGCCAAACCTCATAATTTATTTATAAAGTGACTCTAATTAACGTACAGTAGAAATGATTATATTACTCATATTTCAATGTTTATTTGTGAACTGCTAATAAGATATAAACATATTAATTAACTGAATTATGCATATATAGATAATTAGTCGAAATACCATTTTAAACATTATTATATTTAATTAAAATGTCAGGAGGTACACGTATTCCTACTATTCATAAATTGCTTGTAGAAGATGTTAAGTTTTATGTTTCATAAAAAACATAACTAAGATAGCCTAAGATGTACTTTATATATTTCCTTGAAATGATGAAAACGATTTTTTAAAAAAACAGGAATTTATTAAATTATGTAATTCATTCTTTTCTGTTTTCAGGATTATAAATTAAGGGAAAAGGATTTATATTTAACTTATATTGAGTTTAGTAAACCGTGTGTTCCAGGGGATGATATTAACTGTTCGGATATATTAGCTGAGTCTTTAAATGGAAGAATGAGAAAGTTATATAAACAATTTGTTCATAATTTCCATAAACTAAAAGATACGGAAAACCTTTTTAAACGTATAAATGGTATGGAGAAAAAAGGATGCACATATTTAAAGTATTGGCTTTACGACCGATTTATATATAATAAGTATAGTGATGATGATATTCAGAGTTTCTTTAATTCCTGGGAGTTATCAATGAAAAGTTTGTTTGATGAACAATGCGAATGCAAACTACATAGAATGAACTTAGATGAACTTCAAAGGATTAAAAATTTATATGATTATTTTTTATTCTATGATGGGTATGGTTCCGTTGATCTTGTTAGTCATAAAATATATAGCAGCTCTTATTGTAGTTATCTACAAGGAGCTGAAAATATATATAATAACATGAAAATTGAGTGTGTAGATAATAATAAAGAATATTGCAAAGAATTTAATGATTTACGTAAACATATTAACGTTGATATGAATAAAATTAAGATTATTTTATTTAAAGGGAATTGCAAGAATGAGATAACTGGTACATTTAAAAAAACTAACGAACCAAAAAACATGTTGATTAATCCTCTTCTAAAAGGACTAATAGAAAACGTATATTTAATACGTTAATATAGCTTTTAATGTGATATTATATAATTAAATATTATATTTCTCTTAATTTCTTTAATTATTGTTTTGTTTTATGAGATAATAATTATTTATGCTTTAATATATTTTATTTTATCTGTTCATTATGCAGGAAAACTTGGAGCATGTACCTTTATATGAATTTTATAAATTGATAAATAAGGTCGCTAATGAAAGTATCGAACATGATATTTGTAATGTTGTTATACCTAGTAACACAATAAACGGTGGTTATCTTCGTAAATATTGCAATCTGATTAAGCTATTATTAAAAGAGTGGGATAGTAATTCACATATAGTAGAAAAAAGTGAAGATAAGAATAAGATTTGTGAATATTTTAGCTACTGGATACGTCAAGAAATAAAAGAAAAGAAATATCGTAACATGTTTTTAAAATTACTTCATTTATTTAGGGGTTTTCCAAATAATGAGAATAATAAGTGTATAATTAAATTCTTTAACGTTGGTGAAAATGAATTTAAAAAGAAGAAAGCTTTACATGAGTTTTTAGAATTCTTTGATATTATAATAAATAAAATGAGCAATGGAAAAGATGAAAAGGTTGATAAATGTTGCGAATATATAAAGTCTAATTTTCAATTATACTATCTTATGTTACAAGAAGATAAATGTAAAAAATCATCAAAATATGAAGATGAAATATTACTTTTTCAAGAGAAATTTCGTGTAGGGGATGACATATCTACTGTAGAGGAGAAATGTTCTTGTAATTATCTAGATTTATTGTATAAAGATGATCTTGAAAATAAATATTCGAGTCCTACTGGATCTGCAGAATTTCAGGCAGAAGCACATGATCCTAATCAAGATAACGTTGCTCATACAGGAGTTGAGTTTAAAGGAATATCTCCTGAAATTGTATATCACAACTTATTCTTATTTGATATATTGTGATTATCTTTTTTTTGAATAAATATGAAAAACTAACTAATTAAAAAAATGGGTATTAAATAAAAATTACATAACTGTTTATAAAAATGCATTTTTTCTGTTTAATTTTTAGCAAGAAGTCATGAAAGAACTCCCTTTAAGTAAAATATATGATGAAATGAATGATGAGAAAAATATTGAAAATTATTGCAGTGATTGTATGGACATATTGTTCTTAGAATTGAAGTATCCAGGTATTAACAAGTTCTGTAGATTGTTATCAAAAAATTTAAGAAATTTATCTGAAAGAGTAAATGAAGATAATAATGATCGCTGTGAATATTACAATCATTGGGTAATTGATGAAATAAAAAAAAGGTTTAAAAAATACCTGAACACCTCTTTTGATACACCATTTGTTAAAAGTATTCTTAATGTTGTTTACAATATTAATAATAAGTTAGGAAATAACCGTTGCAGTTTTAATTTTAATTTCGATTCTGACTACGATGAATTGAGAGAAATGAAAGATTTGCATGATTTTTTTAAAAATTATAAAAAAATTGAAAATAGAGAAAATTCTATTAGTATAGAAAAAGATAAACTCTGTAAATATGTTAGTTATATATACGAATTATATAAGAAGCATTTAAGGGACTGTTGTGAATATTATGAACAAAGTAATTACTATGGGGAATATTGCAAGGATTATTTTAAATGTGATGTAAGTTATAACCCTTATAATCTATTAAATAAATTAGACTGTGTGGAAAAGGAACTAGCTGATGATTCAAAAAATATATATGAAAAATCAACCACTGATAGAAAAGTAAAAGTATTCACTGAAACATCTCTGGAACAATATAAATCATTAGTTTCTAATAATGCTTATATTTTTAATAATATCATTGAAGACCCATTTTATTTTATTATTACTTTTCTTTTCTCTCTTCTTGGAGTACTGTTTATGTTTTTCGTCTTTTATAAGGTAAAAGAATGTTATATAATTAACTATACATACTTTATGATATTACAAATAACTTGTTATTATGAAGCGTGTAAACACAGCACAAACATATTATACATTCATTCCTATTCCTATTATTATTACTATTATTATTGCTATTACTATTATTACTATTTTTTTTTCTAACCCATTTTTTACATTAGTTTACTCCCTTCGGGATATGGGTAAATAGATCATTAAATAGAAGAAGCCTTAGGAATAAGCATCAACAAGTGCCTCCAAAGAAATTCAAAAACATTAATTCGAAATATAGGAATATGAAAACACAAGGAAGACGACTAAATATAGTTTATCAGTCTGCATAAGATATAGAAGTATCACTTTATATTAAATTTATTTTTTTGCAAAGTTATATTAATACAATATGAGAAAGTGATACTACGCATGCAGAAATGTACAATATTAATTAAAAAAAAAAAATTGAAATGTAAGGAAAAGAAAAAACACACAGCTCAAATTTATGTCATACCATTTCATTGTTTTTGTTACTCTTACGCATTTATTTATTTAATTTTACTTTTGTATAATTGCTTTGCAGCATAATTATTTTTTTGAATAGTTACTTTTTAGTATTTGATGTTTTTCCTTTTTTTATTGCTTAAATTATTATTTTTTTAAATTTAAACTCGAAGAAGTAGCTAATATAATAATTGCAAATCCATGTTTTTGCCTTGGTGCACTTTATCGTTTCTGCTGTTCTAGTTCATTATAAATTAAACAAATATATGATAAGAATATGTTTATTCATTTAGATATACTTCATTATTGATATTTTTCGATTTACCAGTTTACATTGTTTAACGTAATAATAATTTAGAATTTACTAGTTCTACTGAGAAAAAAAGATATGTAATTATTTTCCATATTTAAAAGAAATGACTCCCATTCCAATTTAACAAAAAAAAAACTCTCTCTCTATATATATATAGTTACATCCTTTTTTATATAAATAGTGTTCAATAGTTTTTGTGCTGTAAAATATTATGGAGTGTATAATTTTAGAAATTTTTGTTATAAGAATAAGTTCACCTTATTTTTACCGTAACAATACCATTATAATGAGAGTTGAGGAATAAAAATTATTTCTGAAATTTAATAATTTGGATTTATCAGTTTAAGCAGTACAAATTCCTTAAACGAAATGAAGGCTCAATATACTCACATTTTATTAATCTGAAATTGTGAGTATACACATATGCATGCGTAGATATATATATATACTAAATTATGTTTAAAGAATAGAGATATTTCCTTTTATAAGAATACATATATAGCATTATGCTCGTGTTTATAAGTACTAAATATGGCATGGATGTATGTGATGGCTACGTAATGTTTTCACAATATTGAAATAACACGATACCAAAAGTTATTTTATTGTAGCACGTTTGCATTGTTTAACCATTAAGAGGTTAAATATTGTAGTAGTTGTAAATATACTTTATAAAAATTATTTTTGTATATAATTTTGTTCAATTATATTAAGTAGCATTAAAAAGATGGAGAAATTATTTATTTATTTATTTATTGGAAGTTTTTTTTTTTTTTGTTAAACAATTCGGAATGCAAATCATTTAAGAAATATAATTAAGTTTATATATGTGCTTAAATCATTTCACAATACTTTGAAATGAATTGAAAAATGTAAATATAACATTTTAACTAATTAATAATGTTATATTTACAAATACAGTCCCTAAAAGCACTCACATTTATGTAAATTAACACTCATTTGATTACATGTACAAACACATTAACAAAATAATTTGCTTAACTATATATTTTGTTATATTTAGGAATTATAAAAGTAAGAAATTATTATTATATATTTGTGCAGAAACTATTTTGTAAAATATGAATCAATGTAGTTATCATTTAGATTTATAATGATCCATCTGTCCTCATTTGAGCATTAACCACTTAATGCTTATTGCAAAAATAGATATTGAAATGAATAAGAGGAGACATAATTAAGATAAAATATAGAGATTAATAATATTTATTATAAAAAGTTTTCATTTGCATGAAATGCTTATGTAAAAAATAGGTTTGTCAATTGTATAGGATGTATATGCACAGAATAAATTCATCTATTTGGATCCACTCCAACAAGTGAGAAATGAAAAAATAAAAAATTTACTCCATTTAAACTACAATTAAATTTGTAAATAATACATGTATTGACAATTTCAACATTGTAATGTTAGTTACATATAATAATGATTAATTTTGAATAGTAAATAATAGGAAGGAAATGAAAAATATAAAAGTAATTTCCATTGCAATAATTTAAAAGAAAATATAAAAAGAACAAATTTTTATAGTTTAAGAATACATAGTGTTTTAAAAATTTTGGTTCTAAGGCATACACACATTTTTTTCTTAGTTGTATTAATTTTATGAATTTAAGTTAAAATGTAAACTTTAATTTGTCAAATATTATGAAGTTAAGATTGGGAAAACATTATGTTCTTCTCTTGTGAATACACATTAGTTTTATATTTTATCATTTTTAATTATCCTTGCACGTAATAAAATTGTAATTGAGAATATTAAGGAAGGGACAACTAGCTATTTGTATTTATTTTCATTGCATCTATTACAAAGGAAAATATGCAATCATCTCATTACACAGATGCATAACACAATACAATTGTTTTGTTTTAATATGCATGAATTAATTGCAATAATTTAAATACATTTTGTCTCCATTTGTGTGTAAATGTGTGTAGGTAAGAATTCGATAACATTTTGAATTTTCATGAGTGGAAATTGAATCAATCTGGATGGAATTTTTTTTTAATATTACTTCTACCCACAGTGCAGATAAAATAAAGAAAAAAAGAAAAAGTGGCACTAAATAAAAGCAAAATATTAACATGGTGAGATATTTAACAATGAATTGCTAGGACATAACTAGAGATTTATCTTTTACTTGGATTATTATGAACATGATGATATAATTTGTTGTATATAAATTTGATCACATATAAAATGACACAACAAAATAAGATTTCGTCAACTGAAATAACCCATTATTTATGTGAAGCTACAAAAAAAAAATACAAGTAATTATAGAGAGAAAAAGAATTGTATTTCAAACTATGCAAGCGTTTTATAAATAAAAAATGAATTAATTTTTTATGTGCAAATCTTTCTTTTTGTTGTGATGTCTTTGAGTAAAAATATGTTGCAGTATTATTATCAATAATGTAACATATTTTTGAGATTTAAAATTTTGTAACTAATATTAATAAATATTATATAAATAAATGTTACAATATTTTTTGCGAATTTATGTTTAGCACTATGGGTCCCTTTGTACTAAATGTATAATATTTTTAGAACCTAGCACATTCAAACTTTAGCTTGAGTAGCATTATTTCTTTTAATAATTACTAATGATATAGGAATATTCATATATAACAAATGTTTATAACATAATAATTATATTATGTTTTAGAATGGGTGAATGTTTTAGTATAAAAATATGGTAGAAATAACGGCGTATAATGATTAGCACTAAAAAATAACAGCGAGAAGTTAGAAATGTAATTTATAATGTATACGTATATTTACATATACTTATCTACATGTACATATCTACATATATATATATTTATGTGCGTGCGTATGTGTGTACTTCCTCGTTAGTATGTTGCCAAGCTCATTCAAATTCATCAAAACACACTTCAATTGCTTCTTCCTTGTCTTGCATGATAAATCCGTCAACTAAATTAATATCATCATCATAGTTACTCATTTCATCATCATCATATTCTTCTTCTTCGTCGTTTTTCTTTTTAGCTGCTATAAAAATAGCACTGCAGATTGATAAACCCAGAATAAAAGCCCCAGCTAATAATACTCTTTCCTTTTCTCCTTTTGCACTGGAAATTCTTCTATGCCAAGATTTTTCATTTTCTGCCTCATGATTCTCAGTTTCTGCTCTTTGGACTCTGTATGAATCTGTATCCTCTTCTTGTTCCTCACTCTTAGTGTCACTTATCGTTTCTTCTTCTGCTTCTGGTTCTGTTTCTTCTTCTCTTTGTGCATCTGGTGAGATATTTTCCTCAACATCACTTGCATTGTTGGCTTGCTGCTGATATAATAACTTGCCTAACTCTTTTTCCAATTCTTCTGCCACTGTTTCAGCATTATTTAACACTACTGTTATATTGGAAATATGGACATTTAATTTGTTAACTATTTCTACTGAATCGTTTATGTATCGTCTTGCAGTTTCATATGCATTTTGATTGCTTTTGGAAAGTGAGTTAAATAATTCATCCATTTCATTTTTCTTTAGTTTTATCCTTTCTAATACACTATTAATTTTATGTAATAATACCATCGTTTCTTCATTATAATTTTTTACATTTTGTATAGCTTTCTTTAGATTATCAACATTTTTGTCATTTTTCACGCTTGATTCTTGATTGTAAATTTGTTCATTAATTTTTATAATAAATGCATTAACGTCATAGTCTCTATATATTTCGTTTTCAATATCTTTAATTTCATTGAAATTGTTTTCTATTTGAAAGAATTTTTCCTTCTCTGGTAAATTTTGTATAAAACGTGCATTTACTTCGTTTACTACTTTCATAATTTGGTTAATGAAATCATTTGTATAATTTTCACTACACATTTTATCGTTCTCTCCAATATTTAATGATAATTTATTTAATTTATCATCTAAATTAGATACAATGGTTTTATTATTTCCTATTTTATTATTTATTTCATTTTGTGTATTCTCATTTTTATTATTCAGTGTTTCCTCTTCTTCGTAAGCATTCATATAATCAGTTAGGATGTTCTTTCTGTTTATTAAAAGTGTGATTTTTTCTTGATTTTTTTTTACATTGTCATGTTCATTATAATTGAATTTCTCTAGCTTTTCCAGTTTTTCTATATCTGTCTTAATATTACTGTAAATTTCATCGAAGGCTTTAATAGACTCTAAGGTAAAGGAATTGTCAACCTTAACTAGTTCTTCTATTTTTGTATTAATTGCACCTTTGAGAGTTGTAACACTACTTATGTTTTCTTCTATTCTTGATTTTTGACTAGATAATGCCTTACTAAATACTTCAACTATTTCAATATATTTTTCAGCACTTGATTTAATTTCATCCAATTTAACAATTTTTGCTATTTCGTAAATTTCTTTAATTTTGTTTTTTTCATCGATTAATTTGTTATATAGTTTTTCCAGTTCTTCTGCATTTTTTTCTAAAGTACTAATTTCAGTTTCTTCATTATATTCTATGATATTTTTTTTTATATTATTTACAATATCTTTCGATTCGTTAAAAGAATTGTCTAATTCTGTAGAAGATTTACTTGATTTTTCAAAATTAGTTGATTCATATTGAGTCAATTCTACTGTATTTAAAAAGGTAGTAAAACCCCGAATATCACTGCCTATGGAATGATAACTACTATCAATTTGTTTAAAATGGTTATGTGCTTTTTTATATATATCATCGATTATTGTTAAATTTTCGCTCATTTTAGTGTCTAGGCTATCCTTTAAAGATGTATATCTAAAAACTTCACATTCGATTCCTTTTTTTAATAACTCATCAAAGGAGGTATCAAGAGTTGCAATATCTTTTTCTATATTTTCTGTCTCTATATGTACTTCATCGATGGAGGTATTTTTTTGTTTAATATTTTCTAGGACGCTCTCGCTGGCCTTTAAAACTAGAACTTCTCCTTCTAAAGATTTTAATTTGTTTATTGCATTGGTAAAACGTTCTTTTATTTTACTCAATTTTTGTTCATCAATTGTGTTACTCTTTTGTTCGTTAAAAACATTGGATAGATTTTTTAATTCTGTTTTTTTATTTTCATTTATAATGTTATCATAACTTTTGTCTTGGCACTTGATTTTTTCTAATTGGTTAAGTTTGGTTGAACTATTATCTAACCTGGTAGAGATAGTAGGTTCCTTGGTTTTAATAATGTTTACTTTATTTATTAACTCCTTTATTAGTTTAAGCTTGTTATCTATATCTTTTCCTATATCTATTAATTTTTTACATTCTTCTTGCTTTTGATCTATTTCTTTTGAGTGTTTGAATATTTCTAAAACGGTGTTGTAAGCTTTCTTAACATTTTCATAAACGTTTGTTAGCTTTGTATCTTTTTCCACATATTCTGTTTCTAATTTTACTTCATTTTCTGGTTGAAATTTTATTTCTTCCACATCTTTCAAGTCTGGTTGTTCGACTAACTGGGATAGTGGTAATTTTGGAACAATTTTTATATCCACAAAATTTGCAGAAGTGGAGATATGATCTAAAATAGATTTTGCCCTGATTTTATAAGTAGAGTGCATTGTTTTGTGTACTTCTGTATTTTTATCTGTAGCTTGTTGTAATTTATCAGATGAAGCATTTTCATCGTCCAATTTTTTAATATCTTCAATTAATTGTTTAATGTTCTCATAACCAGAGTTTACATTAATATTTTCTTCTTTAATCAAGGTATTAATTTTATCTAAATCTTCTTTCATATGGAGTATAAATCTGAAGGATTCCAGTTTTTTAACATCGTTCAGATATCTATTTGCCTTTTTTTCTAGATTTATAATATCTGCTTTTTCCTGCTGGGATTCTTGTCTTAGAGTTTTCGCTACATTATAATTTGTCTCATTGTTGGAAGCTTTTGCTAAATTTTCAACAATTTTATTATAATGCTGATTAAATTCGTTCTTTATTTCGCTCCATTTTTGTTCATAATCTTTTAAATATTTATTAAATTCGTACTCATTTAAATCGGACCCATTGAAAATGGCAGAAAAATTACCCAGTATTGAATTTAATGAATCTTTCACCGAATCTATGCTTGCTTTTTTGGCATCACTTATTTCTTTTATCTTTTGTAAAAGTCCAATTTCATAATTCTTTTTAGATTCTTCTAATTCCTTTTCTATACTTTCAATACGGGACTCTATATCATTGAGCTTTTCGTTTTCAGCACTAATAAGCTTTTTTTCAGTTGTCATTTCGGACAAATATTTTGCAGAATTAGTTTCTTCTTCCTTCACTTGATCTAATGTTTTTTTTTCGTTCATATCAGTTTTTAATTTTAAAGGACTAGTGGAGTTTTTAACTTTGTCAATAATTTTTTCAACCTCTATTTTTATTTTCTCAATTTCGGACAAATTATGTTTTGCTCTTTCGATATTTGTTTGTATAATTACATCTGCATTTGTAGAAATTGTATTACTGAGATCATGTTCTACATTGCCATGGTTCGGTTTTTCTTGTAATTTGATAAGTTTTTCTTGAAATCTTTTCATCCTTTCCTCCATTTCAGAGTGTTCCTCTTCTATATTATTCCTTATGTCAGTTGCGGCATTTATTTTTTTCACCGATTTTGTTTCTATTCCTAAAATTAATGATTCTTCGAAAATATCATTAATATTTTTTTCATATTCGAGAAGCGATTTTTCATTCTGTTTAGCTTTTTCTTCCATATCATTTACTTCTTTTAGATATCCTTCAGATTTGGCAAAATTTTCACTAACTTTTTGTATGTCATTATCTATCGAATTATTTTGAGTATTTTCCTTATTTTTTTTCAATACTTCCATTTTATTTTTTGCCCTTTTTATATTACTTATTTCTAATGTGCATTTTTCTTTATATTCCTTCATCTTACTTAAATAGGATTTGATTAGTTCTTTCTTCTGAGTATTAATTTCTTTCTTGATTTCTTCAATTTGGTGTACTTCTTCATCTATTTGTTCATCGGGTAAAGTTATTATTATTTTTTCTTTATGTGTCTTTGCCTTATCTATCATGGCAACTACTGTTTTGACAAGATCATCTATTTTCTTAAGCTCGTTAGTAGTGGAATTTTTAATATTTTCTGCGTTTTGGGTATTTTTCAATACTTCATCAGATATACTTTTAGAATTATTCAAAATTAATAAATCCTTCATCTTTTTAATTTGTGCCAGCATATCCATAATGGAATTATATTCCGATTTTGCTTCTTGCAATTTGGCATTAACTTGTTCTTTAATTTTTTCTATTTCACTTAGATTTTCATTTTTATCGGCCTTTTCCTTTTCCTCCTTAGCAGTGTTAACAATATCGTTAATTTTTTTATTGTTATTTTTAGCCTTATCGTAATATTCCTTGTAGTCAATGATATTTGCATTTTTTTGTTGATATTCAACCGTGTGTTGTTTTATTTCATCAATTTGTTTAGTGGATGCTTCAATTTGTGATACTGCATCATTTCCCTTAGCAGATTCTTTTTCTATATTTTGGACAGCATGATGAATTAAAATTCTTGCGTATTCTAATTCGGCTTTTTTTACTTCTGTTAACGTAGTTTCGTCCTTTTCTATCTCGTCTAATTTTTTAAATGTAATTTCTTCCATTTTATTAAAAAATTCTTCCATACTACTTCTTTTTTCTTCAAAATGGATTTTTTTATCTTTCTCTGTATTGAAAATTTCCATGTACTGCTTATATGAATTCATAATTTCGCTTAATTTAGTATTCTGGGAATTTATTTTTTGCTCAATATTTTTAACTGTTTCTTCAAATGTTTTTATTTTATCTTTAATTGTGGTATTTGCAATATTTTTTACATCTTCACTAAAAAGGAGGGGGATTAGTTTCCTTTTCATTTCATTTATGGAATCTGTATTTTTCTGATACTTTTCTTTTATTTCTTGGTCCTTTTTTGTTATAAGGTCATTTACCCATGATAGTACTTTCTGATGTTGCTCTTTAATGAGATCTTCTATTTTTTTCTCTAACACTTTATGTTTAGTGTTTAGGTTATCTATTTTGGGTTTTATATTATCGGATTCAGTTTTATTTTTTGATAACTCATCAGGATTTACTGCACTATCCTTGGAAATATATTTTTTTGTATTATCACAGTAACTTAATATGTTACTTATTTTTTCTTTTAAATTGCCTATTTCTGTTTCGGATAATTCTTTCTCTACATTGGCTTTTTCTTCATTTAAAGTTTTCGTCAAATTTTCCTTTTTGCTTTCTTCTACTAATTTGTAATTTTTAATGTCGTTCATATGATTATCTAATTTTAAGATTAATTCTTTTTTTATATCCTTTATTTTTTCTACGTCTTCCATGTTTTTGTTAGATACATTTATGACAGCATTTAATGCCTTGATGCTTTTTATATTTTTGATTGTAGTTTGAATATCACCTAAGGTTTTACTAACTGATTCTTTCAGCTTGATAAATTCATTTTGGAATTCGCTGACTTTTATATCTGTAATTTGAGTATTAAAATTTTCTAATGATGTGTTTGTATCTGAATACTTTTCTTTCGTATGGTCTTCTAATTTTCGAATTATATCAGTGCTTGTATTCAATTTATTATTAGCAGTTTTTACACTTTCCAACATCAAATTAATATCATTAGATATTGTGTTTTGCCTGTTTGTAATAGCATCTTTGTGTTTTTCAATTTGGCTATAAATATTTGTATTATCAGACGTTTCGCTATCATTTTCTTTGTTAGTTTGGAGAAAAGTGTCTTTTCTTTCATTTATAGTAACATTATACTTTTCGAGTTTTTCCTTTTTCTCCTTATATCTATTTAGGCTTTCTTTTAAATCGTTAAATTGTTTATTTAACTTTTCTAGCTCACTTGACATGTCTCTTTTAACACCTTCAGATTGGTCTAGTATAATATTTTTCTTCAGTTCTGACAATTTTTTTGACTCTGTTTCTAAAGCGGCCATTATTTGAGTGATATCATCAAATTTCATTTTTACTACTTCTTCGTGTTTTTGCTTAGTTTCTTTTCTCAGTTTATCGATATCATCTGAAGTATAAGCTTTTTCGTAGAAGTTTTTGTGTTCATCTACAAATTTGGATAAATTATCAACAACAGTTTGAAGATTTTCTTTGTAAAGTTCTGTAATTTTTGCTTTAATATTGCTTTGCAGTTTTGTTTTTTCACTTGTAAACTTTTCCACTCCAAAGTGGACAACCTTAATTAGCTGTTCAATTTCTAGGACACTTTTGTCTAATTCTGCTTTTTTGGAAATTATTAATTGTATATTATCTCGGTTTTTTGCTATATATTCCATTTCTTTTTTTATTTCATCCTTGATAATGCGATTTTTTTTTTCATCTTCAATCAGTTTTAATAGTTTATCTTTACGGGCTTCAACATCTTTCTGTAACTCAATAATTTTTTTTTTTGCATCTTTTACGTATTCTTCATAAAACTTGATTTGCTTTATTCTTTCTGTAATACTATATTCTTTGTTATGTTTTATTGTTTCTATTATGTCTAAGAATGCAATAGCTTTTTGTAATTGATTCATTTCTTTTAATTTTTCATCTTTTAATTTGTTTGCTACTTCAGCCTTTTCCGAATTAGTTGATTCAACCTTTTCCTTTATAAAATTTACATAGTGCTTCAATTGATCTATAACCCCTATCAAGGTTATCACTACTTTATCATACTCAGTTTTAACTTTACTCACTTCTACATTTGAGTAGCGTGCATATTCATCTATAATTTTTTGGTTAGATTCTTGAACTGTTTCTGCAAGTTTTAAGGATTCTGATGAAAAAGTAATGATAGAATCAACCTCAGATAGAGTATATTCAGAATTTAAAAGATTAGTTGCTCTGTTCTGCAAGTCTGTCTGAAATTTAGCAAAAGAGTTGTAAAGTATTTTTTCTTTTTCTGTTAAGGCCTTTTCTAGCATGCTCATGTGTTCAGTACTAAATTTAAAAGTGGAATAATAATATGCTAATTTTTCAAAATTATCTTTAAGAGTATTTTTGTTTACTAATCTTTGTGTATTTTGTCTTAGATAAAGTTTTATATTATCAGAAGCAGATTTTATTTTGGATAAGTGTTGATCATATTTTTCTTTAATATATTTAATTTCTTCTATAATAAAATCTGTTATATCTGTATAAAGGTTTACATTCAATTCAGCTTTTATTTTTCTTATTGCATCACCACTGGAAGTGTGTATATTTTTAATTGTATTTATAAAATCATTATATTTTCTATGATCAAATTGGTCAATTTTTAATATATGCGCCTTAATCATATCATCATAACGTGTAGTATTACAATTATGTTTATTGCAATTTAGTTTATTAAGAAGTTTATTTAAATCAGATTTGATATTTACATAATCCTTATATGCATTAGTGTGAATATTTTTTATACAATTATGATAATCCTTCAATTTTGATTTGTATTCACTTTGTTTATTACCGTAATTTGTTCCTTGATTTTTATGCCTCTCTGGCTCTTCTAAATATTTTATTAATGTAATCAGACCATTTTTATGAGATGAACATTGACTTGTTACTTTCGCAACATTATCAGAATAGGTTTTTACCTTTCGTTCAATATTATTTTGGTAATCATTTTTGATTTCTTGATAATTCCATATATAATGTTTCATTTCAGCAAAGTAGTGTACGTATGCATTATGTGGACTTAATTGAGAAACTATATTTGAATGTGTATCTGTCTCACTAATATATTCTATACCGTTGGTGACGGCTTGGGGTACCTGTTTGGTAGGTTTAGGAGCTGCTTTTTTCTTACCATTTTGAATAAATGCATTTTTAATAGCATATAATTGGTTATTTACATATTCGCTTTTGTTATTATTTGTATTAGGTGTATATAACTTTCCTTTCTTTAAGTAAGGATAGTTTTTCTTTTTTTTTGTAATTGCAGAATCTTCTATTATTAGGAAAGATGAACTATTAGATGAGTATTGTTTGTTAGAGTCATCATGGTCATTTTTATCGTTATTATTTTTGGCATCTGCCTTTTTTTTTATTTTAGATTCTACATGATCAGTGTTCACTAAATTGGCATATAATGGCAATAGATTCAGCTCCTTTTTAGTTCTGTTCGGTTTTTTCCTATCAATTTTTTTACATAACACTGCAAAAATGAGAAAAGTGAAAATGGACATATATTAGAATGGTTAATAAATCATATTGTAATTGAATTTTGCAAAAAGATGAATGAAATGAGATAAACGGGTACAGAATTTTACACATCCATGTATTTATAAAAGTATATGTGTGATATTATATAAGCTATCATTTTGATTACCAGAATGTATAATCAGTAGATTACACAAGATAGTCCAGAGTGCTTTTTTTCCCATTTTTGATTTAACGTAATCCTAATTTTCTTTCTCAATAATCAAAGTGTTTTGAGTACACTTTTTTTACATTTCCAAAAGCAAATAATTTGGTAAAAAGATCTGTGCAATGCTCTGTAAATTATTTTAAAAAAATAGGATGTTCATACGATATTTAGTCTTTACAAATGTATTTATTTACAAATACAACATTTACTTTTGAATTGACTAAACGTGTTTATAGATAATGTGGGGCTTTCCCCTTGAGAAATAATATGGGTTAAAATAACACTTTGTTATTGTCCTTACTTTTCCATGTGTAATAAAATGATAAATGTAAATATTTGAAAAATAGATATTTAATCGATGTGGTGTAAACGAATAAATGGATTTTTTTTTTTTTTCCTCTCTTTTTTTTCCCTTTTTTTTTTTCAATTTTTTTTTTTCCTCTTTTTTTTTTCAATTTTTTTTTTCCAACAGATTTAACTTCAAACAAAAGTGGTATCTGTAGATCTACATTTGTTATGTGTGTGCAACAGGAGAAATACAATTTATTATGTAACACGGAGAGTTAATTCATACTATAATGAACTTTTAATGAAAGTATAAAAAAGAAATTAATAATTTTAAATTTGTGTTTTTTTAAAGTTGAGATATTATTACTTAAGTGTAAAAATTAGGCTTAAAAAATGCACAACAGCAAACACCTTTGAATGAATTACAATTTACAAAAACAAGAACAAAAAAGAAAAAAAAAAAAAAATGAGAGAGGAACATGTTTTTTATTACACTAAATTGGTACAAAAAAATTTTTAAATAAAAAACTCATTTTTTTTTTTTTTTTTTTTTTATTAGTAATTTTTATACACTTTCATGATCTACAAATCAGTGGAAATTAAAAAATTTTCAAATTAAAAAAATGCACAAAATATTACAGTCTTAATTGTTCACAAATTTGTTGCTGTGGTAGAGTAGAGACATTTTAAGAAAGAGCCGTTACTGTTTCTGTTGAGTAGATCAAAATTTTGTCCTTCGTTCTGTGAATGGGAAAATATTATTAAAACTCACCACTTTCAATGAAAAAAAACTATTAATTAATTTTCCAAGTGTGTGAAAAAGTAAAAATTAAGTTTTACTAAAAAAAAAAAAAAAAAAAAGCTCTTTACATTTAATAGATTCCCATGATTCGATTTTTATTTGTGCTTTTTGGAAGATCATTTTTTATATTATTATTACCCCTTGTAATTACGCTTGTTGCACGATCATTCTTTTACATCTGCAAAAATGGGAAAAGGTAAAAATATCTTATTCGATTTTTTGGCATTATAAAGCATTAAGAGGAAAGATCTAAATAAACTTAATATTTTCATTTTAGGTACGCACATTTTGTTCTGTTTTTATATACACAACATTTTAATTTTTAGTGACAATTCCTTTTATTAAAAACGTTAGTGTTTGTTTATTTAATGTTTTTTTTTTTTTTTTTTTTTTTTTTTTTTTATTATTTACACTTTAACGAACAAGATTTAAATAAACAAAATGGTTTAAAATTGTTAAAAAAAATTAAGAAATGTTTGAATTAACCATCTATAATAATTTAAGTTGTAATGTTGGTTAGTTCTCATTATTTAGAGAGAAAAAAGGGAGATTAACTTTGCTATTATTTAATGATCTAAATCCGTTGTTACCTTATTGGGAAATTATTTGTTATGTTTAACCAGCAATACTTAATAATAATTTTTTTGTAAATTTTTAAAAGTAAATGTGAAATTTTTTATGATTAAATTTGTTTCCATAATATGCATTTCTCTTTTTGTTTGTTTAATTACAAATAGTAAATGGTCTAATTAGCTATAAATTCAACATATAAAAGTATTTAAGAATTGTTTCCCCTTATACATTTTTTATTGCTATACCATATTTATTTATTCACTTTACTTTTTTCTTAGGAATTATTAAATTTTAATTATAATACCATTATTCGTTCTACAGTTAATATTAATTAGGAACGATTTAAATGGTGAAAAAGTAAATAAATTCCTTTACATTCCCTATTCTTTTTTTGGATATGTATAACACTTATGATTGACATTTTGCAAGTCCAATGTTAATATATGTTTACAACAATGAAAACAAAGTAAGTGTTCAACACCCATTATTAACACAATATTATAATTTTTCTACCCTTAAAAATTTGGATATCTATCTACTATAGCTTTAATTGGGAGAGAATATCTTGGTTAAATATTTATAAATTTGTCATAGTTAATCCAAAATATGTATTTAAAAATATTGACATTTTAAGATTACAATTTAATTCCTTTTTTTAGTTCATTTACTGTAACTAAATGTGGAAGAAAAAATTAATATGTTCTTTATATGTGCTTTTAATTAGCATTACAATTGAATTAAATATTTTTTACCCACGACAACATCATTACAAAAGATATTCAAACGTATTAACTTTCTTTAATTAACATTTATTCAAGCCACTAGCTCATCTGTCCATTCATTAGCTAATGAATGAAATTATTTACCATTTTGTAGGTTCTTATTCACATTATATTGCTCTTAATTTTCAAATGTTATTGCCCTTTTTTAGATTTCTCTACTTTTTCATTTTGATTATTATTGCAATGCATAAATTAACAATGTTATATATGCCAAAATGAGTAAGAACTATTTTCTACATTTTGGTATATATTATATATACCTTTTTCTGTATTTAGATAGATGAGTCCTACATTTAGTTGGTACCAATTGTAATGAATATGTATTATGAGGGGACTGTCATGTAGAAAGGAGGGTGGAACGTTATATTTTTTGTGGTTTCTGGAATTATATAAAAATGAAAAAGCATAATAAATTTTTACTATATATTTACAAATGGAATGATTTTTTTTTTTTTTTTTTTTTTCTATCCCATTTGAAATTACTTTATTCATTGTCTGGTTAGTTTTTTCTATTGGCGAATAATGTAAGAAGAATAGCTTTGAATAGCATACTTTATTTTGTGATACCTCTTAGGAAATGTAATTAGTGAAAACTAACCTTTCATAAGAATTATTGATTGTTCTTCATTCTTATAGAGAAATATCTGTTGTTATTTTATAAATATAAAATGGATTATATAATATGTATTGAGATATGCTTTATATACACGAAAAAAAAAAAAAAAATCAAAATAACGAGCACTAAAAATATGCTATTAATGATATATTTAAAAATAGTATTATCAGGAATTTGCCTAGTTTATCTGAATGAATTGTTATAATTCGCTTAAGCAAAATATGTTCTTAATTATGAATTGGTTACATCTCTTATTAAATGTTCATCTGTTCGACATTTTTGTAAAAATATAACTAATGAAATGGATATTATGATACTTGGAATATTGTTACAATCCAAATTTTAACTCTACAATATATCTAATATGACTATTAAAACCGAATTAATTAGGTCTGCCAAAATTATGGTTCTTTGAGCTAATGATAACATGTCTATTTTTGGCTTAAAATTTTTTTTTTTTTTTTTTTCTGATTAGTTTTAGACCATTTGGATAGAACATTTATTACATTCTAGTATAAAGTTGAAATTACATTTGACAATGGTACCAAAAAAAAAAAAAAAAAAAATTTTTTTTTCCCTTATTTGAATTAAGATGAATTTTCTTAGATAATGTGAAAATTACAAATTATTGTGTTACTATAACTGAAATCCAAATGGCGGTGCAATAAATTTTATGTGAAATTAACTCATTCTCATTGCCTAAACGATTTAACATTTTTTATACATATTCGAGTGTATCTATCAAATGGGTGAAGTTTGAGCAGAACTCAAGAGACTCATTATTTGCATAAGGCACTATGATACATACATATATGTATATATATATGTGAACGGGAAATGTATGTAATTGAAAATTAAGGCTTGATTTTTGCAAACGAGAAAGGCAATAAACGAAGCGTGAGATTTGTCTACAATTTTTTTAAGAAATGTTGTTTCACATAAAAATTAAAAGAATATAGGATGAGTTAAAATAAGTTCAGCTACAATAACTGACGCAAGAGATATATGTATAGATACATAACAGGGAGTGAAAAACTGAACACCCTTTTTCATTCGGCTGAGATAATGCGAATGTGATAATTGCTGAACATTGCCTGTCTTATATATCAGATATAAATTGTTGCTTAAAAATAGGTGAATTGGTTTTATTCCATTAGATGTAGTTAGTGAATATCTATATATAATGATCTCTTAGAAATATTAAAATTACTAATTAAAATTTGGATTATATTTTTATAAATAACAAGGAGTTATTTTTTATAATGAAAGATGAAAATTTTAAAAGTTATTACATCTCTCACCCTTTGATGTATTACCTTATTTGTAATAACGTAAGAATTGTTCAGAAAAAAAAAAAAAAAAAAAAGTAATATCAAAAGGATAGAATAGTTGAAAATGAGCAAATTTTTCAATTTTAAAAAACAAATAATGTATAATATGCAACATATGAATTATCTTATTTGCGTTAACAGAAAAACAGGTTTTAATAATAAACATAAGAGAGTAAACGAAAAAAATGTTATTATAACATTAAATTTTCATTCAAACAAGGGCATATTTTGGCTCTTGTTTACATTACACGTTTATGTAACATTAAAATTACTTCATTAAATATATAAGCCTACAATAGGAATTTATTTCGTGTGGGTTTAAAATCAAATTAGTAAGAAAAATAAATCTTGGAATTTATGTACGTACACAAAATAATTTTATGAAAAAACAGTTTAATTCCATTTTTTACGTGCGCTTAAAATAAGTAATATAAGTCCGACAAATATTGGAGCTAGAACGGTAGTAGCAGAAGTGAGTAAACTAATAATTGTACACATCGCAAAGATGCTGAGAGGAAAGAGGCTAATTGTACGATATATTCCAAATTTCTTTATAGGTTTTATAAGTCTATTAAATATACCTCTCCCTTGAGGCAAAAATTCATCATAATTAGATAATTCAGTAAATCTAAGACGTTGCATCTCTAATTCAAATTCTCCTGTACTTGGAAGTTTAGACAACTTTGATCTATCTTTCCTTTCAAATAAATCTTTACTCATATACTTCTCTGGATGTTTTCGGAAGTCTTTTTTTTTTGGTAACTTTAAGGCGATACTTAATTCGGATCCATAAGTTGTTTTTTTTCGTGAATCAATAGTGCTTTTAAATTCATCATTTAATTTTTCAGTACTATGCATATTATGTTTGAATTCAGGAATTAACTTTGCTTTATTGTCACGCACATTTTGTAAGTCACGAAAAAATTCTTCCAAATTATTATAATTACCGAATGGATCAAGATTTTCTTGAAAACCCTTTTTGTAATCACCGAAAGCGTTAGAGGATTTGTTTTCAAAATTATATTTACTCATCAATGCATTAAAATGTTTTTGAAAGCTTTTATCATTCATTATGCAACTGTATTGCTTTTTAAGGACGTCATCAGGTGTTATAACATTAAAGAGTTCTACGAATCTATAATCGAGAGCTGAGGTTTTTAATCTTTTTGTAAAATCAGAATTATTCTCATCTAACAAATCTTGTATTCTTTTTTGCATATCTATATATTTTAGCTGTCTTTCGCTTGAGTCATTTCTTCTTTCATGCAACAACCTACTGTATTTGCCACTAAATGAATGGTCTGTATTGCTTACTTTATCATGTATTAAACTGATGGTTGATGCCTATAAATTTAGGTAAAAATATATAAAATAATTAAAAAAATATGTTATATATTTATGTACTTATAAATTTTCATTTTCATGGTAAAATAAAAAAATTAGCGAAAACGAAAAGAAATCACAAGACATATTGGTAGATAACCCCGTAGCATAGCCTCCATGTCCATGTTAAAAGGGAGGGAAAAAATACTATACTTTGAAATAACATATTGTCTTTGTAATTTTACGTTTGCTTCTAGTTCCACTGCTTTAAACTTTTTTTTTTTCTTTTTTTTTTTTTTATATTTCTAATATTTTGTCCTGATTAATATACTTTGTATGTTCTTTTCTTCATAACATTTAAAAAATTTGGAGTTGTAATTTTATATTTTATTATTTTATACTTGTTAAATAAACATGGTTTAAAAAAAAAAAATTAGAACTGTTGTATAAACTAAAAATATATAAAAATAAAAATTAATAGAAAATGACTACAAGTTGGATTAATTTTAAAACATTTAACAAATATTAAAAAGAGTTAATTATTTAAATTTTATAATTAAAAAAATGGGAAAAAATAATTTTAATGAAAAAAAAAAATAAAAAAAGGAAACTAAAAAAATATAATAAAAAAACATTTATACATGCATATTGTTCTGATTAATTCAGATTAAGTTCTAACAAATTAGAGCAACGAAAAGATGGTTTCATATTAATATACAACATGTCTACGTAGTACATACTATAATTGCGGGTGAAATATTAAAATCAGTACAACTTTTTATGATATATATTTTTCCTAATATATAACATAATTTTGTCTAAAATAACGTATCAATTTCGAACGATGGTATTTAATTAAACTGGGGATAGGAAAAAATTTAAATATATTAGAATAATAAAATATTTCTTATTTGTATGCATGCATGCACAGAACTCTGTATTTTTATAAAAACTATAGAACGTTTTAATTTAAAATATATAGTAAACTGTAAGGAGTATGAAAAAAAAAAAAAAAAAAAAAAAAAAAATATATATATATATATCTCACATATTACCATACCCTTTTATTAATAAATTTTAGGTTGGATGAGTTTATATTATATTCTTTTTAAATAATATTACAATATACTCTGATAGCGCTTGTGAAGTAGGCATCATCAATGCCACATTTAAGAGGACGAGATATAAAATAACATTATATATTGGAAATACAAGACAATGCATTACTTAGTAATATTTTCATACAAACCCATAAATATAAAAATTTTGTTAATGAAGTATTTTACAACAAAATTGAATCATATGACTTGGTTTATAAATCCTTTTAAAAATTTTCAATCTACAGAGTAGTTTAGAAACTTCGTATGTTACTTTAGATACACACAATACTATGCCCTCTTTATGTAAAAATTACTAATATGTGAAATATTAATTAAACCTTTTATGATATTTTAACTGAGTAAAATTAGCATAACCCAATGATATACATTATTTAGAAAAAGAAAATTACTTCAATCCTTTTTCAATACTGAAAAAACTTCCTTGTCACAAATATGTAGAGATTTATACTATAAATTTTTACAAAATTCGGAACATTTAACTTATAAAAAATAGATTAAACCGATGTATATAGATAGGTGCATGTGTAAAGTTCACCACAAATGGTATTAAAAAATATATAATATTAAAAGACGAAACAATGTGGAAATGTATAAGAATTATCAATAACGTTGTTTAATTTAAAAATAATAGAAGCGCAACAAATGCGTAAAAATTATAAATGAAATATTTCCTTTTTAAAAAATTTATGTACATAATGTAGAGATATTAAATATGATGTAACAATAAGTGGTGAGAGGCTAACATTTTTGCAGTATCATTTAACATCACAATTTTGTTAGCAATAATAAGAACAAGTATTAGTACAATTTAAATTTATTACATTATAAATAATTAAAATGAATAAAATGCACATATTTTAACTTAACTATGGGGAGAAACAAATTTAAATAAAGAATATATTCTACAACACAAGGTTTTATGTTCACGTTTGTATTTAAATGTTAGGTACGATATTTATGTGAAGTATTAGAATAATTCATGCAACAATTAGGATAGAACATATTATCACAATGTAACTGTCTTGCTTAGCTTAAATAGTTACAATTGAAAGTATTAGGAAAAAGTAAGATGGCATAATTCCTAATTCAAGAATATTTGGTTACACATTTATGAAATAAACTATTGCATACAGAAATGAAAAATTTATATGGGAAATATTTTTTGCTAATGAGCTTCTTTTATAAGTAGTTAAGCTTATACTCTTACCCTTACTCATATCATTCTACAAATCGGCTTAGTTAATCTTTTTGCACACACAGATATGTTTATATATATATATGTGCTCATTTAATGGTTACCTTATCGACGTGGCTACATGTTAGAAGTGACGATATACTCCCAATGCTACAACCTGTTTATTAAAAAGAGAATTAAGAATTATATGATGAGTTAGAAGAAGGAACGTTAACAACACTTCCAATAAGTAATTATTTCATTAAAATAAGATAATAGGTATATTTTTCACTTTTCATAAAATTTTATTTCTATATTTGTAGTATAAAACAAATAATTAAATTCTTAACATATATATGTTTATCTAGCTAGTTTATCAACCTATTAGAAATTATGATGTGGTCTATTATTTTTAATTATTTATGATTTAATATAAACCAACATTTCATTTGCATCAATTATTCAATAATTTTTCTTTTGCATTATTTTGCTTTAGTGATGTTGCAATGTCTAAAAAGAAAAAAATAATAATAATAATTATTATATTCCTAAAATAGAAAAAAAAAAAGAATCTTAGCACAAAATGTTCACAAATTTTTTTTAATATTATGTAAAAAATGATTATCTCAAAAGAAGATTTCTCATTATGACTATTTTATTTGGAACGAGTACTGATGGTTCTAATAAAGAAAAAAAAAGAAAGAGACATATTCTCCTTCATTACACCCTTTTTAATATTTTGTGGAATATTTTTAATTTCTATTTTTATCGCACACTGAGTTATTTAAAATAAACAAGATATTTATTTCGAATGTATGACACAGACACTTGAATGGAAGTGGTTCTATGCTTTGCTTTTATTTTAACATAAAACTGTTTGTTTAAAGTGGTTCAAATGGTGAATCTCCAAAATTGAAAAAGAGAAAAGTGGGCATACTTTTCCATATATAATATTAAAATTTGGATATTATTGTATAAGGGAGATGAAAAAGATTTGTTATTCCAAAAAAATGCCATTATAATGTTTATTATATTTTATGTGGAAATAAAATATAAGAACCGGTGTGGATCGCGTAAGGTGCGATAATACAGGAACTTTCTGGCAATTTTTTTGTTATATAAATAATAAATTATTTATTCCAAAAAAAAGATAAAAAAAGGATTATCAAATAAGTCTAATATGTTTTTTTTTTTTTTTTGACGATGAATTTTTTTACCATAGAAACCTTTTATATATATGCATTTATGCAAAAAAGAAAGAAAAAAAAACTTTTATGTGCTTTTTTTATAATGAAATATTTTTTTAACATGCATATTTTTTTTTCAGATAACTTCATTTTAAAAAATGCACTTATTACATTTTTAATTCTTTTTTATTTTTTATAGTTCTTCATATATTCTACATATTAATATAGAATAAGAATTTAACATGTATTTTTTTCTTCCTTATCATTGTTCACCTGGAGAATATATAAATTAATGTATTTATTATTTATTACTAAAGTTAATCGCAAAAATGGAATAATAGCCAATGTGTATGTAAATTGTGTAATAATGAAACTATCCATATTGTATATATATGTTTAACTCTACAAAGTTCAACTGTGTGATATTTTTAATTAACTCGCAGTTTTTGTGATTTTGGGAATTCTATTTCTCAGTGTTTTTATTCATTCTTAGCAAAATAAGCTATCAATCATGGTATAGTAAAAACCATAGTATTGCAATAATGGATAAGGCGATAATAGAACTTAACCATTTTTAGATGGCTTTTATATAGATTAACAAGAACTTAATATTAACTCTAGTGTCTAATTAGAAGCACCATTTAGCTATTTCAATTCATAGTTATTATTACTTATTATATTTTATGACCTTTTTGAACGGTTTCTTAAGGACAAAATGTTGTGAAACATACCAGGCTAACCATATTTCATTTAGATTAAAATTCAATCTTATATAATAAAAGAGGATATCTTTTCCTTAGTATTTACATGTATTATACTAAAATGTGTCCATTATGTATCAGAAAGTTTGGGAGAATGACAAATATAAGCATTTTAAATATATAATATTTATTTAACAGAATATATACATATGTATACATTTTTCTTAAAGAGTAAAACGTGTAAAATGCTTAACTACTGCTTCTAATTTTTAGGCTAACTTTTCTCAATAGTAGTGTAAACATTGAATGAATTATATGCTGCTATTATTATTATTATTATTCATATTGGAGGGGTAAAGCTAAAATACAATTAAAATAAAAGTTTTTGGAATACCATAGCCTGAACGTTAATTAATCATTACTGTTATAATAAATTATAGAAGTGAAACACATTTTAAATATTCAATATAGATAAATGTGGATTGTATATAAAAATGTTTTTAACTCCTATTACTAATAGTTGCTTAGTTGCTTCATTGTTTTATGAATAAATTGCATTTAATATGCTATTTGTTGGGTAAAATTAAAAAATAGCTTAATTTATTTTTTTTACTTTGGTGTAAAATAACTTAATGACATTGCCCATAAATCCATTTTAAAATAATTTAGGATAGCCATTTAACAAAGAAAATAATGAAAACGATTTAACAACATTGTAATAAGACTTATTATTCTCCAAAATGTTACAGTTTAAATAGGTCTAATAAATGTGGGAGTTATGATTAATTACTAGATTACAATATTTTTACAAAATAGTGGCGTATCTAATTATTTTTTTTATTGATTGGACAGTATACATTAAACAGGATTTGCAACGTTTTGGTTAACATAAAAATTAGCAAGAAAAAAAAAAAAAAAAACGTTTACATTTCCTCACACACAGCATCACAGAAAAAACAAAATTTCATTACACTAAGGACATGTTATATTATACAAAGATAATTGTTGATTCAAAGAATGGGAATAGTAAATTCCTTGATATATGCAGCTATATTTTTTAAATTTGTTTATGAATATGCTACATAGAAAACACAGTTCTTACATACATTTATGTAAACCCTAACATTTTTTATAATGCATTTTTAACATGATCATAGATAAATCATCTGAAGCATGAGAAACTATTTTTTATATTTTTTTTTTTTTTACTGTTTTACCACTTTTTATTTTTAGTAAAAAATATTTTTCCTATGTTTCAATGTAGGAAAAAAGAAACACATAAAAATATGAAATTCTCCAATATAATGAATTAAGTGCAAAATGCATATTGTATTATATGGTAAAAGAAAAAAAAAAAAAAAAAAAAAAAAAATATATATTCTTTTTTTATAGGTATTATGTGTATCTCTTAATTTTTTTATGTTTACAATTTTTTTTTAAAATCCTGTAGATAGATTTGCTAACTTATTTTGTTGGAAATGTGAAAAAAAAAAAAAAAAAAAAGCGTTGCAGCTCCTTTTATGACATTTTAAGATAATGAATTTAGCATTTTTTTTAAAATTTTATTTTACCTAAAATAATTAGCTTATTCCTTTAACAAATAATTGTGTTTATTACAAAGGATAAGAAAAAAAAAATTATACATTACGCAATAGTAAGTATATGATAATGAAAAAAAATATTTTATGTTTTCCCTTATTCATTCACAATGGAAAAAAGCAAGAGAAAACGACATCTATTTTAGAATAAGATGTGAGAATTTTCCAACTTTGAAAAAATAATTCATAAATTTGTCACAATCATTATTTTATACGATGATGAAATTGTTTTTGTCTATGATATATTATATGTACTAATTTGTTTTTTTATCCGTTTTGTTTACTTAAATGCTTGATTTGCAGTTTTATCATATTTGAGATTTGTAAAATGATAATGAAAAATATACATATGAATAAATGTATTTAGATTAAAACGACAAGTTCTACAATGGGTAGGTATCATTACTCCTAAATATTAAATGAATATTTATTTCCATTTTAAAAAACAATACACATTTATTATCCAGTGTATTAAAATGTGAAACAATCTTAAAGGACACATATTTCCAAAAAAGTTGTACTACACATTATGTGTTAAAAGGAAAAAAAAATAAGAAAAATAAACTGTATCTCTCATGTGTAATTAGTGGAAATATGCAATATTTATAAAAATTAATATTTAAAAAAAATATATATTTTATCCTACAACATTATATTTTATTCAAATTATTAGATTTTTTTTTGTTTTTGTTTATATCCTTTTAATATTCCCTAATTTTCATGTATTTTGTTACTAATGTTGTTGCAACAAAGTAGTTCTAATATGTACATGAACAAAAGATGTTAACCTAATTTATCTTAGTTTTTTAAATTGGTGAAAAGCAACGAACACTTGAAATAGAGTACTAAGAGGAATATATTTGTATTAATGTGTAAAATAATATATTTTTTTTTTTTTTTTGCTTCACAAAAATAAGTTAATTCCAACTGAAAATGGCAGCTGTGGATGAGAGTAAATACGTAAATTTCCATATCATACTAAAAATAAATAATTAATAGAATATTGTTACATGACCATGCAGAATGTGACAAAAAAGAAAGCGAACGTTTTCCTCTTTTCCATCGAATGTTATTGTGTTAATATGTCTCAATACGGAACATTTTTTTCCAGGAAAGTCTTCTGAATGAGTTACCTTCAAGTGAAAGATATAAAAAACTGAGCAGTATAAATAACCCGGGGCAATATGAAAGTTACTGTAACAGGAGTAGTATGCAAGGCACTGATAAAAAGCATTTAAAAGCTTTATGTGCCAAGTCTGTGGGAAATTTGAAGAATTTAAGAAATTTGGAGAATCTTGAAAAGACACATGATGATCGTTGTACATTTTACACATTCTGGGTGTATAAGGAACTATCGAAAATATTCAAAGGATCGAGTAGTAAAATTGATTATCAATTTTTTAATGAACTTGATGATATACTGCTTAGAGTTAATTTAAATGAATTAAATAAAGTATATTGTGACTTTAAAATAGAGCCTGACTTAAATAATTGGAATGAAAAAAGAATGTTACATGATTTTTTTAAAAACAGTGAAACAATTTATCAATGTATTATTTCTGAAATAAGTGGTTGCAGAGAAAAATATTGCAATTATGTCGTTGATGTGAAAAGACTATATGATAAATATAAACCTCTTTGCTTATGGGAAGAAGTATGTGATTACTTTGATTTTAATAAGAAAAATCCTTATGAAATATTAGCTAAATTAAAATGTATTGGCTATGAAAATGTAGAAGTACCAGTTGACGAAGGAATTGATACTTTTTATTCGACTCCAAAAAGGCCAACTGTGCGTACAGGAACATTTCGATTATTAGGAACTTCACGTACTGGTGATGAGACCGTTTCATCATATAAAAATTATAAATGCAATTATACGCTTAGTGATGATGGAGAAATTACTAATTTATCAGGATGTATTGAAGTTCCATCGAACGATGAAGATTTGGAAGAAAGTTCAAGATTTCCAGTATTAGATGAAAATGATTATTCTGATTATGCGCATAATTTTGCAGGAGATATTGATACTATTAAAGATTATGAAAGTCCTTTGGAAGTAAAAAAGGGTTTTTTGAGTTGGCTAATGCATTTGAAAAGTAGTAAATATGTTTTTATTTTAGGATCATTATTCTTAGTTATGCTCATTGGTTATAAAGTAAATATGAAGTGATTTTAATAATATAAACTTTTTTATGTTATATTATTCATAATTTTCATTAAAATATGATTTTAATGAAATAAAAATACACATTTCACATATTTAATTTTTACTATAGTTGATTAATTTAAAGGGAAGTGTAACTAAGAGGAAAACTAAGAAATCTAAAACAAACAATAAAATTTATGATGAATATGATAATACTTTTTCCGAATATAACCCTTATAATATGAACATGGATTACTATGATGATGGATATAATATGCAGTATTATTCTGCTTGGGATTATTAGGACGTTTTCACAAAATGTCAAAAGTGTAAAATGAGACAAACGAAAAGGTCAACACGTGCAATTATTATTGCAATTACAGATAACAAAATTAAAATAAGGCATATAAAAAAAAAGAAGCAAAGCGGCTATTTTGGATGTAAGTAATGAGAACTGGATGTTACATAATTAGCAAGTAAATTGTTAGGCATGTGCAATCTTAGAGGAAAATGTTTTTGATTAAAAAAGTTATTATATGAGAACTTTTTTTTGTGATATGTTATAAAGCCTTGTAATTATTAAACAGAAAGAAAATTGTGCAGAACGTACATCATAAAAAAGAAATGTATATGTGTATATATTTCTTGCAGTTTTGTGAAAAGATAATTTTTACTACTATATTCAAATTGAACAATTGCTTTTCATAAAACTTGTAGAAGCAATCAAATAGCAATGCATTTCTGGAATGGGTATAAGGAAACAGTTAAATGTTTTATAAATAAGGTAAATTTGTTTTGGTTTTTCAATTTTATGCATGTTTATTTATTTTAATCAGATTAACTGATAAAAAGAGTCTTATTTTTTTCTTTTTAATACATGTATTGTAAGTCTTTATATATTATGTGAAAATATGATATATATATTTTTTTTTGAAAAATAAGGTGCTTGTCATTTTTGAGAATTACATTTTTTAATGAAAGACATTATTAATTTTTTTGTAGACATTTCACTAATTCATAGTAATAATTGTGAAATACGGCACAATGAACCGTATACACATTAATGTTTGACAATGTGCTTCTGATAAGATCAGCACACTTTAACAATAACATAGGCATGCTTTTTTTTTTTTTTTTTACGTATCTTAAAAGATGCGTAATTATTATATAATTAACAATCTTATAAATAACCTGTTAACACAAAATAGGCACAAAAGTGTAAATATTATGAATCCTATTATAAGAGAATTATTATTATATACCTATACATGGTTGCATAATTTATAAAATGTTTTAAAAGTAGCTGTATTTACAAATAAAAATACATTATTCAGGGGATTCCTATTTCTTGTAAGGTGCGTATGTTCAATTAACATTCTTTTATATTTAACAGAATTACCTATATTTTTCTTTAAAAAGAGAAATAAAAATAATAATCCATAATATACTGTTAATAATTATATATAAATATTAGAAGTAGAAAATCGCCACATAGAAAAAAGTAACAATCTTTGCGCTTTTTCAATTTCGTATAAATTTTTGTAAAATTATATATATTTTATAGCTGTTGTGAAAATAACAGTGTTATAATAGTTCTATAATACTAGAGGTTTCACATACGATATCAAGAAAAATTTATTTTTTTTAATAATCTATATAATCAAGATATGAAGAGGGGAAATTTTCTGCTCATTTTTCATAATTTAAAAAAAAAAAATTATTATTTATTCTATGTACATTGAGAAGTACAACAAAAAATATGGGAATATTAAAACATGTTAAATTAATTACTTCATAGACGCGTGGTACCATTTTTTATAGACACTTATGTGCGCAAGAATTACTAATATATATGATCTAAATGTGTTTTTACAGTACATTTTATAATTTATAAATTGTGTTATTTTGGACTAACACTAATAAGAAACTGCCTTATGATTTGGCAAAGAACCTAGTTGTGAAGCACATCTTTAAACTTTTCATATCTTTTAAAGGAAGTAAATAAACTTCTTCTTTTTACATATTTTATACTTTAAAAATTATCTATTGTATTTTATTTAAGCATCAGGCGTGTGCCATTTTGTGATAGGTAACTCATTTCAGATAAAGTGAACTTATGTGCTCCGTACACTTTCATTTAGCTTTCTATTTCCATGATCTTGAATCGATGGAAAACAAATTATACAAATTTTGTAATTTATTTAATATAGATTATAATTCTGTTGGTGATCAATTTTTTTCTTTTTATCCTCCCAATTTCAAACATAATACTGGTTAAAAGAATTAATTTATAATATTGTACAAAATCTTTAGTAGAAAGCTACAACCTTTTTTCCAAAAAATTTGGTTAACTTCTTCATAAGATAGATGAAAAGAAAAAGAACAAATATAAATCTGTATAAGCATTTGAATCACTGGTTTGATTATTATGCTGTGCTTCATAAGTTTAGAGTTGGTGGTAATAGCTTTTTCTCCGTTTTTTGGAGATACTAGATTTTTCTAACATTTTTGATACGTTCAAACGCGAGTTTTATAATAAAAAATTAGATATCATTAAAAGGATCTAAAAATTTTATGGCTATTTTTCCTTGTATATCACCTATATGGGTGAAGTTACTGCAAAATGTAGAAAATATTATAGCACGTGCTGCAATTGTTTGAAAGTAGTAATTGATGTTTGTAAAAATATGAAAAGTGAATATTCGCCTGTCGGCTTTACCTAATATTTTAATGAATTAAGCACGTAAGAAAAACTATTGTTAATATCAAAAATGTTGGACGCATGATAAAAATAGAAGATAATGCACCATTACTTGAGACTATTATATATTCTTTTTAACTTTTGTGGAATAAAATTAACTTAAATATAGCTTTTTTTAAAGAAAATTATGGTATAAGCATTTAAATGTCTCTGAAATTGTATTTTTAAATAAGGATAATCTATATTAATTTTTAGAATGTTGCAGCATGATTAAGGGTTAAAATGTCTAACCTAAGTATTAGAAAAAAAAAAATAATATTATGATGAATTTTTTATTTTAAATGCCTTACTATGGAGCGAAAATGTTTCTGTAAAAAATGTTTGTAGAATGTAATAATGAAGTAGAATGTTTCAGAAAATGTAATTAATAACAACTACTTTGGATTTTTATGAAATAAAATGTAGATATAGAAGTATAGAATTATTAGCAAAAGACATTACTTATTAGTAAAAAAAATAATACAACTAAAAATTAAGGAAGGCGTGAAAAATAACATGATAATTTACTTCCTTAATAAAAGATTCATATTTCAGCATTATTGTTAATAAAGTAGCTTTATTTATTTTTTTTCCAAAATTTATGTAATATCCTACATATAAAATAAGTATTTACGTTAGTCCTTCAAGGAACTACATTAAAGCAGTTACATTTAGATAGTATATATATAATAAATTTGTATGTAAAGGGAATACCGAAAATAATTGTGGCATTTGCATTAATATATTAATTATCTAAATGGATTTACTCGTACTTATGAATTATGTTAGGTATTCTCACAAAAATGATACTAAATTAACTATTTAAATTATCATGATGATTACTATTTTAGATGTAAACTAATTCATATTTGATAAAGAAATACCCTTCGTACAATTTCTATTTTTTGTGATACCGTTTTTTTTATAATTGAAATAACTAAAGCAAATGACTAATATTAATAAACATGTTTTACGAGAGCAATCATGTTAATTTCATGGAAAATATGCGCATATTGAAAGGAATAAATAAATTTACAAAAGTGTTCTAACAATTATGATAATGTAAATGATAGAAGAGCACCCTTTGTTAATAGGCAAATTCGAAAACAATGCAAACATGTAAAGCGTTTTAACAATCTATATTAAAAATGCATAAATATTTTCTGCATTTATTTCAATGAAAATCTAGGTTTTTGCAGATGCATCAGATGTAGAACAAGTATAAAATGTAGGTTATAATGTTATGTTTATTACGAATGAAGCGCAGAAATAGTATCTTTTACTTGGTGACAGAAACCAGAAATATAATGAATTAGTTTTACATGATATTAGGAAATATATTTACGATTTTAGTTACAGTTATTTTTTTATTTTATTTTTATTTTTAATATTCATTCTTTGCATGATATAAAGAACTTATGTTGTAGGATATAATTCATACTTTTCTAAAACACATAAGCACAAAATAAAAATATTGCATATTTATTTTTAATCATGTTTAGTTCATTCCATTTGGAATGTGGATATATAGAAAGATGCAAAAAAAAAAAAAAATAGTCGAATAAAAAATGGGAAAAATGATAACTCAAAATTGAAAATATTAAAGAATAATTCGTTGAGATAATGAATAAATTATCATAAGAAGAAAATTCATCTCCAACTGTTCTTGTAAACCAATAGAATTTAAAAAGCGTAAAATGTGAAATTATGTTACATTACAATGATAGAGAATATGATATATTCCATCTTACAGTATAAATAAGGAACATAGAAGAGGGAAAACTTACTAATCCCAATATAATATTTTTTTAGTATATTAATACTGTTCGTTTTTTTTTTTCTACTATTAATTTTTTTTTTTGTTGTTGTTTTTTTCTGATCTTTTCAACAATACAGTCGATTTAATGATACTTCTTTTTTTGCATTATTGTTAGAAATTTTTATTTTATTTTGTCTAAAGAATTCTTTTTTTTAATAAATTTTCTATGAATGAGCAACAATGTGGCATTCTTAATTATAAACTGCATAATAATTTAATTTCTTTTCTTATTTTTATTTTTTTTTGTTTTACTATATTATAACATGTAAAAAAAATGTTGTTTCTTTTACATTATTTAGTAATTAAATAATTCGATGAACTTTTTATATTATTATATTTTTATAATTTCATTATATATTTTGTTATATGTACAATGGAACAACAAGAAAATATATAATGCCATACGTTTATTAACATTATTATATATACCTAACATTAGTGCATTAATTTCAAGGTGTTTTACATGCATCACCCAGTTGTGATATTTTTTTACATAAAATAATATAAAATGTTATAAATTTAATTAAAATATAAAATATTATAAAATATTACAAAATATCATGTAAATTGTAATTATTTTTTATATTTACTTCATACCACCTAGTTGTAAATACATATATTGATGGATACGACAAACTTAACGAATAATTAGTTCATGTTGTCAGAAAAATGTACAAACAACAACATTTATATAAATGTTACCTCATATATAGAGTAGAATAATTATACCAATTGGCACAGTATTTTATAATTACGACATAACTAGGTATATATGTATTTAAATGAATAAAAGAGAAAATTAAATAATGGAAAAAATGTATTGCTATATAGCTTAAATATATAACACGTGTAAATTTATTTATTAACAAAATAAATGAACTATTCTGAACAAGTATCCATTTTACAGATTAACAATAATCATATTCATATATGTGAGAAATACTTAAATGTACTATGTACATACTGAGAGACATGAAAAGGGTTAAAAAAATATATCTTGTAATTTAACGTACTGTTATCCAGCTTATTTCATGAGATACATCTTGATAAAATGCTTTAAGTAAATATATACGTAGGTAAAAAAAAAAAGAAAAAAAAGAAGAAAAACTACTAATATTTGTTAAATAATTGCATTGATAAGAATTACACAATGTTTTCTAAAAAAATTTACTATACAAATATTTTTATTCTGAATAGTAACTCATACGTTGAAAAAAAATATATACATAGAAAATACGTATGTCGAATTAGAAAAGCACGTTAATTTAAAAATGTTTTTTTGAAAAGGAGATAATTATCATTATGTCAAAATATAGCAATTTTACATAAACTTATTTGTATAAAAGGGGTTAATGGAATAACCACAATATTTTGTTTATTGAGGGGAGGGATATTTAAAGCAAAAATATAAGTAGAGAATGTAGAATGAAAAATAATACACATTAATAACAACACATATTCATAATATTACAATATTTATGTATTCTTATATATTAAACATTTGAGTTATTCAATATTTTTAAAAATTACCTTATTTTTTATAACAAATTTATTTGTAAAAATATTTTTAAATCTGGTATTAAAAGAATGAGTAAAGTTCTTAATTAAGTAATTGCTGTGAAAATAGGTATAATGCAAAAGATAATAAAAATAAATTATATACAAATCCTTTTCAATTCATTCGTCATTGCAAGAAAATATGAATATGAATTATGTATTACATAAATAAAATAATTCTTAAAAATCTGTATAATGAAAATTTCAATAATAATAATATTATTTTTTGAAACATGTGTAAAATATCTTGAGCTTTATAGTTAATGAATAAAATAACTTTAGTATATTCATTTGTGACAATATATTTAGAGAAATGTGTGGTAATTATTATATATCATTTTCATTTTGCGTCCTTATTGAATATCTTTTTTATGTGTTAACAGAGTTACAATGAGTTTTAGTAAATATATGTAAAAATAACATCACTGAAATTTATTGCTTTCTGAAAAGCAAAATAACTTCATATAGCAATTTTTCGAAAATTTGTACGTAATATATATGTCATATTAACCCATTTTTATGTTTATATCAAAACAACATTCACCATGTTAAGATAAAACAATACCTTTTATATGTCATTTAAATTTTTAAAATAAATAAGTCCCACTTTATTCTAAATGTTTATATATTTTATAATGCAAATACTTCTAATGGATATTTTAATTGCTGAAGATAGGAATATGATAATAATAAGTTTTTAATTCATGTCTACACATGTGTGATGTAAAACAATACAGAATTATCGACATACGTGAAATATGATAGCTCATTCAATAAGAATGCACAATTAACATTTTTATTATAACATTGTATAATTTCCTTTTTAATAGAATTTTTGGATATTTCATACTATTACTCTTTCACTTATTTTAATCTTGCATGATAATATTTTTTTAGGAATAATAGCAAAACAATTGTGAAATAAAATGGCATGTATAAGAAATTATAAAATCTAAGTGAAGTTGTGCTATTGGAATCTTAAAAGAAAAATGAACACGTCTTTGTAACTATATTTTTTGTTTTAATACACTATATAATATACCAATAAACAATATGTTAACAAATCCAATTGATGTATGACCTAAAAAATTGGAAAAAAAAGAAAAATGCTTAATATTTGCAAAAATTAAAAAAATTGATTATACAGCTTATAAATGATGACATATTTGTAAAATAATATTTTCTTTTATAATATTTAATATAGCATGGTGTATTATATTCCAATTGTACATTTTATTTTTTAAAGATTATAAAATATTTAGCATATAATATATTCAGTTATTATAAGAACACAATATTAAACTATAACTAATAAAATATACACACAATAAAATTTCAAATGTTATTTTAAAAGTATGTGATATAACAATTGTAAGTACCTTGTATTGTATAATTTTTTTTTTTTGACATGTAATTTTAGGATTCAGCAATTTTCATTATCTTTAACATGGCAGTAGATGGATTCGATTTTTCAAAATTGGAATCTGATGTATATTTTTATTCTTCATAAAGATATATAATTTTTTTGGCCTATCTCTATAAGAGAACAATATAAATTACTTTCATAAGACGAATTTTTCAGTATTTATAGTATGCATTTTATATCTTTAATTTTCAGGAAGAGCTATATAAAAAATTACCTTCTTATATATTATATCAAGAATTTAATAAGAATACTTCCAGTAGCACATATTCTGATTATTGTACAAATGTAAAAACTAATGGAGTAGATAAGAATACTGTAAAAGAACTCTGTAAAAAATTTGCCAAAAACTTAAAAGAATTGTCAACAATTAGAGACATAGGAAATACAATGCATAATCGTTGTTTAGGTTTAAGATACTGGATCTATCATGAATTAAATAAAATATTAACAAACTCCGAATATTCTTCACATAGAGAACATATTATCAATTCATTTTCTAATTTGGAATCTAAAATTTACTATGAATTACTAGAAAATCGTAAGGAAACATGTCCTATAGAAATTAAAGATCATTTAGTAAAAGAAAATGAAAAGAAGTTTTTGTATGATTATTTTAGCAATTACAGTGCTCTTATTGAATGCATTAACTCTCCAAAGAAAGAGAACTGTCAAAAATACTGTAAATACATCAATGGAATTAAGGATATATATACAAGAAATGAAGAAAAATGTTGTGGAGCAAACTTCTGGCGTTGTGATTATTTTAATTGTAATGGGAAATATCATCCTCACGTTCTTCTATATAAACTACAATGTAATAATGGTAAAAATGAATTAGAGTCATCCGGAAATAAAATGACGGACTATGAAGGAAAATACGGAAACTCAGGATTAGTAAAACGCTTGCGATATAATATTTTTAAATGCCATATGGTAAAAGTTCACGAAAATTTTGATGCAGATGTTGGATTATGTTCTGTCTTTCCATCATCCAAAGACTCTTACGAAAATGTAGATAATCCAGAAAGCAGTAAACCAGAAGAAGGAAAATGTCCGGATGATAAGCCAATAAAGACTGCGGATGGGAAATGCACAGAACCGAATGTCCGCACAACTGGGGCCATTGGAGTGCAGCTTCTCGACAAGGGTCCAATTAGTAGAGTAAGAATTAGGCTTAATGATTCTATGAATGATCCTATAACTTCAGTAGATTATAATACGACAGATTTTAATAATTCAGATGATAAATATAGTATTTTAAACAGCAATATTATGCGTATGATCATTGTAGGTATTTTAACTTTTGGAATAATTATGACTTTTTTCATTTATTTTAAAGTAAGTACAAATTTTATTATACTGTTGAAATGTATATTTTTTTATTAATAATGTGTATTATATATATTATAACAATTAATTCGAAATGTTATGTATATTTTACATTTTCCTGTTCCATGTTAGTTTACGCCCTTCGGACCGTGGTTAAGAAGGAAAATAATAAAGGAAAAAAAAATGACGAGGAAGATACCCGATAAATCTAGACAGAGAATTTCGTATAGTGCACAACCACCAAGAAATGCCAATTCGAATAAAAGGAGAGTTAATATAGTATATTAGGGATTAGTAATTCCCTTGTCATTATATAAAAAATTATTGTAGTTTATTATAATGAATTATAGAAGCTTATAAGAATTATATCTAAATCAGACATATAACAGACAAGAACGATTTAACATTATATAATTCTCAAGATGCGATTAACGTTCGATAAAATTTTACATTATAAATGGATATAAATATGTATTTTTATATTTAACTTATATTTATATAGCAAACTTAGATTTATTCTTTCATAAAAAGCTTATTTCAGAAGAATTGTTATAATACAATTCGTACATATATAACTGTAATACAAAAATAATCTCTAATCTTTCTATATTATCAGTTTATAATTATTATATTTAAGATGAACTGTTATTCTTTTTGTCACGTTACATTCACTTTTAATAAAATAATGACATTATATATCTATGCATTAATTTTAGAATACAATGGATTTATATATTTCTTTTATCTGAAGCTATTGAAGAATGAATTATGCATTTATAACATATGCTAATTTTTGACATTTTTTAATAATTTTTTTTTTTTTTTTTTCGCTCTAATATGTTTTGCATATAAACTTCTTACATATAATAATATAAATACATTTAATTTTACATATTTTGATGAGTAAAATTGAACATGAATTTTTTTATTTACAAAACAAAGCCCAATGTTTTATAGCATGTAGCTAAGAGATAAATTATTTGTCAAATTAAGGTGAAAGAACACAAATTACACATACTAATGGAAATATAAATAAGTACACATTGTAAAAAAAGACGTTCGTAGAAATTATAACATTACAGAATTAGGTTCACCTAATAGCCAGAACATAATAAAAAAAAAGAAGTACTTCTAAATGTATTACCTTGCAAGTTCATAATACAAATTGTGGATAAGGTAAAAACATTCTATATTTGCCTTTATTGTTACAACTTATCTTAATCTATATATAGTAAAAACAGTTTCATATATTACTAAAATATAATTAATTATAGTGTAATACGTGCTAATTTATTACTACACTTAATGCAAAAGATAAGGGAAAATTTTCGTTAAAATCAAGTGTTTCATCTTGAACACACTTCTACATAAAATGTGTCAACATGGCTTTTACTTGTTTTGTGTTAAATACAAGGGGTTTATATCATTTTGTTTTATTTTAAATAATGTATGCTTTCATTATTTCTTTATACAACAACAAAAACATATATATTAACAGAATAAATACGAAAATTTTAGCTAGCGATTGTATTATAATGTGGAATAAAATTTTTAGTTATTTTTTATATAAATATAATATTATCATATATTTATTTCTTGGATGTAACTTTTATTGTGAATATTTTAAAGTGTTACATATACTTATATAGTTTCATTTAAAAAAACATACATTTTTTTTAAATATGGGATCAGCTTTGCCTTATAAATAAAGTGTGCATATCACTCACAATTAGCCCCATAAATAAAAATACATGTTATTAATTATGTGTATTACGAACTGTGTTTTTAAAAAAAAAAAAAAAAATGAATATTAACTATTTATCATATATTATGAAAAAATGTTTTATGGAATAATTTTATTTTTTTATAATTTATACTAAAATGCGAGAAATTTTTATTTTTACATAATTGTTACCAAGGAGTCTATAGAATTATGTTATTATAAAAACATTCACTAGCTATACGTGGTCGTATTTCACGTAAAGAAATTATTATATAAATTTAAAAATTAATAATAAAAAGAAATGCTCTATGCATGAAAAGAATTAGACTTTCAATTATATAATTTAAATGGCTTATCTATTAAACATAAATTATTATCATTATTTTTAAAGAATGACACCTGCATCTGAACCAAAGAAAGCTAGTCTACCCACCCCGGAGCTAGATCCAGTACACATTCCCTTTTTTTGCTAAACAATATTTAGTACAGAATATGTTTGAATGTGTTATTGATCTTCGAGATCAACATAATATTATAAAATGAATATATTTATTTAGATGATAATACTTTTTTTTTTTTTTTTTTTTTTTTTTTGGAGCTTTTAGCCTAGAATTGATTTTGAGCACTTACCGTCGTACAAATTTTACGAAAGTTTGAAAGAAGAAGTAAATGAAGATATAATTAGTGAATATTACAGTGAATTTGAGGATTCTATTGAAAAGTATAATTGGGTTAATGATTTATTGAAGAAGCTAATTAGAAATTTATCACTCGTACACAGTGAAGAAGATAAAACTGGAGAATTTGATAAGAAACATTGTTTTGACTTAAATTATTGGTTATATGAACAAGTGTTTAGTAAACTCAAAGAGAATGGAAAACTTGGTGATGTAAAAAGCTTAATTTCTAAGTTTCAAGATGTATGGAAAAAAGCTGTTGATAAAGATTTTAAGGAAAAAAAATTTGCATGTTATCCGGATGAAAAGTTATATAGTAACATGAGTTATTTGCAAGAGCTTAAGGATTTATTTGATTTTTTTGAAGACTTTAAATCGTTGAGAAAAGAAATCCTTGATGACACGTTTAGCGCCTGCACTAAATATTGTGAATATCTTAGACAAAGAATTCCAGTGTATTACACTTGGAGAGATTCATGTTTAGTAAAGGATTATGCTTGTAAAAGATATATAGATGATTATATGAAGTATCGTCCATCAAGTTTGACATTTTATTTAAGTTTTAAGGTTTTACTTTCATATCATAAACATCCCTGTTTAAGTGATGTATACAGAATATTTGTAAAGGCAAAAGCAAAACCTAAACGGAATGATAGTCTGTATAAAGATCTCATGTATAAGAGTGAATCTGAAAATTCTGATGGAAATTCCTTTTCAGCTAAAGCAGAAGATGCGTTACCTGGTAGTCCTTTATATATTAAGAGTAATAGTGACAGCTTGGTATTATATTATACATGGAAAAGAATACGTTTTACGTATGAAAAAATTTTTCCATACGTACTTTTGTTTTTAGGGACACTTTTGATTGCTTATATTGTATATAAGGTAAACACAAAAGTTTCATTTCAAAATAAGAATGTATTACACTTTTGATTATAAAAAAAATATTATTTTTAATATCATTATATACATAACATATACATATATATATATGTATGTATTTATATATATTACATATTTGACCTTTTTTTATTTTATTTTTTTCTAATTCATTTGTTAGTTTACTCCACTTGGTCGATCTATGTTACGCACACGAGCAAAGGTTAGGAAAAGAATTAAACCGTATATTGATTATGATGACATTATGTTGTTATCTGATAGTGATGAATCTTTAATCTCAAGTTCAACTGATGAATCATATACTGTAATGTACTCTTCTCAATAAATCAAACACTAAAAATAGCAAAAAATAGTGCTGAATGTGAGTATACTAAATATGGAAACAATATATATGCTATTGCGACAGCACTTATAAAACGTGTAACAAAACGTTTAAATTAATGATGTATATATTATATAGTTATGTATATATGTGGACAGATAGATATAATAATGCAAACGTTGTTGATATATTGCTCAACAAATTTGTAAAATGTTCTCTACTTAGTTCAAAACACACCATTGTTAAAAATTTGAAGTATTTACCCATCTAAATGAGATGAACAAAAAGTTAATGGTGAAATATAATTGAAAAGTTGCAATATATATGAGGTTGAATACAGAAGAATATACAAAACCCTCCAATATATGTACGTTATTATATGAGCCAAATCTTATAAACATTTTTGTTAATGGAGAACATGAGTACCACTTAAGTTTTTTCTTAAAAAATGTAATTTTTTATCATCTGTAAAAATAGAGACAGTTATTAAAGCGTTATTTATCAGGAATGTGCCATATAAGAAATTGTAATTATAAGATGAATTACACCTGGATAAATTTATTCAATATTTTCTATAAATTTCATGTGGTTTCAGAACAATTATTAAATGTTAAAAGTAATGTCATTAAGAAATGTGCGATATATGAAACAAAACACATAGAGTGTAGAAAATTTTATACTTATAGGAAAGGAGAATACAAAGAATATGTAAAAAAATTAATATATATACAAGTTTGTTATATGAACAAAAAATAAAATACCTATATTTTTATTGTAAAAATTTACATAATAATCAAACTTTGTGTACTTGTTTATCTCTTAATATTTTTAAACGTTTATAAAAGTGTTGCATGCATTTTTTATTTATTCATTTTGTGAATTAAAATATACACACTTTATTTTCATTTTTTTATTTTTGAGAATTAAATAAAGGATATTAACTTTTAATTATATTGATTTATACATTTGTCTAATGATACGTTTTCATAAAAATACTATTTCTTAAAAATGTATTGTTTATTTATCTTTTTTTATAATTATATTATCACATTTTGTAAATAATATTTATGAAATATTAAGCAACCTAAATAATTTTCCGCATTAACATTTTGCTAATAACAAAATAAATCATATTTTTACATAAACGAGTGTTAAGCTGGTTAAGAAAGACATTTTAAAAAGGGCTATTACAATCACGTAAATGTTTATTTGTATCTATAAGTTAACATTAATTAGGGATTATATATGTCTTCATAAAAATGGAACACTCATGATTGTCGTTATTTTATGTAAATAAATTGTTTACTTTTTAAATTATAAGAGTAAAATTTTGACTTAATTTGTTCGAAATTAAAAAATTTGAGCACTATCCTTTTTGAACACACAATAATGCTATTTTTAACATTTTTGCACGTACGGTTTGTAAAAATGGAAAAATATTCATTAATATATTTCCTATTTTGGGGACACAGTAGAATGAGAATAGCTAATGAGTGTTGTGCATATAAAATTTAAACATTTTGTGAAAATTTATTATAAAAAATAATTTTATTTGCACTATGCAAAAAGTAACATAGTTAAAACATGTCTATAAATATGTTAGAAAAGACGTTGGAATAGATTGGACTGTTCTTTTATCACATTATGCATTATATTTATATTGTTGTGAAGTTGATAAAAAAGTAAAAGAGCAAAAAAATTAGCACAGAAGTTTGCACTTTTCTGTGCGTGTTATTTCGGTTAGGGTATATTTTAGAAATAAGTTTAACATGTTTTAATTAATTCTGGAATAAACAGAATTAGTAATGTGTTATAGACATTCTAAGAACACATACTGAATGGATAGGACTGAAGTTGGGTAACTATGTTACTAAGGAGATACAAAATATTATAACATTTAATTTCTTAAGCGAAATTAATTATCTCAAATCAGAAAATTGTTAAACTTAAAATTTAAGAAGTTTATGGAACAAATTTGTGGGTTTAAAATATTCTACTAAAATTTTTTGGTGGTAACTACATCCTAATTGAATAAAAATTGGAGATATTATCAAAACAGGAATTAAATGTAAAAATGTAGCTTCTTTTGTATAGTCATGAAAACTTAGCGATAAATTGCATACGAGAATATAATTTTTTAGAACACAAACCATAGTTTAATGCTCGCAAAAATGATGTAACACATACTGTGCAATCTGTTACTGAATTATGTAAAAGTAGAAAAAAAGAAATAACATGTATTATATATACATACACGTATATATATATAGTATAATTTATGAGAAAAACTCTTCATAACTTTGGTTAAAAAGAAGCCTATTATTCGAATAATAAATCATGGGCACAAGCTTTATTAGTATGTGTTCATATTTTATACTAATTCTTCACATTTTCAACAAATGAAATCATTATGCATTATTTAGGCAAAATAAGGATATACCAATATGTAATGGTATGAACACAATTAAACAAGAGTTTGTGTAGTGTATTTATAAATTGTGCATATATTTTTATAAATTTTTATAGCTAACTCATCAGTTATTAGTAATATGGCCAGTTAAATTCGGGGTTAGACTAACATAAGTCCTATTACAATTATTACTAGAAACAAGCAGTTTTAATATGTCTTCGCAAAATGGTAAAATTAAAAATATTCATTATACACATGAATGCACTTATATGGAATATTATAATTCTATATAATTTAAACCATTAAAATATAGCTTAATTTTATTTATAAAACATAAAATAAAAATTATTTTTATTTTTGATAAAAACAAAGCGTAGTTTGTGTTAAGGCATATATTAAATCGTTACACATGAACCCATAAAATATTTGTCTGTAGAAAAATACTGTTTCATATAAAAAATTATAAATATTTATTTTTTGCAAGAATTTGAACTAATGTTTAAAATTATTTGATTTTTTAGTTAATCCTATTTATTCTGCAGCTTTAGCTATTATAGGAACTAAACCTTTTTAGGACGCTTTACAAAAAGAATAGAATATAATTAAATGAATGAAACAATAAATACTATAAATTATTTAATTTATAAAATTGTATTTAATTCTTTAATGAAAAAAGTTATTATTTTCAAAATATTTGGATTTATATAGGTACTCTATTTGACAGTCTCCTACAATTGCAGATACAAAATAATGCCATTATTTTATTATTTTATTTTATTTTTCCGGCTTGGTTAACTAAAAATGAATATTATTTTTCTATAATTTAGAAAATAACAATTACATAAAAAAAAATATTTTCCTTACGAATTTATGGAAGAAATAAATAAGCTAAATACATAGGATATAAATGAATATCAAAAGGTATGATAGACATAACTATTTGAGGATGAGAAAAGTGGTTAAAAAATATTTGCTTATTTTGTACCAGAACAACATAATTGGGTAATTTAGCGGAAAACAAAATGATTTGATATGTATATTATTGATGTGTTGTTCTTTGAGAAAAAGAAAAACGCATGTTTTTTTTATTCTACTTATTCATTAATAGATGTTCTCTGAAATGATATGAAAATCTTATAAGTGATTATTCTTCTGCGTTCCTCCATATCTGTTTATTTTGAAATAATGATATAACACTGCGTAGAGTCACATATATTATGTGAAAGAAATATGAATATCATTTAAAAATTATATTTATTCCTTTACCTTAACTATTTATTATAAATGATTTATTTCAATTATTTTATATATCATACTTTATGTGTAGAATATACTTTCTTGGGACACTGTGTTTATGTTTTCCCTTATATAATTAACATATAATTAACACATTTTATAATTAACATAGTTTTGGATGTAAATTTCAGCAAAGCCTAACTACAAATACATATATAATAAATTGCTTTTCACTTAAATTACGCATAAATAGTATATTTTTTAATGATATATATTAGGTGTATTTTTTTCGTTATAATTGATATAATATTGTAGCTCATTTATGAAAGGGTTAGATTTATAGTGATATAACATATGTTTTACTTAAAAATATAAACCTATATTAGTATTACAGAATAAATATACACATGATGAAGTATATGTAAACAAGGATAATAAATATTGATTTAAGAATAAAAAAAAGTAATGAATATAAGAAGTTTTTATTTTTTTTAAGTTATATTTTCCTGAAGCCTATATTTCATATTTTCAATGATTAATTATAAGGGAATAATCTCAAAATTATAATGAATTTTTTTTAGTAATTCATCTATATAAGAACATTTTTCTATAATATTATTAGCATACAATATTTATTCCTTTATGTCAATATTTTACAGCTTTTTTATGTATTTTCCATAAAAATTTTTAATTATTTATTTTAATATCTATTGTGGTATGTTAATATTTTCAGCAGAATTATGTGTTATGAAAGCACATATAAAATGGAAATTATATTTTTACAAATGTAGAAGCTAATTTATTCAAAGACCAAAATATAGTTCTCTACTACTTTATGTTGAAGCGTAATATTTCAAGCAAAACTTCTCTATGCTTTTGAGATATTACATTTAGCCGTACAGTTAGGGGAAAACATTTTATGTATAACTTTTATATAGATTTAATCAAGCATATTGATTATTCTAAAATTGCTTTGTATTTCAATTTTTTTCCTTTTTATAAAAAATATGTTTACCGAGTGTTGCATTACAATTGCAGTATCCGAAATTCCAATGAAAAAAAAAAAATTTTGGAACAAATATTTAGTTCGCAATGTTAATTATGGACACTTGTAATAATGAGAAAAAGTGGAGTATACTTACATTTGTCCGAAATATATCTATCATTCCACAAAATTAGTTACTTGGTTCCGTAATCTTATTTTGAGAGGATGGGACCTTCGGACTCTAACAATTGGGTATATTTACGTTTTCACTCTTTCAATTGCATATTATTTTAATATTATTTATAATATTAAGAGGTCTAAAGATATGTGCATTAAAAACCTCATATTTTTATGTAACGCTATTTATATTCGGTACTACATTATCAGGAAGCAATGCTACCGAACTTTCCATCGTATGAAAAATATAAAGAATTAAATAATGGAAGCAATTTAACTGATGAAAAGGGGGACTGCACAAAAATTCCAACTTCCAAGGATGGGATTAAAGGATTTTGTAAAAAGGTATTAAAAAACTTAAGAGCTATATCTGATTTGAAAGGTGATGAGAATCGTAAATCCAGTTGTTATTATTTTCAGCATTGGTTCTTTGAAGAATTAGGGAAAAATTTTACTATTACGAATGCTATGGATACCGATGTTGTTATTGCTAGTTTTTTTGATTTAATAACAGAAATTAGTTTAAATGATTTGAAGGAGGATGCATGCAAATGTTATCCATCAGGAAATGTAAGTGTTTGGAAAAAAGAAAAAGATTTGCATGATTATTTTGAAAATTTTGATCGGATTAATTGCGAAAAGTCTAGTATTGATGAATGCCAAAAATATATAGAGCTTGTTACCTATATTTCTCCAATATATATTGAAAAAGAATATAACTGTTGTTATGATGGAGACATTGAGTATGATTACTGTAAAGCTTACATTAGATGTGAAGAAAAGTACAATCCCTCTGAATTATTAACTAAATTAAAAGCACAGCTTCAGGTTTTAGAAAAACAGGATATACCAGTAGTTCCAGTTGAGATAACTGTAACGCAACAGTCAGCTGGGTCTTCTCATTCGATTGGTGGTACTCATGTTGATATGTCAGAATCAGCAAGACATTCTTCTGAAGGTACTAAAGAATATCAAAGTATGACTTTTAAAATCGGAGAAGAAGCAGTAAACACCTTACATAACACTGAACCTACACCAAGTGAAGTGAATACTAATTCTTTTAATTTTATTTTAACAATATATAATATGATGAACTCAAATAGTTTCTATCGCTTTATAATAGTTTCTACAGTACTGGTGACATCTCTCTTTTTATTTTTTTATTATAGGGTAAACACAAAAAAGGAATTAAAGTCTAAATATTTTATTCAATTAATTTTAGTTAAAAATTGTATTCATTACATGTTTCGTGTTTTCCTTTTTTAATTAGTCAACATTCTTTGGATCAAAGTTACGTGAAACAAAATCCATGAAAAAAAAGTTTGCAAATAATTACTATAATGACATAAATGATGATTTATCAGATTATGATTCGGAACATATATTATTAGATTCTGGAAGAAGGTTACATTATTTTATTCCTCATACCATTTGATATTTTTATTGATAATTAAGCGCATAAAGTGAAAGAAATGTATAACATTTGTTTGGATAGTATAAAATGCTAATGCTTCATAAGGATTCACTACTGACAAAAATGAAGAGATCATGAATTGGTGAAATACAATGGATGCAGTTTTTAAAATTAAATAATATATAATGAAAAAGTAGATATTGTTTATAATAGTTAATAAACACAGTTAAAAGAGGGTTTAAAAATAATTAAATAGAAACATAAAAAAAACGTAGTAAACGGCATAATGTGTACACAATTTACAGGCAATCAAATGTGTTAAATAACATATCAATAATTAACAAGCATATAACGACCTATGTTGTATATATAATAACAAATGATGTTATTATTATGACAACAATGTTGAAATTTTAAATATATATTGGTTAAATAGGACTAAATCCAGCGTATTTTGAGGATGGTAGAAATAGATAAATCTTTGTGTAATGGTAGAATAGAAGACTTTACAAGGAATTGTAATACGAAGCAAAAAAGAATAATATTGAAAAATGTGAAAGAATGATATGAAACATCCTTTGAATCGTAAGAAAATTATTTATGGAAAGTTCCTTTAAAATAACATTACACTTGGTAAAATGGATTGAGGAAGATCTCTAGAGTACATTAAATAACTGTAAAAGAGAAGGGATATATTTTTTTTAGTATGCATTTTATATAATGATTCCGTTATATATAACATGCAAAATAAAAATATACTGTCTTATTTTTTTGTGATTTCTGTATAATTCCATATATGATACTTTTTTAAATTTGTGATTAAATTATGTTTATAAAATAAGTTCAATATATTTTTTTTCAATATAATTTTTTAATTGCAAATCATTTTAAATTTTTCTTTCTCATTAATAATAGTAGCCTATATGTTTGTGGTAATTGTGAAAAATAGTCTAAATTTGGGAATGCATTTTTGAGTTAGTTTAAATATAATTCAACTTTATAATATGTAATATAATACGAAATATGTTGTAATAATTAATAATCATTAGTAACGTAGCAACTGATGAGGTATACTACACTTTTATTAATTTGTATGCTTAACGTGCAAAGATTTGTTAGGTTTTTATCTAATATGCACATGCAAAGTTACACTAAAAAATGAATAAAAAAATGAAATTTTAATAATTAACTATATAAATAAATTCATATGTTTGAATCATGCTCATTTAGAGTATAGTATATAAGTTTTATACTTGATGAAGTATAATAAACACTTATTTATTTAAACTCACATATTAATGATATATAATTGATTAAGGGAACCACTAGAAGTATTAACACATAAAATGATTATGTATTACACATATTATATATATTTTTTCATAATACATTTTTAGACATTCAGCATAAAGTAAATTGATTTAAAATATTAGAATAATATGTTGATTCTTATGATGCAATTTGTGTACTTTTATTTTTTTTATTATCAAATATAGGGATTTGTGAAAATTATTCTTTACGCCTTATTTATTTTATGATATCCTAAATATAAAATTTCGATAATAGGTGAGATGATACAAATCAGTTCTATGAAAGCAGCACTTCATACAATTACATAAGCAGTTAGCTTTTTGGCAGAAAATATTTTTCGTAAATATGTTTTATAATTTAACATGTACTTTATAAACTACTCACATAATTATATTTGGCATGTCAAATTGGATTATTATTATGACAGAAATATTAAAAATGTTTTACCAGCCTGTTTAATCACATTGACATAACTCCTAATAGTTTTTTAACATTATATTTAATTAAGGTATATTATTCTTTCTCCATATATGTACTCTTTACTAGCACTTCTGATATGCCTATTACTTCCTATTAAGCTAGATTTCCCCAATTCTAGTGAGTTTAAAGAGTTTAAATATACACATAAAATCTGTAGTTACACACAGTATTGTTATGGAAAACATACAAAATATACCGAATGTGGTTCATTATTACTGTTATAACAATATTATCAATTTAAACATCTCACAGGTATCTATGTTCTTAGTGCCTGCTAAATCACATGGAGTTGTAATACAGCTACGATAATACAATAATTTTTAATTTTTATATGATGTGGAAAAGAATAGACTAAAAATATTGTACGAAAATTATATGTAATATAGTTATATAAATTTTTTTATACAATAAAATTAGGCAAATAGTACAATAATAAGAAAGCAAAGAGAAATAGTAAACAACAAAGGACAACGTTATTAGCCTATGAAATTTTTATATAAGTAGCATACTATATATTATAGGCACAGATATGATAAAAGAATTCATTTAATACACATAAATAATGCACCCATAGAAGTAAACGTTTTTAATCATATCATATTAAAAAGAAATGACAAAATATATGCAAGAAATTTTTACTTAGTCATGGTACCTTGAGAATATAAATAAACCTATTAACGTGTAACAATTTTAAATCAAGTAAATATATTAAAATATATATGTTTACATTGGGTGAAGTGGTTTTCGGATATACACAATATTTTACTAAAAATAAAAACTACCATAAAAATGTCCTCTATTATGTACGTATTAACTATAGGTATTAAGGAAAAGGTATATAAATTAGAATACAAATTTTTATTATAAATAAAATATATGTAAGAATATATTATATTTTTTCAGATATTTGCTGGATAATTATGTGGCATGGTAGATAAAAAATATAATAACCACATATTAATATACAAAAAATAAATGTTAATATTACAAAAAAATATATATAATTTTTAAATGCTACTTTTTTTTTATAAAAAAACTGAACAGCATATAGTACATAACATAACACTATATGAACACGTATCCTTTAATCATTTGATAATTTTATGTTTAATTGCAGAAATGATTCTCACAACACTTGACACGGTACGCACGTCGCTCTATTATTAATGCTTACTATTTCGGATAAAGCGTTAAATATATAATCCACATCATTATCTGTATATTTGAATATATTTATATGTATATTTTTTTATTTTATCACGTTTAAAGTGATGAAATGTAAGTAGTAAAAATCAAATTGAGTATAATACAATTCGCATTTTAAGAATATTTTTTATTTTATCATTAAGAATACAATAAATAATTTATGCCTATACTTGTATATTTTTATGTATTTTGTTGAGTTTTTAGATGTAGAAGGTTGATGAAGTTTCGAGATTGTCACCTTAGAAAGGGTGCAGAATTGAAATAGGGAGAGAAAAAAAGTTCATTTTAGACATGTTTTACGACTAGTTATATACAATAATTACAACAACATTATAATGTGGAAGGACAAATATAAAAATAAATTTTAAGCATGCATAAATCTGGAACAACATATATATAGTTATATACTTAGTATTAAATATTTTAGAAATTTAAATTATATAAGAGCATATATAGTTTAAAAAAGGTAAAAGAATTTTTACTTCATATTTTGGGAGTGCAATATTGAGACATTAAGCCATGGAACAATAAAGAGAAATACAATATAGCATGGCACAAAAAAGTAAAATAATTATGATAATAAATATATATATACTAAAATAATGTGCTATTTAAGTCGAAGTAATTAATATAGTATCACCATCGAAAATCTTCTGGAACGCTATAATTCTTCTCCTGTCGTTAATCGGATTAATTATATAAGATACAATCTTATGAAAATGTATAAAATGCTTAGTAATAATATCAAATCTAATTTTAACTATAATTTTACAATTTCTCCACAAGAAATAAGATATTGAAAAAAATCGATTGTTGTAGTTTGAATTATACAACTCATGCTATAATATTTAAGGGAAATCATAAATTTAGAACAAGCATAACTACAGAAAATGAACATAATTTAAAAGTTGTTAAGTAGGTACGGAAGAAGCACAAATTCAATTAATAACCCTGTCAATAAGTCAAGAATAAAAAAATGATTGATTATTCTTGATACAACATATGAAGTTTAATCGGATTAGAAATATTAAATTTCCGTTTATTATAATATAAGTTAAAAATAGTTTCTCAAACAACAAACAATTATATATAAATATAACTTTTTCAACATATCTTTATACATATTTTTAGGATAATATTTTTGTATTTGTAAATAACAATACTCCTTAAAAAAAAATAGTATATATTTTTTTCTTCTTGTTTAAATATACTAACTGGAACAAAAATTAAAAGATATATGTTTGTATTAGAAAGTAATATAACTGAAATATAATTAATAAAGTATTAAAAAATATCAAAAAAATCGCGTTCTGTAAGAGGAACACAAAATAGGCTCACCTTTACAGTACATTGCTAAAAGATAAAAAAATATAAATTTCCATGAATTTAAAATATATTAGTTATGTTTATTGCTATAAATGTTACTTATCTACTATACATTAAAATTATATATGTTTAAAATGAGCTTTTAATCGAAAACATAAAGAAAAAAAATAGCATGAAAATAGTTGAAACAATTATCAACTAATAAAATGCTAAAATATATTACAAGCATAAAGAGGATATATATCATGGATTAAAACATAACGAAATAGGGAAGGAATGTAGATATGATACGCTAAAGGGAACATCCAGTTTTTTATGTATTAGGCTCTATTGAGTGCTATTTTTAGATATTTGAACTATTCGTCATGGTTTTCAGATATATAATGTAAATAATGTGTTTATATTATACTTTTGATGCTAAATGATACAATTTTTTCAGTTTCAATTTAGTTTAATAACATAAATATATTATATTTTGTATTTTTAGCATATTAATTAGTTTACTCCATTATAACCCTGGATATACAAAAGAAAAAGAAAAAATTGTGATTACCTTAATTAGTATATAATGAATGTTATATTAATAAATGTACGAGTATTTCTAATTAGACCTTCTAATAAATGTGAAAATAACATATCCTATAATATTATTAGTAATAGCCCTTAACAATATATCTCCTAATTTTGTGTTATCTAAAACAGATATAAATGTAAATGTATACGAACATTATAATAAAAGGACATCTTTAGAATGAAAAAAATATAATAAGGTATAGTTTCTTTTTTTGTAAAATTAATGTATTATTTTATTATATTTGTATATATTATGTTCCATTTTTTAAAATGGTAATATATGTTTCATTTTAGAGAATTATCTTTGTTTAGTATTAATTTTAAAAGAAATATTATTTTATATAATATTTGTGAATTAATAAGTTATATTTTATGATTTAATTATTTGTGGTGAAGAAAAAAAAAGGTTAATGAATATGTTTTTTTCTTCGTTATTTATGCACAATTAAATTTATATTATAACACAATTCATTTGAAATAATATCACACCTATTCTTTTAACAAATTCATGATCGTATATATTATAAAAAAAATGATATCCAAAAATGTTATAAATAAAATGAAAAGGACATTTAAACAGTACAAAGTGAATAAATACTTATAAAATTTTGCTATTATATATAATGTAATGAATATGCCCTAGAATGGTAAAACTTACGAAGTAATTAAAATAGCATAACGCTTATAAAATTTCTATGTCACAATAATTAAGTATTATAATTTAGTAATAATTTATTTATAAAATATTTATAAAATATTTTTTAAATTAGTAATAAATAAATAATTCTTCCTATAAATGTACATATTAATAAAAACTAAGCTAATTTCACACTTGATTATAAAGGATTATCTAGGAAAATATTTATTATACACATAGTTAATGTAGTTAAATATTAAGTAATAATTCATACAAGAAATAAGCACTATATATAACAAAATTTTTATGTAGTAAGCTCAATAAACGAAAAAATATTAAAAACTACGTTGAATTTTACATATACGATGAAGAAAATATGGCATGAAATATCTCATTGAAAACTCGAAATTTTTCTAATGGGATAATGAGAAACGATAATTTTAAATGATTGAAGTCACAAAAAAAAATAAAATAACATAAAGTAAAAATTATTTTTATCTTAATAATTACATAGGACATAAATATATGTATTCACTATATATTAATAATCATTTTACATGTATATTAGATTATCAGAATACATAACATTTATATTTTTTGATATAACATATGATAAAAAAGTAAAATTATTAAAACCTATGTATATAATACATTTATTTGACATTTATTTTTTTATTAAATTTACATATATAGTAGCATTAACTCAGGGGTCATGACATATATATGATAAAATAAATTATGATAAATACATACATAAGTTAAAAGTATTATATATATATGAATACAATTGTAAGATGATATTGCATTAAATAATATAATAATATTAAAAGTTATATTAGATTAAATAATTCTTATATTTACTTTATTGGATTTACAATTTATATTGATTATGCTAAATAAATACGCGTGGTTCCCATTGTTTTATATATAGCAGCAATGTTAATATTAAGTCTCGAAGGATAAGGCGTAAACGTAGAGATTTTATATTTATATCCAATTATTAATTGAAGCTAAAGAAATATATATTAATATGCTAGAGTAAAATCTTTTACTACATGTATCTATATACAATTTAGTTTCTTATATGTATAACTATTTTATTATAATAGTGACATATGTATAATATATTAAAAAAGTATTATCTGCCACATATTATTTTATAATTGAGAGAATATAAATACACTTTTCTTATTATATATTTATATAAAAAAATGCATTTATAACCATAAATGCTTATTACTACTGCAGCACAACGTATATGAAGACTTACATAAAAATATAAATTGTAAAAAATTTTTTAAAAATTGAATCATTCATGTGTAAGATATTTATATAAACCTAATTATATACCTTTATTATATATTTAACGTATAAAAAATTATTATAAGTAAAATAGAAAAATTATTTTTATATATTTTAATATAAAAAATATGGCTGAAGGGGGAGTTGCTAATGATAAGGTACGCCTTTATTTAAATTTTTTTTTTTAATTTATATTATGTAATTTTAAAGGATTTCAATTTGTTTAAATAAAGAAATAGTTGTTACTTTGAAAATATCACTTATTTTTATTGCACACCTTATATTTTCATTTTTAGTTTGACTACAAAAACATATATCCACATAGCAGAAATGATTTTGGTTCGTTTAATTGGAGTTGGTTGAGAGGACCCTATCTTACTGAATATTCAGCGGTGTGCAGTGACTATAACAAAAGAATAGAAGCTTCTAATTTCACAGACTTTCATAAATCATGCCACGTACTATGTTTTTATTTAAAGCATATAAATGATAAAAAAAGAGATCATTCAGACTTTAATGCAGGAGGAAGTTGTAAATATTTCTTTTACAGACTAAGAGATTTAATGTATAAATATGGTGGTTCGTGCAAAACAACGAAGAGTTGTTATGAACAATTGAGAATAAAAAATCTCAAAACAAAAAGAATAGATGTTCCTATTATATGTGAAAAGTATGTAAAGGACATTGAAGATATCAGTCATGATACATTTAATAAAATGATGGATCTGGATAAACTATATGGTCATTTGGAAGTATTAAAAAGTCTTAGCAATGCATCTAATAATAATACATGCCAACGAGCAAAGGTTTCTATTGGAATATGTGATGAAGTTTTAGAAGGATTAAAAAATGATCAAAACCTGAGCATTCGTGAGGTATTAGAAGAATTTAAACGTGATTATGATACACATAAGAAAAGATTCAGTGGATGCTATAATCGCCCTAAATCTACGGCTACCCCCAAGAGAACAATGGAAGTGACAGAGACACAAATAACAGTAGAAGCACTGCGTGAGACTGGGGCAGAGAAACAAGTAACAGCAGAAGCACCGCATGAGATTGAAGAAGAGACACAGATAGGCGCAGAGATACAGGCGCAGATAGGAGAGGAGCGAGAAACTGGGATAGGCACAGGAATGTTTGTCTCATCTTTTGCGTCATTAATAATTATGTTCATTTTGTATAAGGTAAAAAGTAAATTTACTTTATTAAACAAATATTTTATTTTAATACATATAACACATGATATAAAAAAAATATGTACTAATTTTATTATATATTAATAAAAATATCATATTGTCACGTTAATTGCAGTACACTAATTATGGATCATATTTAATACGAGGTATAAGGAAGTTATGGAAACTAAGGAGAAAACAAAATAATGACCACTCCAACATAATAGACTCATTTGATAAGACATATAGAAATTTAAATAATAAGAGGAATGGAATAGCTTATAGTTCAATGGATTACGAATAATCATATAACACATTAAAAGAATTAAACTTGGTTTTCTTTGGAAACTGAATAAAATTAAGGGATATTATTTCTGTAATTTGGAAAGAAACAAATAATAGAACTTTCTAAATAAGATATATAAAAAGAATGATAAAATTTTGTAAAATATTTCATAAGTGTTTTATGCTACAATGTAACAAAAATAAATTTTAATTGTATAATATATCCATATAATGAGTTATACTTATAGTTATTGTCAAAAAATCCAATAAATTAATATAATATAAAAATACATTGACAGATATTATATATTATGGTGAAATAGATAGAATCAGGTATGTTTTTGTTCAACATTTCAGCTACTATTATTGAAAATTAATATTAAAATGCAAGGATATATATATTTTTTTATCAGATTAAAACAATAAATTGACACATGTGTATTAAATATAAGATCAAAAAGAATGAATTATGACAAAAAAATTAATGTAACATAACCTAGTATATTATATTGGAAAAAATGCTTAAATAAGTATAATTATTATGAATAATTATGTTTTTAAATATCTTCTATATTTAAAATATTGAAGTTTGAAGTATAATATAAAAATATAATTAAAAACTAGTATAGTACAAATGGAAATATATTAATACTATAATGAAAAATATAAGATATATATTCATGTTTTAATACATGAAATTATTAATCTTATACATATGACACTTTAGTAACATTCATTAAAAAAAAGAGATAGCATATTGAGGACAAATAAATATTTACTATGTGTCCTATAATACAATTAAACAAAATCACAACAAATTTAGTAACATTTGAACACCTTATAATAGTGTATTATATCATATACAAATTTAATATACATAATAATTGCAATTTAAAAAATATTTTTAGTATTATAGTGCTTCAGCATAATTTATAATAATTCAATACAGAGTTAAATAAAAATATGTGGGAAACATTTCTAGTTATATACATAATTTTTTTAGTAATATTTATGGTTTAAATATATAGAGAACAATTCTAGTACATGAAACTAAAAAAGTTTATTAAGTAACTATTATTGTTATATGTAAATTTTGACCTTATACAGGATAATTTGTATAACGATAATGTGTTAGAGAGAACATTTTTTAAAATACCAGTAAACAGTACAAATTTTTATATATAGAGCAAATAAATATAATACATAAATACTCTTCTAATTTTAATTAATAATTAAAGGAATCACATTATCATGTACCACTCATAGAGATATTTTATTAATACTTAAATCGTCGAATATAAAACTTGCATTATTTGCATATATATATTAAATTTAATTAGAATATATATATACCAGAAAAATAAATATTTTAAACCACTTTTATACTATTTTCATATTTTCCTTTATAATACTTTAAATATACAATATAGGCATGTATTTTTTATTATTTGTTACTATTGTATATTCTTGGTATAGCACCAAATTTTCGTTGATTTTACATTTTACTGGAATATTGTATTTCTTTAGTGATTTAGTAAATGCTATATAGGTTTAAATATTTTTTATAACATTATAATTTAATTGTTAAATACAATTTATTTGTTCCTTGGTGTTGTGAATGTAACTCTCCCATAAGATCAAATTTTATTTTTTATACTTGGTAAATATATCTATATTTACACATGCTATTTTATGAGTAAAAAATATTATTGTATATATTATTGATATAAATCTATAACAATTACAACTGTCATAATTTCTTTTAATATATCAAGGTGAATATTATATATATGTCATTACACCAAGCATATTAAAAAATGTTAATTTAATACTTCCTTATGTGATATCATTTTTCTTTTTAAGTAATTAATACTATTAGAGTGGTAAATGGTTGTAAGCATAATATTTTATTATTAATAACTATATATGTTACAATAAATATAATAAAAATTATATTTTTTCACTTTTAATGAGTATACTTATATTAATTTCTTTTTTACATAAATTATTGCATTTACAAGATAAATTTTTACAATAATGATATATTTATTTATGATTTATAATAAATTGTATTATCAGAAGTGAATTAATATATATAATATGTAATTATATGTTATTTAAATTTTTTCCAATTATATTTGAGACTATATTATAGTATATCAAGTAAATATAATACAACTTTACGATAAGGAAAATAATAGTACAAAGACGTTTATCTGATATATATATCTAAATAGAAGTTATATGTATTTTTTATTTAGTACGTTTTATAATTTATATATATATCTTTGATACATTTGAAAAAGTACATTTTTTAATACATACATTTTCGTGTGAAATTAATATTTAGAAATAATATGAATAATGAATAATGATTTTTTATGTGATTTGGATCTATAAAAATACAAAAGAAATTAAATCTATCATACATTCTAACAATGATTCCATAAAGTAAGTGGTATAATTGGGTTAAAATATGAAAAATATACATGCATATTTTAAGGTATTACATTCCTTACGTTAATTAAAATATCAGGCGATTATTTAGGATCATGATATTTTAAATAAATGTATAAAAAAAAATATTTTTGAATAAATAGAAAAATAAATGACTAATTTTTTATCATATTTATTATTGTTCACACCATTGCGTAATGACGAACATGAAATTTATTATAAACTAATAAATATTTACTTTTAATATTATATCTACTTTTGTTTAAGTACTTAATAATACAAAAACATTTTTAAAATTTAAGAAAGGTCAAAAAAAATTTTTATTATGTTTTATTCATTGGTAGTATTTATTCTAGAATTTATGTAATTTTTGAATTTTAGACACACAATAATAATAATAAAATATTTACTCTACTTTTTATATGTTAATAATACGTGTATAGTTATAATACATTGTAATTGTTATATTTCATTTCTTATTATGTGCAAGAAAAGGAGTAAAATATTTTCTTATTTTTTTCAGTTAAAAAGTTATTGTATTAACAATATTTGTTGAATATATGTGTATTTTTTTAGGAAATGATGGAGTATATACAATTTTATAATTAATCTCTGATTTTGTTGAATATATATTATGCATGTAAAATATATAATTCTTAATACGTTAATATATTTCATTTTTAATCATATTTAAAGATTTATTTTATTCAATAATAGCTATTAGTTATCTATTAAACAAGTTATTAACGCAAAATATTTTATAGTTGAAATTGTAAAATTATTCTTAGACAATAATTTACAAAATTGTATACGTGCAAGAATGTATGAAACAAAAATGCACATAATTTTCCAGATGATAACATTTTATAAGTATAGGATAATATTTAAAAATCATTAAACTCTTTAGATAAATTAAAAATTCGATGAAGATCTTCAAATGCTCCTGTATTGCGCTAGTGACCATATGATAATACACAATTTAAGATGCTCTATTATATACATATATTTTATTAGAAAAATTGGAAATAATTATAATATTTAAAAAATAATAGATAAAAATAATGATTATAAAAATCATTTACCTTATGTCAATTTTACATTTATTTTTATAAGTCACGTTTTCCACTATTCAATATATTTATGTGTTTTTTTATTATCCATAGTAAACTTTTTTTTTTTTGCATATTTCATTTTTAAATAATTCAGTATTATGTGTTATATTTGGTTGTATAAATTATGTGAATATAATTATATATTTTTTTTTTCTTAGTTACATATAGTATATACAAATATGTCATGTGTTTTTATAATGTGTTCATACGTTATGATAAAGAATTTTGATTTTTAAAAAAAAGAATAAACTTTATTCATGTTATTATTTGAAATACTCAATAAATGTAAAACTATCACATAATGTTTTACTATAATATTAAAATATCGATATGTTTATGATTAATTCTATGAGTTCCTAAACACTATTCATTGTGTAATTGAGTTATTATTATCCATTACACTGATTTTTTCATCATTACATAATCACTATATATTTTTTTTTATCTTTGTTTGAATATTTTACTAATATTGAACAATGCTTCGAAAAAAATTAATGTGAACTTGAAGAAATGAAAAATTAAAAACTGTAACACCTCTTAGCATATCTATCGAAATTATAGGGATATATTGGATAATTCTAGTTTAATTAATAATTATTTTTAATTAATTTATATTACATATGCACGATAGTAAGTACCTTTTTTGTTTGTAATATATTTAACTCTTTTATATATTCTATGTATAGCGCTTTCAATAATTATATTTCAATTTTTATAAATTTGTTTTTTTTATTCTTTCTAGAATTTGCTTTTATTGATCGATATTTTATTTTCATGATCATGATTTAAGAATATTTTCTATTAACTTATTTATTTATCTATTTTTCACATTTCAAAATGAATTATCTTAAAAGCATTACAAATATTTTTTTGAAGACTTAACTTTTGGGTATATATTTTAACTATGTTATTTGAATTACAACTGAATTATTCATTCAAATTTGACGCATAGGTAGGAACATCGTTGAACATTTATACTTAATGTATATTGATATATTCGGAAATATCACAGCAGTAGGAAAAAAGTCAAATATTATTGGGATTATAACATGGTTTATTTAACTTTTAATATAAAAATCAAGCAGAATTTGTTAAAACATTCTACAAAAAAAGTTCATGATATCTTAAATTTAGACTAAAAAAAAAAAAAAAGTCTGTCAAAAAAGTGAAATATGAATATTTGAATTGAACTAAAACATAAACACATGAATTATGCAATGATACATTTATTACATAAATCTGTAAAATTAATTATTGAATATGTAAAACTAAAAAAAATATAACATAATGTTTAATAAAAATTATTGTATAAACCTTTTTTAATTATAAATTTTATAATTATTATGTTATTGTTTTCTAAAATAAATTATCCCCTAAAAAATAGTTAATTGTAATTTATTAAGATAATTATTTTTTCTAACATTTTATTTTTTGTTGAGTGTAAACAGGTTAAAGCTATTTTATAAATTTTTTATTAACAATTATGTTCAATTTTCAAAAGAATTATATGCCAATTGGATACGTTTCTCTTTTGAAGCTGATGGTTCTATCAATATTTTATGCAATTTATCTTCTATCGCTTTTCTTTTCCTTCTCTTTTCGTTAGAGAAGAGCCTTGACAAATAAGTGTACTACAAAGAAATGAAAATTGAATTAAATATGATTTAATCATTACAGATAATTAAAAATATGCGAATAACCTTTATAATGTATCAAATTGTAGCTTACTTTTATAAGAAGTATGAATAATATTACTATTGTTAAGGATACTACAATTATTACAATATATAATATATATGGTGTTGTTTGAGCATTCCCATCTGATCCATCTAGCACATTGCCACTTCCTGTGGTACCCATACCATCTGTACCTGTAGTAACAAGTGACCCATCTTCACTTGCTTTTGCATTTTCTACAAAAGAACTATAAATAGAAGTTGTATTTGTCGTCCCATTGGGTGATATATTAGGTGCACTTGAAACCTTACTAGAACTAACAGACGTTACTTTTTCGTCTGTTAATTCTTTACTAGGTGAGCTACGAGATGATTGACTATTTACAGTTGCTTTGTTAGAATTTTTACCTGAAGCAACTGTATTGTCATGGGGGTTGTAATGATTACGTTGGGCACTATTATTTTTTTCATGCATTCCTTGTCCATTTGTACATTTTATACCATCCTTTGCAATATTAGTATTTGTTTCACATGTATTTATAATACCAGAAGGTGAGTTACCATTATGAACATCACCAAGTTTTCCATCGCTGGAAGGTGTGTCACTATCACGTGCACCTTCATTGCGCAAGTGAGTTGAATATGTATTAGTAGTAACTGGCCTACCTGATTGAATTTGATCAGTATCTGTATCACCCTTTTTGTTTTGTTCATACTTTGAATAGCCAAATACTCCTGAAAAAATTGTTCTGTATAAATAGTTTACCACATTGGAGACTTCTGTAACAAGGAGTTCACTGATTTGACCCAGGATTCCGTCATTCTCTAAACTGTCAGCATTAGAATCAGGTAATTTTTTTGGAAGAAGTGTTGTACCTGATACAGATACTTCCAATTTATTGCTTGGACCATGTTCATCAGTAGATTCTGTTTGTGGAGAAGGAAAAGTTCCATTGGTATTTAATTCTGCATTTTGTGAAGGAACAAAGGAAGACAATAATTTTGACGAAGGCTCTTCCTGTACATGTGCACTAGATGGATTTTTACTCACTGATTCATATTCTACATCTGGAGTTTGAGAAGAGCTAGAAAGAAGTTTTACATCAGATTGTGAATGATCTTTTTGTTGATTCCGTTCTGGTTCAGTTAATTCTCTTTGACTACTTTCATTTACTTGTTGTTCTTTTGATACATATTCTAAAAATATTGCATCATCTGGTGAAATATTGCTAGAACAATTGGACTTAGCACAAATATTTAGTACATTAGATATTTCTGAATTATACAAAGAATATATTACATTTTTCTCACAATTTTCGTTATTTAAATAGGTAGTTAATTGCTCACATTTTGGACAGAGCAATGTTTTATCATTTTCATAAATATTATGATATTTATGTTCAATTTCATTTATGTGTTCTATGATACTGTCAATGCATTTCTCTTTCTTGGACCCTGTAGATTCAATTGTCGTAACAACTACTGGCATTCTCTAAGCATTATCTTTTATTAAAGCTGTATTTTCTTTTTCTTTGTTTAAATAAAATTTTGGGAATAAATCATGTACAAGAGTAAACATATTCGGAAAAGGATATATTTAACATATTAGTATCATAACACTGCATTTTCGTATTTTAAAATATGTTAATAGTAATATTTATAGATGTTGTATAAATGCAAATGCTTTAACATATAGCTGGATGTTCTGAAAGTGAAAACATGAATCTTATAAAATAATAATACCAATACAATACACGTGGTTATGTATAAGGATAACTGTAAAATAATTGAATTCGGAAAAACATAAATTTAATCAATTTGTTACATTTTTATAAATTAATTTAACATATCTTATGTGGAGATACACCCCCAAATAAAATTTGGAGATTTAATGATGATAAAAAAACACAAATGTATAAAGTTTATATATAGTGAATACTAATGAGAAAAAATAATGAATGCTGTGTAGTTCGGTTTAATGAGGTATAACGAATGAAATAAGAACAATTTTATAATATTTCGCTTTCATACTTTCATATATAATTTTTATTTTAATAACAAGACAATCTATATATTTAATGTTATGTATATTAGATTTTGTAACTCTTTAATTTATGGGTTCTGAACTAATACATTTTATATAAACAATGTTTTTAATATAAGGGAAGGTAATATTTTGACCTTAAATAATCTTTTGAATGTTTATAAATCTACTTCTCATTATTATTTTTATTAGTTTGATATATTTTTAATTTTATAATGTTGCATATAAAGACATGAAATGAACAATACAAGAATTGTAAATAGGTTCATTTTATTAATGTGACAATAATCTGTAATTATAAAGACTAGTTAACATTTAAAATAAATTATAATTTATATAGCTTAACAATAAATATTCTGTGTTTCTCGTATGTATATAAATTCGAGTGAATTTTTTATAAAATAATTTCTTTACTAGGTTTTATATTACTTATTACTACATTTTGACCTATTTGTTCTTCACAGAATTATTAATTTTAAGGCAAAATTCAAGTCTTATAGTGTAAATGAAGTAAAAAAAAAATAAAATAAAATAAAATAAAATAAAAAATAATATATTATAATATAATTCATGATCAGTAAAAGAAATATGTTTAAGTCTATCTTGCAATGTTTTGAAAATTACTATCATTTATAGGAAGAAGTTTTTTATCGCAATTATAATAAAAAGTGTCAAACAAATACAACATATTTTTTCTGCAGAATAGGAATAATATATATAATATGAAGAACAAATAATACGCAAAAACTGTTCTCATTTTATTATTATTTTTATTATATTATTTTAATAGTTTGCTCTGAACATTTAGATTCATTTAAGTAGATTAAAATTATTACTATTTTTTTATACATTACATGGGAATATGTTGTTTTATTATCTTTAAAACGGAACAATTTGTTAACTCATTTATTGCATAAACAAATTTTTATAAATTAATAAAATACAATATAGATTTAGAGAAAATATTAAATATATATAATACTATAAACTTATAATTATATATTCAAAATTAATTATATTTCTAAATCAACATTTTATTAAAATAGCATGATATTATTATTTTTTTATAATATCATTTGAAAGTTACTTCATAATTTCAATTTTATTTAAAATTTTTTTTTTTTTATAGTTTTTCTATTTTTGGAAGAGTCGTTAATAATAATGTTGAATTAGAACAGTTTTTGAACTATTTAAAAGGAACATGATTTGTAGTTGGAAAACAGATTAACTCGTATTGCTTGTTATTGATATTAGTTATATGATTTGTCTTTTGTACTCTACGTTTTTAATATATTTTTTGGTGGTTGTATTATTAATAACATTATTCCTTTTGCTTTATGTTTTTATTCTTTTTCTAATAACAGTTTTACATATATCTCTCTAAAATTAATGTTGCTATTTTATTATTAATATATTAACTTCACAGAAGAAGAATAACATTTCCTGAAATATTTAGCGCTCATTTCTCTGCATCGAATGTGATATATAATTCTCAATTAATTAATTTAGATTTAACATGTATCCGTTACATATTTAGAGCAGTAAATATATTTCTTTTTACCTGTTACTTCTATGTATTGGGTATATATCATCGAGTTTACTCCTATATTATAAGAAACCAATTAGTCAATCTTGTAGTTCCATATTTGTTTATTTCCTATATTCTTAATATTATATAAATATACATATATATGTATCATTTAGTAATAATATTTTATGATTTTTTTAAATGTTAAATAAATAGTCAATGTTTCAGAATTCATTTAAAATTAAAATGGATAATTGACCATTTTGAATTTTACACATAAATGTTCCGAAATAACAATTTTAGTTTAAAACGCGCCCATTTAATATGCTACATTATGAGACACAAAGATTTTTCACACTTGTTTAATTCAATTAAAGTCTTAACAGCATTGTAAAAAAAAAGTTATTTTCATATAAATCACAATAAATAGGACAATTTTATGAATTCTATTGTGCCCTTCCAAAAAGTATTAATTGTTGTAAGATAATTTTAGGGATAATTTAGAAAAAAAAATAATACTTCTTCATAAGACTTGGTGTTAAACTGTGATAACATGTTACGTGCGCTTTATATTGGGGGAATATGCTTATTCTATAACATGCATATTAATGTTCTCATTCACAATAATTAAAGTGAATTAATATATATCATTTCATTGTTACAATTGATATTGTCTGAATAGATTATTTAATTTGGTATTATAAAAAAATAAAATATAATAAAAGGAAACCGCATTTAATGTAGCATATAAGATCAAACAAGCAGTTACGTTCATGTGTTTTATGGAATATTTTACTAATATAATACACTTAAACAGTGTGAGATTTTTTCTATACTTATAGGAATAACATAATTTTGTCTTAAATTATGAACATAAATCTCACAATCGAAGAAAAGCACCCCAACCTATTTAGCTACGCTTGTGTATAGTGAAGGAAATAATATTCTGCACCCTATATCCACCATGATGCTAGTTTCTTTTATAAATTGTTGCTAGTCATATGCTAATTTATATATTTATGATTATAAAATATTTTAAATGATCTTGCATTATTAGGTTGTGTTGCATATTAAATACAACAATTATGCACTTTGCATTTTAATAGAATATTAATAAAATATAGGTAAGAATTCATCATTTTTTTTAATAAAATATATTTAGTGTTCTTATAATTAACTGGAAAAGAAATAAATGGAATATTTGGATAATGGAAATTGTATGACGTATTTAAATTGGAGTTTTTGTTTGGTTTTGCATCGCCATGGTTTTTAAATTATTTTTTTTTTGAAATACAACACTGGTTTGCAGTAAACTTCTTATGTATCTTAAGAAAGAAAAATGTCATTCTTTTTTTTTTTAGATCATTTTTTAGAAACGTTTATTTTTTTTACATATATGGAAAAATGACAATGCTTAAATGTTTATTTAGTAAATGTCAAAAAATGAATATCTGAGTTAGCACACTTTTTTCCGTTGTATCAACTTTAAAGACAGAGAGTGGTACAATGCTAATCTATGAAATGTCGTGGCATTGAAGAATGCACATCTGCAATTTATAACCTGTTGTGAAACACAATGTATATTTCGTAAATTAAATGAAATTCAATGAAATCCATCTACATGTTTATCACATTACACTACATTTCTTTGCCTTGTTGATATGATAATTTTCTAATACGTCTATTTTTAAATGCGTAAAAATAAGTAATTTGTATCATTAACTAATTAAAAGAGATTAATAGAATAATAAAAAATATTTCTTTTTTTTTCAGCGCAAAATGAAGATACCATCTACCTATTTAAAGTGTGTTTGTTATGTATTACATGATTTTTCAATAGACTATATCTGAAAAAGTGATACATAATAATGGCATGGTCCCATTAGATTTTGCGCTTTGTGAAAATAAAGATGATAGGTTTTATCACATATTATTAGAACAATTTTAGGATAATTTATTAAACTGATGTTTTGCAGAATAATAAAATTTCTAGAACATTTATGTATAATTAGAGTTCTTCACTTCTTATATTAATAATAGTCTCATTGTAAAGTTTGTTTCTGGTTAAAAAAGGTAGTATAATGTAAGAGATAGCCTTCTTGTTTGAATTAATTTATAGTGACGAATAATGTGTCAGTAGACAATATGTTTTTATATTTAATATATAAATAAATAGGGATTTATGAGTATCATTATTTGATATTGTTAAGGCATATTAAAACAGGATGTTCAATTTCTAAAGTTACAATTGTATATATTTGGAATGTTATTATACATATATATGTATATATATAATATTCAATATATTAATCACTTTATTGAATGCTCTATTTGAGAGATAACCTTAAATTATAATACAAGGACACATTCCTTTTAAAGCTTTAATCATAATTACATATTTATAGAGTAATAATTTATATTTATCACTAAACATGCTTAAAGAATATCAGAAAGTGATGTCTCATTGAACTGTTGGAGATGAATTTACGCTTTTTTTTTTATTACCTTATAATTTATTTTCAGAAATTAAGAACTATTATTTTTATATTTGGACGCACTTGTTTATATTATACGAAATAATATCGTAAATATTGCAATTATGATTTATATAGTTGATTATTCCTTTAAAAAAGCAAAAAAATATTCTACAAACTGGATAATTATTCCTTAAAGTGCATTTTTTAAAGGAATATTTAATGAAGAATTATTTTACAATTTTATTTAGTTTGTATATTTTATTTTTATAGCACATAGCTGTATATTATCTCTAATAAGAACACATATTTTGCTATGGTAACTACAAATTATATTACAAATTTTTTAAATTTATTTGGTGAACAAGTGTACTTACACAATACACGTTTTTACGAATATTTTTACGTGTAAATTTTCTAATGTTAAAAGAGAATGAATTTAGGAACAAATTACAAACACCATAAAGCCAATTATTATTAACTGACAGTACAATTCAATATTATGCACATACATATAATTAAGCAGTATGCACAGTTTAATATATAGGATTCATAAACACACAAATCGTTGATTTCACTAAAAGGAATCTTTAATATAGAAAGTCTCAATACTGAATCAAAAAAAAAAAAAAAATGTAAGATTGAGAATCAAATAGCACTCATTTAAGAAATGATATATTTTTTTTTGCTTTCACAATTTTAATATTAACAGTGTTATGACAGATACCTTCATTTCATCTATATATTTTTCTTATTCTTCCTTCTAATTTAGACTATTATGGCTGCTCCATCATATAATTTTCTTTATATTTAATCTTCCTCATTCGAAATATCGTCAATTTTTTTGTTCTCAAATTCAGTGGATCGTATATACTTTTTAGTTTTATGGCTATCATTAGGCATCATTATAATCCCTGTCAATAAAGGTTCATCTCTAAATGCATCTTGGAAAAATTCAAAATCTGTTTTAAGCATGGATGTTAGGATATTCACATTTCTTTCACTTCTACATGCACGCATACCTTCTAAATCTAACTTATATTCTATAGTATTATACATATGACTTATAAAGTCAATCCATTGGTCAGTGAATTCATCTTTTTTGCCTAATTGTTCCATATGACCTTTTTTCATGTTATATGTTCTTTCCATATCGTCAACTACACTTCTCAAAGTTTCTGATATATTTGAACACATATTTTTTAACATATTAATATGTTCAACATCAGATTTTCTCGATTTATTGTTAGATGATCTTTTTTTTACAGAATTATTGCCTGATTTAAAATTTCGTTCGTTAGTGTTATTACCATTTTCTGCCATTATTCTTTTTAACCTTTGGTTTGTTAAAACCTGAGACTCATTTTGCATACACAGCGGTCTATTCGGACTTGTTCTAATCAAGGGGAAAAATAGAATTATTAATTTTATTTTAATTTAAAAAAATTAACTCATAGAGATATACGTGCCACATATTTAAGTAATGCTTGCACTTGTTAAAGTTCCTCACATAATATGGGGAACACATAATTAATTGAGTAAGAAATTCTAAAAAGAGAACAGATGTATATATAAACATATTTTGGAAAAAAATAAGTCTCACTTTACATCGAAGGAATGATTATATTTCCATATTAAGAAAATCACAAATATAACTTTTGAAACAAGGGAATTCATTCTTATTTTTGAATGCTTAAACTTTGTTGTCAAGGATATTGAACGAAGATTTGTAGGTAGAATTTTTTTTTTTTGTTATGACAGTTTTTTTCATAAAATTGGAAATAACTTCTGATTTCATAGGAATATTTATTTTATTAAATCTTATATTACCAAAAAATTTAATAATTTATGATGAAAAACATCAAATTTTTACTATAATTCTTATTGCTAAGAATAACCAACTCTGCTTGTAAACATCAAATTTTTAGAAACAAAATAGTATAGAAATAAAAGAATGTGCTAAACGAATAACACTGATTGCAGGTATTTATCTCATAATAACAACACTTTATGGGAATTTTTATTAAAATTAATATACATGTAACTTTACAACTCTATATTACAAGCAAAATCTATATTAGCATAATAATAAATTATGAACATAATTTTAACAATATTAAAAAGAAAAAAATTATAGTTATAGTATAATTATTACTTCGATGCATTTTAATGATATATATAATAGTACTAGTATTATTTTTTAATTTCGTGTCAAATATAAGGGATATTTTTTTTTTTTTTTTTTTACACTATGCAATTTCACATATTCATTATTATTTTTTCTAAAGAAGTCATGTAGGTATTTAGGTTTTCAGTTATTTATCAACAATATATTTAATAAAAACTCATTTATATTTTTGTGTATATAAAAAAAAATTATATTTGTTCCACTAGTATCATTTTCAGGACTTCGTTGAGTACATGTAAATTTTTTTTATATTTTTAGTTTCAACAAAATATACTATAATAATTACACGAAAGTGTAATGTAATTCAAAAAAACAAAAAAAAATAATAAGACCATAATAAGATGAACAAAAACTTATTTCTATATAGAATAAATTCATTATATATTTTCTTAATTTTTTTTGTTTATACAACATAAAAAATAACAGTTCTTTCATAGTTCATTAGGAATTAATAGAACTTGCTACCACCTAACACATTTATATTTCTATGTGATTTTTTTTTTACTGAAGGTTTAAATAATTTTAATAAATTAAATAAGTTTTGACGGATTGCATTGTTTTTACGTGTTCTGGAAAATAATTATGTATAAAAAAATACACTATTTTATTATTTTTTTTGTTGCTGAAGCTTATAATTCTTTAGAAATATTATAGAATATGAAAGGAAAAACAGGAATTATAAAATTTTTTAAATGTAAACTATAAAATGCACTTTATGTTTTCTATACATATCTACCTAGAAAAGAACTTTTAATATAATAATTATAAAGGATTTTCAAAATTAAGAAGAAATAATGGAGGACAAGAAATATGGATAATTTTACAATCCTTTTAAAAGTTAAATTTTAATTATAGGATGGGAAAAAAATAACAAGGAAAATAAAAATATTAGGCATAATTGTTTTATAAATATAAAATTCTGTATACTGAATCGGCTGCAAAAAAAAATATTTTTTTCTCAGAAATAGACTTGTGACATTCTTGATATATCATTTTATCTAAAAAGTTTCACTATTGTGAAATATAGGAATATATTGGATATATATTTTTTTTTCTTTCGAATTTACCCTCTGCTTTTTGTCAATTTTGATGAGAGAGTTACTTATTTTACCATTTATTACAGCGATGTTCAGGTTTAAATTTTAAGGTGTATCTTAGATTTATCGTTTAAACTTTTTATTAATTAGGTTAGCTTATGGTAAAAGATCTGTGGAGATACATTAAAATGAATTATTGTAATCAACATGATGTTTATCTATAATTAAGATAGAAAATATGTGAATTATGATATTGTTTAATTACTAATAATATTTTATTGTGCAATCTAGTTTAATTTTATAATTACATATATATGCAGATTTTCCTATATTTAGCGTATTTATATTAATATCAAACATAGTTTTATAGAATGGTTAAATCATATCTCAGAAGAATTCAGATTATGTATCTATCTGAATTTATAAATATCATAACCATCATCTGCTATTATATGTTTTGCATATGCAAGTGTGATATGTCTAATGATATAGTATTCCATTTGTTTTTATTATATTCGCTTTATATAAATAATAACAGCTTATAACAAATATCATCAAAGCTTTGGTTTAATTAATTCTTTTTCCAATTTATTTGTGATTTTTTAGGTATAAATTATTTTTTTTCATATGAAAACTCATTTTTTTTTTTTTTTAAATTATTTGAATTATTATTATATTATCATAATATTACAGATGAATGTATAATTTTTCACAATAAAATAATGCCTATTAGACATATCCTATTGTATACAGAAAAAGAGTAATTATGCGAAAAACATTATTACTAGTTTCGATTATAACATAATGTTATATAATTTTATTTATGATATGAACACATTAGATTATTTTAATTTGAATGTACATTCCATTTTGTATATAATCGACATATATGTTAAAACTGTAAATAGAATTAATTTATATAAAACTATTGCGTATTAAGGAATATAGTATTTTTTGAAAAATATTGTGCAAGAAATATGATTATCTTATTATATTAACCTTATTTTACACGGTAAATTTAGAATTATAATCATTGTGAATGTAGAATGCATATTATGAATTTCTTAGACATTATTAGTTATGATTCGAAAAGAGAAGATTATCAAGTTTAGAAAAATATTAAAATATGCTTTAAATAACTAATAATTGGATTTAACAAAATACTCATTTTTATGATTGTAAAAATAATTATTTATACATTCTTAAACGTTATAAATTTGAAATTGTGTACATAAGGAAAGAAAAAATGAAGGTAGGACACTTTTAAATTTTTATAATGATATTTCAAGTAAATTAATATCAATTATATAATTTATTTTAAAGAAGATTGTGTAATACCTTAACTCTTTTTTTATAGAATAAGAAAATATGTTAAATGCAAAGATGTTCGACATTCATCATATTTATTCTTATTTTGTGTAGTAAATTGGATATTTTATAGTTTATTTGTGTTACTTAATATATATATTGAATGCAATTTCACAACACACATTAACATATGTAATATGGAGTTGGCATATAATAAAATTATATTAACAGTATATGGCAGATAATAAGGAATATGATATATATACATACACACAATTTTTTAGTACGTCTATAAATATACATTTATTCATACATTTATAAGAAATAATTGTGTATACAAATGTGCTAAAATTAATGTATATATATGGATGTACACCTCTTTGAACAAGTTTAAGAATTTTTTTCCCGAGTGTTATATTTCATACCTTTTTTTTACTAATAACATTCTTGGTTCTGTAATCTATTGAAATGGTTGTCTTTTGGGATATTTAGAAAATTAAATTATATATTTTATACAAAGCAAATATACTTTTTTTTATTATATAAAACAAAATTAAAAAAAATTAAATATTTTGTTTTGTATTAAATTTTATTTAAATGTGGAAAAAATAATTTTTCTTTTTATGACGAATAAAATGAAGTATATTTGTATATTTAAATTGAAGACATGGTTCTATTCAAGCCCAATTTAAATCATTATTCAAATGAGGAACTATGAGTATTTAGTGCAATTGTGATGTCTTTTTAGTTGCATATTATTACTTATACATTAGCATCTGTATGACGCATAATTTTTCACTTTTACATATGTTAGCATTAAAATATGTTTATTTCTTCTATTTTTTATTTGTATAATTACATTATGAATTTATAATTTTTTCTATCCTGTATTTATATTTGCCTCAAAAAAGTGATTGAATTCAATTAGACGTATATAAAAATAGACGATGTTCATGTTAAATTTATATTATAGTTCATAATTCATTCCTCACATTTTTATATCTTCACTTAAATGAATACTATATTATGACAAAAAAGAATGTTAAGTTATTCAGTTATTATTCAGAAAAGTTGCATAATTTATAAATAAAATATAGAAATTTATCATTTTTTTATAACTTAAAAATATATGATATTTTTTTACCTATATTAAAAGTATATGCATTCACAATATAATTTAATACAGCATCAAATAAGTTATATATAATTTTGACATTAAGTAAGTGTGTATAACAAATTGGAATAAGAGAAATACACAATAAAACAGACAAAAAAAAAAGGTAAGAACAAATGATACCCTATATTTTGCTCTCTTCCATATACTAAAAAAATTATATGTAATATTATTTTACGTATTAATATCATAAATGAAGAGGAACCTAATACAATAGTATTTTAACGTAATATAAGTTTAATAAAAACATGAATAATACAATGATTATTATAAATACTTGTATATAATAGTTGGAAATTAATTTTCTACAATATTATAAAGCAAAATAGAATAGCATGTATAATACTAATTTATATTAAATATGTTAACTTATTGTTAGAACATTTAATCCCCATTCTACTATTATACCATATAGCGTATTATCATTTTATATTGAATATATATTTTTTTAAAATAAAGGAATCTTATTCATGTAATAAGCTATACAATGGAGAAGGAAATAATGAAAAATATACATAGTAATTTCTTTCAATATTTACACATATGATGAATAACACTTTGAAAAATATCAGATTATATATATTGATAAATTGTCCCATTATATTTTGAAGTTAATATATTTATTCTGTTTAACTATATTATATGAATTATTTCTTTTTTATATAATCATATTATGTGAAATATTTACCTTATAATTAGGTAGATTTATATGTTATGTTATATACATTATTCGCTGATGCACTGTTGTTTATTTCAGGTAGTTGAAATATATTCCATTCTTCTTTTTCGTTATTGAACACATTTGTTCTACCCTTTAGAACACGACGCAAGAGTACACCATATGGAGTGAACTAATTAATAGTGACAAAAACAATTATGTATTAAAAACATGATTTATTCGTGTTAAATGTTTTTTATATTATATATGAAATATATTTTTTATAGTATCTAAATGAACGTATGTATATATTATTTTATTTTACCTTATATAGATTTACCAGAAGAAAGGATGTTAGTAATACTACAACAATTGCAATTATAATGCGATTTTTGGCATTAGACTTTTGATAAGAAAATATCAATACATGTTCTGTGTTAGCACAATTTAAGGCTTTTACTTTCTCATTAAACTGATTGCTTAAAAATACTAATTCCTCACAAAATTTTTGGTTATTATTAGATACACAATTATCCATATACTTAGCGTTTAATAGATTAAATTTTAGTATGCATGCTCTTATATCTTCTGAACATGTATTAACTTTCTTTATTATATTAAGACATGTATAATACTCATATATACTATCTAATTTATCGATTTCATCATTAGTAATATTAATTTCCTTATAGTTTGTGCATACATCTTCTACATATGATTTATATAGATTAACAAATGTGTTATATGCTGTTTTTGTTAATTCATATTTATTTAGTTCATTAGGAATTTTTTGATATAACCAATAAAATATGTGTTTACAGCCAATTACTTCTCTCTTGAGGTCTACTATACTACGTATTTCTTTGAGAAATAACATAGTTTGTTTGCATATATTTTCATCAGATAATTTATTTCCATATGGACCTTTGATTTTAATATTAGCACATGGACCTTTGTATACGCTATCGTCTTTATCAGTATTATTGACAATTTCATCCCATACATAAAATGAATTTATATATTGACACTAAACAAAAAAGAAAAAATAATAATACTAAAAAATTACATACTGCCCAAGAGGTATTTATAATATTTACTCAAAATAGAATAGAGAAGTATTATTTTTACTTATGTTAAATTAATTCAATAATACTACATTTTTCTCCATCACTTTTTAGACTATAATCTTATACAGGAAAACGTAATAAAAGAATAAAATTTTGGAACATACATGTATGAATATTTATTAATAAAATCACATGATAAAAGTAATCATAATTATAAAGCATATTACAATTATAGTTTTGACATACAAAGTATACTTACTACATTTTACATTTATATTATATGACTTAATATATGTTAGTAAAAATAAGTCCTACATAAAATATACTTCTAATAGTCTTATTACAATAATAAAAAGTTTTAATATATTATTTAGAAACAATAAATGTTATTACTTATTAAAGTATAATATAAGGCGTACCACCCTATAAGAAAATTTCATAATGCTACTAATAGTATAAATTATAATAAAAAAATATAATGATAATATGTGTTATTAATTATAATATATATTTAAGTTAAATTTTTTCCCTATAATAATATATACAAGTCAGTCTACAACATATTAGAATAAGCTTTAGGATTATATATATATTTAATTCGCTATTCTTATAAAAAAAATTTTGAGATTTTTTATAATTCGTTATTATTATACACATGAAA